ATATAGAATTTGATGGATATTTTGAGAATGGTTATGATTTTACCAAACTATCACTGTTTTTTTTTATGTTCATTAAGTACGTGTGATTTGACTCTATAGACAGGGTGAAGCAACAATTTTTCAAAGAACCAAAATTGTCTTAAGGACCAAAGTGTTACATTTAGCAGTGAGAGGAAACCGGAGGGCCCGGAGAAAACCCACAAGGTTGGAAGGCGATCCTACTCCTTGTCACGTACAACCGGGAAATGGAAACCACGCCAGTTGACTCAATGACAGACCTTATGATACAGCGCGCACGCGCTAACCATTCGGCCATCCACCCCTTGCTTGATAGCGAAAATTGATTTCTCCACGTAATTATCAACTAAGTTAATATGGAAATAATCTTGTTAATTAATGAATTAAAATTAATACAACTAAAATAGTATAATTCATTTGTTATTTGTCTTATTTTAGCATCTGTCACCAACAGAAAAGAGAAATTTATTCAGGCATGAACAACGACAGATCAAAACATATGTATGAAACGGAAACATGTGGTAGTTATTAAAATACATCATTAGATTTTTATCGAATAAAGATAAAGGCTAACGAACATGGTAGGGTCGATTAACGTTACCATCCCATGCTTATACTTTCAAATTATACAGCTAAATTTAGTCCCGAAAGTCACAGCTCTCTCTCTCTCTCTCTCTCTCTCTCATACCGACACCTGTCTATTGAGGACAAAAATAAACGACTTAATAAAACGGAACGAAATTGTTTTCATTGAGCTGATTCTAATAATTAACCACAAAGAGAGTCCAACGATTGCTTTAAACTGTAATGTTCTTTTTTAATTTAAAAATACATTATGTTAGAGCTAAATCTGCCTATTACAGGTCTTTCTTTTGGCCTCAAATGTTATATTATTTATTCACTTTACAAGCCCATAATGAACTCTCCAAAACCCCACGATCGCGATTTTCAATGGATTGAAACACGATCGCCATTTAATAATCTAATTTAAAATTGAATAATCGTGACTATTTTTTAAACTATAATAGTGAGAACTGTTAACTCTTTATCTAAATCTTACATAATGCATCTTTAAAGAATTGAGTATGAGATACAAAAATAAACCAAACATATTTGCTTCCTTGGGAGAAGGGGGGGTTGGAAGGCTGAATGGTTAGCGTGCGCGCGCTGTATCATAAAGTCTGTCATTGAGTCGACTGGCCTGGTTTCGAATCCCCGGTTGTACGTGACAAGGAGTAGGGTCGCCTGTCCAACCTCGTGGGTTTTCTCCGGGTCCTCCGGTTTCCATTCCACTGCTAAAGACCCCTACGCACAAGCGAATTATTGAAATAAAATTAAACCATATGTTAGTCCCGAAATGACCTAGTTTGTGTCGAGTGGACGTTAAACTCCATTTCTCTCTCTCTCTCCTGGGAGGAGGGTGAAAAATTAACATATGATAACAGATAAAGCATTATTATTGTATTTTTAGTTATGGTACAGATAAAACTGAAAAGTGTGCGGTGGTTTCAGGTAGACTGCTCAATCTACAGCCCAGTTACGATAAAAAAAAAACCCACATAGTCTCGATTATCCAGTTTTGCACTTAATCATCAAAGAGCGTTGAGCAGCAGATCGGATTCAAATCCAGTGAAAATCCGACACATAAGATCACATTGAGTTGATTATGGTCTGGATACGTTAATTAATGTCTAATTATAAGTTAATATAACATTTCAGGCCTAAAGAAAGGCATGTAATAGGCAGATTTAGTTCTTGCATAATGTATTGTTTAAGGGAATCTACAGTCCAGTTAATCATTAATAAGGTTTTCAATTATTGTTCTTCGAATTTGTCGGATAATAATATACTTTTCTCTCTGATTTGCCGACATTTTCCCTGCAGATGTGTCTATAGTGAGTCTTACTGCGTTTACACCATGATCCAAGCCTACAGGCCAAGAGTATTCTCCCCTTTTTTTTCAAAAAAAAAATAACCCCAACCCACAAACCCATTTCTACATTTTAACATGGCCGGCGAACAAATTTCTGGTCAAGTCGCCAACTTGTGTGTACATATCATCGCTTACACATTCTGCCTTCGATAGCATGTTCATACTTGGTTGCCTGTTGCGGCGTTTCAGTCACGTGACAGATTTAACTATGATTTTCAGTTAGCCTTAGGTCTAAAGTGTCCAAAATTGGTTGATGGACTTTCGGGTCACCTTGCCAAATGTCAGTTTGGCGGTCACCTTTAAAAATTTTATTTGAAACAGTGCGAGTCGGGAAAACCTTCATAACTCCTCAGCAGTTTCACCTATGGATATGTAATATGGCTCAAAATGTTCATAATACAATTCTGTGTGTACATGATGGTTAATCAATACTATCAGTTTCCAAATAAAAGATTAATCTGATAAAAGCGACGTTTTCGATTTGTTTCATGATGTCTGTTCATAAATTTACTGGGGGCGGGGCGAATGGTTAGCACATGCGCGCTGTATCATAAAGGTCTGTCATTGAGTCAACTGGCGTGGTATCGATTCCCGTTGTACGTGACAAGGAGTAGGGCCAATTAATATTAATTGATTTGAAACTTCATAAGTATCACAGAAGTTTACTGCAGTTTTATTAGGATACAGCTTAATACGGTATTTAGTTCAGAGAGGGAATCAAACAAATCCAATGTTTAATATATTTGTGGATTTCCGTGTAAGTATTATTGTTTGGTACCATTCCTTTTGAAAGCCATCAGGGCAAGGTTTGGAGGGTGATGGGGGATTTCTTTCTATTTTGCTGGAACATTAGTTTATCCAATCATCCATCCACGAGATATTAGACATAGAGAAAAAAATCGTTTTGTTCACAAATTTCTTCTCAGACCCCCTATATGCCTGTATTGTACCACATTCCACAAGATTGTCGACTTAGAATAAATTAGATAGAATGTTTTGGGTCTAGCGGCTATTTTGGATTTCGAAATTAATGTTTTGTGATTTGTATTCGACCGATTGATAACTAAAATCGTGTGAAAGACAAAAGGGAAAAATAACGATTAATTTAAAATACGCCATTTTGAATTTCTACCATGTTTGATTTTAAAAATTCATTTTTAAAACCAGAGACATCGAAAACCATATAAAAGACATAGTAAAAGTCATATCTTATGAGTTAGTGACTGGTTATATACGGGGAAAATGCCATTATATTAGCAAATTTGGCATCCATTTTGAAACCAGGGGTTGCCAGGCAAAATACGCCCACATTTTGCAAGAGATGGATAGAGAACAAGCTAAAAACAAAGGCGATTTTTTCTACAAACAATCATGGGCTATAATCCAGAAAGTTATGGTCTGAAGTACGCAAATATGGAAAGGGACCGCGATCTTCGGGATATAAACATATATTTTAAGTTTCGTCTAGACTAGAGGGCCCATAACCTGTGTATTACACACTTTTACACAATTATAAACTGGTATTTCAGGTTTCATTAAAATCGTATTATACTTGTGGCCTCTCGAAGGACCACAATCTAAAAACGCGATTGTTCGTAAAATCTGGGTCCATAATTCAGGAAGTTACTATCCGATATGCGCGATTATCGACAGGAACCAAGATCTTTGGGTTATAAACATGTATTTCATGTTTCATCGAAATCGGATCAAAATTGTGACCTCTAGAGGGTCCACAAACTTGATATACCATATGTTAACACTATTTGCGAACGAGGGGTGGCCATTTTGTCCGACAATTTTGGTCCGATTTTCACGAAATTCGAACTCAACCGACATTGTGGTGTAACGGGGATATATTCGAACGTGTTTTTAAATCTAAAAACGCGATTTTTCTTAAAATTAGGGGCCATAATTCAGGAAGTTATGATTTGATATGCGCGAATATCTACAGACACCAAGACCTTTGGGTTATAAACATTCATTTCAAGTTTCATCAACATCAGATGACAATTGTGACATCTAGGGAATTATTGAAATAGAAATTGAACCATGTGTTAGTCCCGAAATGACCTAGTTTGTGTTGAGTGGACATTAAACCCCATTTCTCTCTCTCTAACGATAAGTACAGTTACTAATCATCTGTTTTCAGAAATGCGGGCACTTTTTTCAGAAGAGAGGGCACATAGCCACAAACACCCCTATACCCTAGTAGGAAATCTCATCGGATTCGAGCTTTATCACCCATTTCCGGTTTCTTTTGTTTTTGCATATATGACTATAGTGCACCTTGGCCGGGGCCCCTGAGATCTTGAGTTCCTCGGTTCCAGCTTGCCAAGCATGTGGGTAAATCTGGCACCGCATGTCAGTGGTGTTTGAATGGGTGGCCTGTCAATGACCAGCATCTACCGAGGTTCCGTGTACACGTTGTTTGAAATACACGTAAGGAAACATCGACACTTGGAGTTCGATGTTGAGTAGGCGGAAGCGCTGCTGTCAGGGCAATACATCCCCAGCCCACCCCTGTCCCTCAGCATTACCTCATTGTGTTTATTCGTTTTCCACTGCAGTGCGTATTTGAACTCAGTGCAATTTAAAAATGTGCTTTTCCATTGCAGGTATTCGGTAGAAGAAAGCAAGTTGGCTTATTTCTACTCACTGCAGTGATAGTTTATTTTGTGGTACTAAATATACGTCCTGTTCACCACACCCTGTTCAATGATGGACAAATGTTTCAATCACCTGACTTGCACGAGAATCAGTATTGTGAGTTGCTACTGAAACGCCCAAATGAAACCCTCATAAGACAAGCTTTACATTACACACAACTACACCCAAGAAAATCTATAATCCCAGACGCTTACCCATCTTATACGTCTAATTGCACCAGATATGTAACCAATAGAGGGTACCTGCTAAAAAACAGTACTGAAGTGGAGAAGAAGTTCCCCGTCGCATTTACTTTACTGGCTTACAAGCACGTGGAACAAATAGAACGACTGCTAAAGGCTATTTATAGACCGCATAATGTCTATTGCGTCCATCTTGATAAGAAAGCATCGCCAAGTGTATTTTTGGCTCTTCACTCCATTATTTCGTGTCTTCCTAATGTTTTCATGGCTTCCAAAAGAATTTTTGTTACCTGGGGACAATTCAGTGTTTTGGAACCAGAAATAAACTGTCTGAAAGAACTATTTGTTCACAAAGTAAAGTGGCGATATGTGATCAATTTAACAGGACAGGAATACCCTTTAAAAACGAATTATCAGCTTGTTCGAATTCTGGAGGCTTTTAAAGGGGCGAATGACATACGAGGGTCAGCGAAAGAGTAAGTATAGTACACTATCCTTATCGCCAGAAGTAGTATCAGTTTGTCCACCATCCTCATAGTCGTACGGGCTCGATGACACACTGATCCGCAGTGAATATTTGCTTGGCCGCGACAATCACTGATAAGGATGACATTGATGCGGCTTAATGAGCTAGAAATATTAACTTTTTTCCTGCGACAAATTAAATTCTAAAACATTTTTTGTATATATTGGAAAAATAAATAAAGGGGTTTGACGTATTTGTAGGTAAAAATTATTTCCGATTTAGTGTAAATGGGTATTAAATTGACTAAAATGCAGCATTCTCTCCGAAGCAGTTATGTCTTATGTAAACAATGCACGCGCCATTCAGCCAATGATTCACACCGCGTGCTGTGACAGCACGTGTTAAGGCAGTCATCTATGACAGAGATATTATACGAGACGCGTAATTCTCTGTGAAACAGATTGGCTCGATGACTGTTACGTCGGGGGCAGAACCCGAAATTCCCGAAGACATTTTGGGTTACAGACGGCAGCGCCGGTCTTCTGCGAGAGGCGAAGGAACGGATATTACCGTGTATCGACCCGCAAAGAAAATTTCGAAAAACTTTTCTTTTAATTAAATACCACGAATTTGTACTGCATTGACTATGGATGGTTGGAATTCAGTTCGGCATAGAGTGAGATTTCTGTTACAAAACAATTAGACAACTTTGAAGTTGCTTAACTCACGGGCTAAAATAGCAGAAAAACGCGTTTGCGGGGGTTATATTTTGAAAACTTTCTCCGGGAGCGTGAGGCCCCCATACCCTGCGACGATTGATTGGTTGTTTGGATTCAGGTCAACCATCTAAGGTAGGCTATAATGGACCACATTGAAATTGCTGTATTCAAGGGCTGGGATAGCCGGAAAACGCGTTTGTGGCAGTTATATTTATTGATTTCGGGCACTTTATTTTGCCAACTAGATGAAATAATAATTTTTGTTTTCACTTTACCCGTCTACACGAAAGGTCATAAAATGCTCCCCCCCCCCCGACTTGTACGCCTATGACCATCATAATGAGCGGGGGTGAACGGTGGTTAACGGGATAAGATGTTGACTCGTTCGTCTGGAGGTCGCGGGTTCGCTCCCGGTTGTCTAGTCGTTCGGATGGGACGAACAACCGAGGTTCCGTGTATACATTGGCGTGCACGTACAAGATGCCTTGGCGGTTGGAATTCGATATAAGAGTAGGCCGTAGCCCGTCTTCATTCTCCCAATCGGTGCAAAACAGTAGGACGTTAAACCCCATTTCGTTTCATTTCATTTCCTTGAGATCTGCACCATCAGCATCCCTATTAAAGGTGCATTATGTAAGAGATATTGCATGTCTATTTTCTAGCTTCTAATGTTATGAATTATGATTTAGACATTTTTTCACTTGAAAAGCCCATAACTCTCTATGCCATAAAGAGGATTATAACATTAAATAATCTAATCGAGACTTTGTTTATTGCTGTAGCAATGATTCATGACGATCGAGACTATCCTGTCCCATCTTCAAACACTGATAACTTCGCCCCAAAATAAAGTAATTTGACTGAAATTTTCAGTATATTAACCATTATCTATTTTTGAACTAGTATAGAAGGAACGACCAGTATCTAAATCAGTGATTCTCAACCAGTGTGCCGCAGAATTTTGAACGGCACACTAAGAAAATGCGAAATACCACATGATCCCAATTGAGTATTCACTGGTGTCTACTGATAAGTTCATATCTGTGTTTTTTCTTTATTTAGTTCGAGTCCGTCTATGTGTCTATTACCAGTCTCTGTCTACGGTTTCATAGCCAGGTGTGCCGCTATGTTTTCATGTGTTCCAAGGTGTGCCGTTGGCAAAAAAAGTTTGAGAACCACTGATCTAAATCTTACACAATGCATCTTTAATATGATATGTATTAACAACAGTTTCATCACCAACTCCACAGTTCATCATCCTCATCTCATTACAATCGATATTTCCTTCTTAAAGAGTGTAATTCCTGAAACCCTACTGTTTAGGATTTTTTTTTTATTGCAGGTTAAACAGAGAACGTATTGCAGGCCGACCCCGTGCTCCGCATGGTATCACCCCGTGTAAAGGGCCTGTGCATTTTACAGCTTCCAGGGAATTTATTGACTACGTTTTGCATAATAAAACGGCTACAGATTTTTTACGGTGGTGTAAACTGACAGGCATACCTGACGAAACATACTTCACATCCTTAAATAATAACAAACATCTTCAAATACCCGGATCGTACACAGGTATCAACTGCTATATTTAAATTAAAACAAAACTGAGATCTTTGGGATCTAAACACTTATTTTAAGTTTAAAAAAAATCGGACAAAAATAGTGACCTCTAGAGGAGGGTCAACAACCTTTGTATTAAGTACTTTTATACTAAAAGTATAAAATTGTGATAAAAAGGATACTAAAAAGGGTAAAAATTGTGACATCTAGAGGGTTCCGAGGCTAAAAATGTGATTTTTCGTACAATCTTCGGCTATAATCCAGAAAGCTATGGCTTGATATGCGCGAATACCGAAAGGGGCCGAGATCTTTTGGATATAAACTCATATATTTTAAGCTTCTTCAAAATCGGATAAAAATTATGATCTCTGCAGGGTCCACAGTCTTGATATTACATACTTTTACACTATTTGTATTCAAGGAGCGCCATTTTGTTGGAGAGTTTCGGTCGGATTTTCACGAAACTCAACCATCATTAGGGTGTAATGGCGATACATGTCGTATAATTAAACGGTTTTTAAAATTAAATAGAAATTGTGACTTGTAGGGGGTTCACAAGCTAAAAACGCGATTTTTCGAACAATCAGTGGCCATAATCCAGGTGGTTACGGTCCGATAAGGTTTTTAACATGTGCTAGTTAGATCACAGAGTCTGCCATTGAGTCAAGTGGCGTAGTTTCATTCTCCGCTTGCACGCGACAAGCAGTAAGATCGCCTGTCCAACCTCGTGTGGTTTCTAACAGCTAAAGACTCCTACGCGTAAGCCAATTACTGAAATAAAATTGAAATGCCCTAGTTTATCACGAGTGGACGTTAAACTCCATTTCTCTCTCTCTATATATATATATATATTACAGGTACTATTGAGAACAGAAGAAGGGACTATTTTACACGGCATAAAATCTGGTTTAACAAGACTGAATGTGGTAGTAAACGGTTTGTTCGTCAAATTTGTATCGAGGGTGTCGCCGATTTACATGTGTTGACAACAGGCAATAAGCTTTTTGTTAATAAATTAAACTATGAATTCGAACCCCTCGCTTACGATTGCTTAGAACATTGGTACTTTAATAAGGTTCAATCAGAAATGAGAGGTAGATTAGAATTTGATACCACTGTATACGAAAAAAGTACTGTTGTCAAATATAGATATATACCTAAAAAAATAACAACAATCAATGACGAGCTATCCAATCCACAATGAATGGTCAACAATTCCCCGCGCAATTCGCCATTTGGGGTATTTCATAGGTAATGAACAGAATCGACAGAAATACATTGGCTCGTGGTATCTGGATATGGCAAGCTTTCAATGGCATTAAAAATATTTATTTCTTATCATGCATTTTTGTTTGCTTTGTTTATATTTAAGGCCATAACACCAACCATGACAACCATAAGTGACGTACATGATTTCCATGGATAGTAGTTAATCAGGAGATAGAAGACTATAGTCAGGGTCACCATAAGATGCCAACCATAATCACATCTCCAAATATGTCACCATATATATATATACTCTTCAAAAAAAAAAAAGAAACACATAGTGACATTTCGTCGTCGGTATACCCACGCTCTACCATCGTCTCAGGAACCAACTGTTCTTCAGCGTTGCTGTGGCCATAACCTGTATGTCTGAACCCGTTGAAGTCGGATTTGACGGTGTCGGCGTATTTCAAAACAACAGCTCTGTCTCGTAATACGGCTTCACGTAAGCGTCTATGGACTGTCTGGTCCGAGATTCTACGCCGTAGAAGTCGCTGTTGTGAGCCATTTCCGCAAATAACGTAACGGGGTGTGACGGTCCAGGGCAGGTGGGATCACTCTTGTTTGACCTGAGCTAGGCGGTACCTATCCCAAAGGCGAAAAATGGCACTCTGGGAAACATTCAGCAGTCTGGCTACATCTGTCTGGTATTCACGTGCTTGTAACCGACCAATAGCGTTGTTGCGTTGGTCTTCGTTCAATTCTTCGTTAAGTGTTTACATGTGCAACTGATTTTGAAACCGAGATCCCCGGGATTTTAAAGGACTTGTATTTTGGTTTCCTGCGAAAAGCTTGCGAAGTTGTTAAAATCATGTGTCTTGGTGCAATCAAGCCAAAAAGAAAATTTCGGCAAAAAGTATGACCAGTCACAACTAGTGACCTTACATTTAAAACCAACCATGAATTTCTTTTCTCCTTACATAATGACATTAAAAACAAGTAAGATCTATGCCTATGGAAAGAACGACCCCGTTCAAATAAAAAAATGATGAAAAATAGGCTGTGCGTTTCTTTTTTTGAAGAGTATGTATAATAATACAGACACTAAAATGTTCCAGTGGGGCATCATTAATATGGGGCATATATATTATATCAATTTATATACCCCACCAATTTGATGCCCCATTTTGTTAATAGCATAATGGAATTGGGGCATATAATTTCTATACCCCATAAAACACCAAATTTCCGCCTGTAAGCACCCAGAAGCACCTACCGGCGGGTTCCGAGATTGGGTATTCTTGGCGTATATTGACCCCGGGGAGTCCCCTGGTGCCCACAAAATTTTCTCCCTTGACCGAAAGTGGATGAAATCGAGCTATGTTGCACGAAAAGGCCACTGGGAATGAACGGAAGTGAATTCTGAGAACATACCCGGATTGGCAGGTCTTAAAAACCTGTCCGGCCATTTGACCTGATATAAGACTATATCGTACCTTTAATGTGTCTTTAACAGTTTTAATGCATATCATTTCGATTGTCCCTTTAACAGTTTTAATGCATAAGACCATGGGAAGTACTATAGGTGTACGAAAGTGCATTAGCGCCGAAATGGACCAATATTGTACCTAGTGTAAATATCGTAACAGATCTAAAACGGTTTGCGACCGACATAAACTTTGATATTCAAGAGGCCAGAGAAAATTTTAAATGTAGACGCTAGAAGAGAGGATTATCTGCAATTAGTTGTTGTTAGACATGAATCTAGAAGAGTGGTTTTCAACCTTTTTAGCCAACGGCACACCTTGGAACACATGAAAAAATAGCGGCACACCTGGCTACTATATATATTTGAATTTTGCAAAATAAAAACATGGAAAGTCAGACGGCATACAACTGTAGACACAGACTAGTCATAGCCACATAGAATGACTCAAAATAAATAAATAAAAACACAGCTATAGTCAATCTGCTTCACAGAGAATTACGAGTCTTAGCGGCCTAGCAAATATTCACTGCGGATCAGTGTGAGCTATAGTAGACACCAGTGAATGCTTAATTGGGATCACGTGGTTTTTCACATTTTCATGTGCTCGATTCACAGTCCAGAACGTCCCGAATTGACAGAATTGCAATCGAGTAACGCGGAATTCAGTTCTGTCAGTCCCAACAACGGAGGTGGTGTGAGTAGAATCGTGACGTAATTAAAAGGTTTCGGCTGCATGGTTGGTTGAGATATTTACTTATTCAGTCAACGCATGCGCTGTAGCCCGAAATCATCTTTTCACTCGATTGTCACTATTTTTGGAATTGAAGGAATTCAATTCCGGAACGTTCAATCGAGTACCCCCTTATAGTGTGCCGTTCAAAATCGAAGCGCGGCACACCGGTTGAGAATCACTGATCTAGAAGGTATAGGAAGAATATGTGTATATCAGTATGTCGGTATGGGTCACGCACGTGCATACGTGGCGCGTGGCTTGTCTTTAGCTGTGGTTGATAACTCCAATACCGTAATAAATGTCTGTTTGTCTTTAGCTAAATCTACCTATTGCAATTCTTTCTTTAGGCAATAAATATATGTTATCTAAATATTAATTAGACACTAATTAACTTATCCAGACCATAATCAACTCTCGATGTTATCGCTATCCTGCGATATTCACTGGATTAGGATCCGATTTGCTGCTCAACTTTCATTCCTGATTAAATCATGAAATGGACTTTAGTAATGATGGTCGAGGCTAGGCCGAACATTCAATCGCTAAATTCTTAGTTCAGTTTTTAACTATTATAGTGAGAACTGCCAGCTCTTTATCTAATCTTCCATAATGTATCTTTAATAATATTGCGTGAGCCTGTCAGCCTTTGTTGTTCAACAATCTAACGTGGAACATACACCAAGGCAATCTGTTTCACAGAGAATTACGAAAGTCTTCTAATACTGTAGCGGACTAGCGAATATTCACTGCTGATCAGTGTGCCACCAAGGTTGCCTTATTTATTTCTACTGTGTCGACAAAAAGTAAAGTGAATGTTTTCTTTAATAATTTGTGTGAGCCGTTTTCAGCCTTGTTGTTCCGTTATCTAACATTGAACATACACCAGGGTAGTCTTATGTTAGTATACCGCGCCGGCAAGTAGTAAAGCGAATGTTTTTCTTTTATAATTTTGGGTGAGCCTCTTCAGCCTTGTTTCTGTTTAGCCTTGTTCCACAATCTAACATGTAACATACACCAAGGTGTGGAAGCGAATTAAAGGGCTTACCTGTGTGGAAGCAAATTAAGGGTGCTTATGTGGAAGCAAATTAAGACGGATTACCGCGTGGAAGCGATTAGAGAGGATTGCCGTTGTAAAATCAAAGAAAAGGGGCACCTCAATACGGGTTTAGTGTAGTCATCTAAAATAGTATATATGATCTTTTAGCCTGGGGCATTAAAATTAGCTATTCCTCTGAAATCATTGGTGTTAGCAATTTATCGCGTCTGCAACCACGAAGATGTCCCAAAATGGGAACTGAAGGTATAAAAGTTCAAAAATGGGGTACAACGGAAATATGTGGTGGGATGAAGTGTGTTGTGGGGCGAGGTGTGTTGTGGGTTGAGTTAGTATTGAGTGTTTCAGATGTTAATAAAGTTCATAGTTTTGTCATTGTCTTAGTTTTGATATTCGTAAACTGGTTCCGGAGTGGAAGCACTGTGCCTGCAATACTTACATCTATAGGCAAGGAGGTACTATCGGAGGAAAGTATACTAATGATTGGTGATGACCATATTATTCCCGATCTGTAGATTTGTGAAAGACGACAAGGCATTGGACCCAAGTTGGGTTACTTCACGAGAATTAACATTAGAGAGAGAATTGAGGATTAACGTCCCCGCGATACGAACTAGGTATTTTCGAGACTAACATGTTTTCCATTTATTTCAATAATTCGATCGCGCTTTTGGGGTCTTTAAATCCGAGGAGGACCCGGAGAAAACCCACGAGGATGGACAGGCGATCCTACTCCTTGTCACGTACAAGCGAGCAATCGAAACTACGCCACTTGACTCAATTACAGACCTTATGATATAAGTCTCGATTATTCAGGAATGATTTACAACTCATAGTAAAACAACAAGGAATGAATGGTAAACCCTGAAACTCCAACTCACATTACTTTTATACAGACTTAAAAACACAATCAAAGAATGTGAAATCATATAGATAAATCTCGCGATTATTCTAATCCATGTGAATCACGATCATCCGGTGATCAAGAGAGTTGATTATAGATCCGCCATGTAAGTAAATAAATGTCTAAATAAATGTTTATTTAACATCTGAAGCCAAATTAAAGACCTGTAATAAGCTGATTTAGTGCTTGCATAAATTAGAGTCTACATTAATATATGATCGAATTTTATCAATGTTACGCAGATGAGAATTACCTCATTTACGTATTGCATGGGATTTAAAACGTCCCACTTTTCTGCATTGTGTTATGAGGGAATGTTCACCTGGACAGTGGCGTTTCCGCCTACTCTTCAACAACAAATACATGTCTTTAACGTACACACCCACTTATACACGGGACCTCGTTTTTTGTCCCATCCACACGACTAGGCGCTGTTCCTAGCCAGTTTTTTCGTCTTGCACCACTGACAAGGGAAACCAGACTGGAAAATCCTAAGGACAACATCTGGATCTAGCCCGTGACCTCCGGATTATTGAGCTAGCGCATTAGGAATAAGATCATAGGTTTTTCCTGGTCGACTCAATTAACAATATAATTTCCAATTTGAACCGTGTCAGTGTGAACGTTTAAACAAAATATTAATTCGTTTAAACGAAATGTTCCTTTGTATAAATGAAAAATTAATTCGTTAAAACGAAATATTAATTCGTCATAGCGAAATATTAATTCGTCATAGACAAATATTAATTCGTCATAGCCAAATATTAATTCGTCATAGCGAAATATTAATTCGTCATAGTGAAATATTAATTCGTGCACGATTCAGCGCTGATATACTTATTTGGTTAAAACGAAATAATATATCATTAAAACGAATTAATTATTGTCTGATCCCTAGAAATTTATGTGCGGGTTATTTCCCTTCCCTATTATCGAGCGCGCATGGGAGCCAAAAGCGCTTGAAGTTGGCCTTATCAAATAGATCTAACCCAATTTTGTCAAAAAAAATGCTATTATTATTTTTTAACCAAAAAACATATTTGACACTCGAAGAACGGCCAAGGCGAAACTGCATGGGTTGAAATAGTAGTTGATTCGGGTGATTTGGGTATGGGGTATTTCGTGCTATCGGTTGAGTACGACATGTCTAAACTGATTACGACTACTACGGGACACGACTACCTCTGGTTACGAGATGTCGCACGTAGCGTCTGAAGTACCGTTATTGTATGTTGACGGAAGAACAAACTAAGAGTTTGACGAACATCTAAATCATCGTTGCTAGACATTTCACAGAACAATGTACATTATAGTATGATCTTGAATCCAACATATGTATGTAAGGCGCTATTGCACTTTCGTACCTCTACCAGTTCCCGTGGTCGTAGGCACTTGAAATTATGACTATGAGAGGATGTTGAGGGGGACTAGCAATGACCACACACCGAATGGTACGAAAGTGCAATATCGCCGTATGTAATGGGTTAAAAAGATATCGAGTCCTATCGTGTTAAATTTGCTGTGAAAAATATTCGGCTAGATTTTATCTAAACTTTAATCGTGGATCATGTACGCGGAATAGAATACCACACACGTGTATCCCAAATATAAGTTTTCTTACATTATTAATCATCATCACTGTAGTCTAATACCATGGGCCTTATAATAGATTGCCCATTGCACTTTTGAAAAAAATCCTAGGGGTGCGTCCATAGTCCATGATCGAATCTGAAAACACCGTTAGTTCGAAATATTGTTTTGCACTGCAGGTGGTTTGAAAAACTTTTTTTCTGTATTTGTTCGGACCTGCTGGATTCCATTTTTCGCTACTGAATCACTGTCAGGTCTGGATGGTTTTGCGTAATTAGCTAATTAATAATTAAATGACTAATTAAATCATATTTGTTTAAATTGACACATGTATGTCGAAATATGCCGCTGTAATAATGGTTTTAAATATAATACCGGTAGTACTAGGCTATACCGTTAAAGATGCGTTATATTATGTAAGATTTAGATAATGAGCTGGCCGGTCTTGCAATAATAGTTCAAAAATAAATCATTAAAAATGAATACCAGTATAATATAATAATTGAAATTTTCAATCAAAAGTTAAAAGTTTTGCCAAGAAATAGTGTAAATAATCTCAGTTGCTACAAATACAATTAAAAAAAAAATATCTATTTTCCATTTTAATGTGAAATTATTCTATTGGGCTTTGCAGGTGTTCTAATACATTAAATATCTAAGCCATCTGATAGTCTAGAGAGTTGATTATGTCTATAATATTATAAATGTCTATATTATAATTTATATAAAATTTGAAGCCAGAAATAATACCTGCAATACTGCATTTTTCATTTTTAATGTTTCACGTTTGAGCCACAGTGGTTCAGTGAGAAGGTACTGACTGGCTGTACCTAAGTTCCTTAGGATTATCCGAAAAGGTTTCCCATTGTCAGTGCTGCAGAACAGAGGGGTTGGCAAACAATGAATGTTGTATGAAAGGCAGACGAAAAACAGAACCCACAGCAGTTGGATTAGGAATATCTGGAAATGCCACTGTCGAGGCAAAATTACCCTCATAGCATGCTGCATATATGTTGTACGCCTACAATAGCCTACAGGGTAGTGAAGAAAAGTAGGACCTTAAACCATTTAATATTTTAAGATGTTAGGTTGACTTCTTGTCAGTTTACATCGTATCATATTTTTTTTTTGTCTGTTTATTACAGGTAGTAATAGAGATATACTGTAAACGTTTGTAGAATAAATGAACTAGACAGAATAACAGAAAGATGAGTACAGAAAAGGGTGTACCCAAAGATAATTATTCTGTTTTTGTTGGTCATCTTCTTCCATCAACTACAAAGGTAAGTATATAGTATATAATATAGTCCCGGGCTTGTAATAATACAAGATTCACTCTACATAAAAACAAACTCATAATAAAAAAGAAAAACCTTAGCGATGATGAATGAATACACGAAAGCCACTCCATCAATTTATTTCTATCCATAAACATTAGGCACAAGATGGTATCTATCCTAGATTTTTTAATTACTATCTAATGAATACTTTTCAACCCTTTTCTAATAATTACCTATAGTAGAGTTCTGTGATTGAACAGTTAACGGGCGTGCGAAAGACCACAATGTCTGTTTTGACTGACTCACACTATGTGACAAGGGAAAGAATCACCTGACCAGTCATGTTGGTTTTCTCTGGATCCTCCAGTTTCCCCCAAACTACTAAACCCCCCTATGTGCAAGCGCATTATTGAAATAAAATAGAACCATATATGTTAGTCTTGAAATGACATAGTTTGTATTGAGTCGATGAAATAAAATAGAACCATATATGTTAGTCTTGAAATGACATAGTTTGTGTTGAGTCGATGTTAAACCTCATTTCTCCCTCTCTCACCTGGAGAGTTATTGCCCTTTATTACACATATGTCATAGAGAGAGAGAGAAATGGGGTTTAACGTCCACTCGACACAAACTATGTCATTTTGGGACTAACATATGGTTCAATTTTATTTCAATAATTCGCTTGCGCGTAGGGGTCTTTAGCAGTGGGAGGAAACCGAGGGACCCGGAGAAAACCCACGAGGTTGGACAGACGACCCTACTTCTTGTCACGTACAACCGGGGATTCGAAACCACGCCAGTTGACTCAATGACAGGCCTTATGATACAGCACGTGCGTGCTAACCATTCGGCCATCCAACCCCCCACATATGTCATAGATTCTTGTCATTACTGAAGTGATATTATTTAGATTTTTCTTTTTATTTACCAGAAGATACACAATGTGACAACCTTAGGGGTGATGATTTTCCGTTTCAGAAAATAGCAAATTCCGTTTTAAGTATTTTTAATTCCGTTATTTTCCGTTTCAGAGCTGACCATATTCCGTTTTTTCGAGATAAAATGTTATTTTATGAATAAATGAATAAAACATCTTAAAATGCCTTTTATTACAAAACGGATCATTTTAAACCAATGATAACAAATGTTGAATTGTGAATAACATGTAATGATCAATGACTAGTTATTCTTTAAACCTGTTTCCCGAATTAAATAACAGAAAATTACATCTTGTGAGCTCGTTTCATCTTTTTAGCAGACGAAGCCATTTTTCTCAGCTGCTAGGTGTAGTCGCGATTTATCCAGACATCTTCGTAGTTACTACCGTTTCTTCGAGAATAAGGGCTGGATTCACAAGGCTACGGTATATTTCTGATGTCACGTGGTTAATGCGGATAAACACGAGTCACGAGCCCGGCAGTAAAATAAGAAGTAAATGAAACGATTTTTACTTTTATGAAGTGACAGAAGTTTTTTTTAAAACATATATATACATTACAATGTTTAATTCAAGTTAAACTACAGAGTAATTTTATAATGGGATACATGAAAGACGGGTTTTCGTTTCGATTAAAATTATGATTCCTAAATGATGAAATGAAAGTAGCGAAATACTAAAATAGACAGTAACAAAACCACGCGATATCATTCAATATTTCCGATTTTTATGAATAAAAAGATGAAATACTTGGATAACTGCAAAATTATTTTGAGTTTGTGTTTAGTATCAGCAAATATCGGCTTTTACGTCTTTTTCCGTGTGAGATTTCAAATTCCGTTTTGAGTGGACAATTCCGCGATTTCCGCGTTTTTTCCGCGATCACGGAAAATCATCACCCCTACAACCTTTGTGGATGTCTCAGACGACAAAGTTTCATTGCCTTAAGTCACCTGTCTTTTAAATATTAAATATCAACCATAATTGTTTTATTTTTCAGGCAGAGTTAAATGATTTATTTCAATCATGTGGTACTATAGTAGAGGTATTTGCCTTACAATCAAAAGACACAGCTTATACATATGGGTAACTTTCTTTATAGTCATAGTAGTCAATATTAGTGAGTAAGAGATTTCAGATTCGATCCCGGTGTTATGACATAGAAAGTTCTCAGGATTTTCCAGCATGGCTTCCTCTTTTTAGTTGTGCAAAGAACCTTATCTTAGTCGTTGGGATGGCACGAAAACCAAAGTGCCATGTACACGTTGGTGTGCACATTAAAGAATCCTTGACCGTTGGAATTCGGGATTAGAGTAGACCATATTGTTGCTGTCCGAGCCTAATTTCACTCATAGCACACTGCTTGGCATATGTAGTCTGTAAGACTTTAAACCCCATTTCATTTCTCTAATAAGGAAGAGAAAGCACTATGGTGCTCTAATTCATCCAGCAGTAATTGGTCTTGACGTACACATCAGTCAACTTTGTGACTAACATGCTCCTACCATTGCTAATCTGCTGTTGTAACTCTGGCCAATTATAAGTCTATACAACAAAAATATTCTGGTTCTCAGACAATCCCTACGAAAAAGCTGATGCGGGAGGGAGGATTTATTTTTGTGTTTTTATTTTGTCAAAGGATCACTACATTGGCTTAACCATCACATTTCAAGGCACTACATTTATCTCATCATAATGTATGATTATCCAGTAACATTTATGAGTTCTTGATAAATGAGCCTATGCCACATTCTGGATTATTTTATAGAGCTACTTCCTGTAACCAGAGAAAAACATCTGTTTGCGGTAATTAAAATAAAAACAAGTCATGTAGCCTTATTTTAAATGATGCAGGATTACCTGGGAACCAGAATATTTTTTCTGTATGGCCTAATGTTAGACTAGCACAGTGGTTCTCAACCTTGTTTTGCCAACGGCACACCTTGGAACACATGAAACAATACCGTAGCTAAATATATATGAAAAATATTTGAATTTTGCAAAATAAAAACATGACAAGTCATAGACGGCATACAACCGTAGAAACAGACTAGTCATAGACACATAGAATGACTTTAAATAAAGAAACAGCTATGAACTTACAAGTAGACACCAGTGAATACTCAATTAGGATAACATGTTTTTTTGCATTTTCTTTGTGTGCCGTTAAAAATTTTGCGGCACACTTAGGAAGATCTTGCGCCACACTAGTTGAGAAGCACTTGACTAACATAATAAAATCCATTGGTCATTGAATAAATAATGGAAATGAAGAGAGGGTTAATGCCCTACTTTTCTGCACTAAGGAGGCTAATTGAGGCGGGAATAAATATCAGACAATTATGTTAGGGATTACTAAACATCATGAAGTGTTAATTATTTAGATATCCAGTTCAGATATATACTATTGGCCATGTCCCCCATCTGTGAGTGAAAGCAGGGGGCTATTAAATTGGGTCTTTCATCCTTTTTATACGCCCACATTTTCATGTGGACGTATTATGCCGTCGCCCCTGTCCGTCCGTCCGTCCACAATTGTTTGTGGACTCTCTACAGGTCACAATTCTTATCCGATTTCGACGAAACTTGAAATATAGGTGTATCCCCAAAAGATCTCGGCTGCTTTCGATATTGGCATGTATCGGATCGAAACTTCATGGATTATGGCCCCAGTTTGTACGAAAAATCACATTTTTAGCTTGTGGACCCTATAGAGGTCACAATTTTGATCCGATTTTGTTGAAACTTGAAATGTAAGTTTATAACCCAAAGATCTCAGTTCCTTTCGATATCGGACAGTAACTTCCTGAATTATGGCCCCTGATTGTACGAAAAATCACGTTTTTAGTTTGTGGACCCTATAGAAGTCATAATTTTTATCCGATTTTAAAAACCGTTCTATTATATCACCGTTACACCCTAAGGATGACTGAGTTCGAATTTCGTGAAAATCGGCCCAAAATTGACAGACAAAATGGCCGCCGTTCGTTCCCAAATAGCGTAAGAATATGGTATATCAAGGTTGTTTACCCTATAGCGGTCACAATTTTTATCCGATTTTGTTGAAACTTGAAATGTAAGTTTATAACCCAAAGATCTCGGTTTCTTTCGATATTCGTGCATATCGGACCGTAACTTCCTGAATTATGGTCCCTGATTGTACGAAAAATCACGTTTTTAGCTTGTGGACCCTATAGAAGTCATAATTTTTATCCGATTTAAAAAAAGGTTCTATTATGTCACCGTTACACCCTAAGGATGACTGGGTTCGAATTTCGTGAAAATCGGCCCAAAATTGACAGACAAAATGGCCGCTGTTCGTTCCCAAATAGCGTAAGAATATGGTATATCAAGGTTGTGGACTCTATAGGGGTCACAATTTTTATCCGATTTTGTTGAAACTTGAAATGTAAGTTTATAACCCAAAGATCTCGGTTCCTTTCGATATTTGTGCATATCGGACCGTAACTTCCTGAATTATGGCCCCTGATTGTACAAAAAATCACGTTTTTAGGTTGTGGACCCTATAGAAGTCATAATTTTTATCCGATTTAAAAAAAAACGTTCTATTATATCACCCTAAGGATGACTGGGTTCGAATTTCGTGAAAATCGGCCCAAAATTGACAGACAAAATGGCCGCCGTTCGTTCCCAAATAGCGTAAGAATATGGTATATCAAGGTTGTGGACCCTATAGCGGTCACAATTTTTATCCGATTTTGTTGAAACTTGAAATGTAAGTCATTATTTTTATCGATTTAAAAAACCATTCTATTATATCACCGTTACACCCTTAGGATGACTGAGTTCGAATTTCGTGAAAATCGGCCAAAAATTGGCCCTTGAATTATGGCCCTTGATTGTAGGAAAAATCACTTTCTTGTTAGCTTGTTCTCTATCCATCTCTCGAAAATGTGGGCGTATCCTGCCTGGCAGCCGCTGGTTTTTTCTGGTCGGCACATCAATACCATCTGCACATATTTGATTAGCCTACTACAATCTGAATGATTGATATCAACAGGACTATGAATATATGATCATAATAAATTTCTAGCTTCAGTCCCAATATCAATCTGCACATGATTAAATTACCCCCCTTTAATTTGATTGTGTGTTAGCTGAATTCACAGTAATCTACCCTTCCTGTTAAATCTGAATTCACAGATAAAATACTAGGTCAGGAGTCAAAGCTAACTAAGTTTGCTAATTTCCTAATTAAAGTTGAATCTGTTGTTCTAATTTCCTAATTAAAGTTGAATCTATATTGTTCTAGATTTGTGAGGTTTGCCGAAAAGGAAGCTGCCATTAAAGCTGTACAGGAATTGAATAAATGGCCAATGCGAGGTGTACCTATGATTGTAGATTTATCACGAGAAACTAAACAACGGTTAGAAAATGAGGGTAAGTCTGGCTCTGGGGACAGTGTTATTACTTTCACAAAATTTAAATGTTTTTAATTCTACCCACCTAACTTTCAAAAAGAATATGAAACACCAATGTGCATCACAATTCATACACAGTACATGTGTGTCATAATTAGGCTTGTAACAGTTTACGGGTATATCTGAAAATATTTCACTCTTTGATCATCATGGCTAAGTGAGTAAGATGCTGGCTCTCTAGCCAAGAGGTCAGGGGTTTGATCTCGGTGTTGGCTGAGAAAGTTCATTGTGATTTGCAGCGCGGTTTCCGCTTGTCAGTGATACAGAACAGAGGGCCTGACAAGGACAGCCGTCTAGTCATTCGGATGGAAGGGAAAACCGTGGTCCCATGTTCACAATGGCGTGCACGTAAAATATCCCTTGGCAGTTGGAATTCGATATAAGAGTAGGCTGTAGGGCTGATGTCCTTGCAAAATTTCCCTCATAGCATACTGTATGGCTATTGCCTGACTTCATTAGCCCAGTCGGAGCAGAACGGTAGGACATTAATTAAACCATCCATTTCATTTCATTTCATTTCTTTGATCATCGGGCCACAGTGGCTAAGTGGGTAAGACGCTGGCTTGCTAGTCTGGAGGTTGGATGTTTGATCCATGCATTGGCCGAGAAAGTTCGCCCAGATTTTCCGGCGTGGTTCCCCCTTGTCAGTGATGCAGGACGGAGGGCCTGACAAGGACAGCTGTCTAGTCATTCGGATGAAACGAAAAACCGAGGTCCTGTGTACACATTGGTGTGCACGTAAAAGATCCCTTGACAGTTGGAATTCGATATAAGAGTAGGCCATAGTAGGCCCCATTTCATTTCATTTCTTTGATCATCAAAATCATCAACAATGCCACTGCAAATGAACATTTAACCAATTGGTTTTTGTCAACAGACATTTTTAAACAATCACACCAATAACCTTTTGTCTTTAAGGGGGGGTTGGATAGCCGAATGGTTAGCACGTGCCCGCTGTATCATAAGGTCTGTCATTGAGTCAACTGGCGTGGTTTCGATTCCCCAGTTGTACGTGACAAGGAGTAGGGTCGTCTGTCCAACTTTGTGGTTTTTCTCCTAGTTCTCTATTTTCTTCCCACTGCTAAAGACCCCTGCGCGCAATCGAATCATTGAAATAAAGTCCTGAAATGACCTAGTTTGTGTCGAGTTGACGTTAAACCCCATTTCTCTCTCTCTCTCTATTGTCTTTATTTACAGTAATAAATGAAACTGGACCTACAAATTGGGTTCCAGCCCATCTAAAGTGCTTTTCGAGTGCTGATAGAAATAGGAGTCCAAAACAGAAGCCCAGTTATTACGCCATCATTCTTAAATGTTTTTCTTGTGTTTCCGTACATATGTAGTTTCACAAACTTACAAACATTGTGAATGTACTAAAGACATAGAAATATAAAATAAAATTAAGGTTACATCTTACTTACAGTAATGGCTTCTTCCTTTATATTAAAATATGATTTTGCAGTCTTTCCATTTGCTTCCTCTGGATATAGATTGGTTTAATGGAAAGTTATTCCCTTTATTAATAAATAATAATATAGCATTTAGTCATGTATCAGTACCACAGATGTTAATGTCAAGGTTAATTAAATAGGTGGAACTAGGCGCTAACTGGTCACGGTTAGATCTGGGATAGGATTAAAAAACCCAATTTACCAAGTAGCCAAATTTTCAATGTTGTAGACTATAAAGGATGAAGTCCACTGACATTGATGAGATATTGATAATCATTTATTTGTTGTATTCATTAACAGGTGTACTACAAGTTGCTGAAGTTGGTGCCTCAAAATCTGATCAGGATGTGAGATGTAAAACAAAGGAAAGTAACTCTGTTTATATTGATGATGTTATCAATCTGAGTCGATTGGAAGAGTGTTGTTCACAGATGAATCTACAAGCTACTGAAACAGGTAATATTAAGGCTTTCAGTTACTGTTTTGAGTAGGGGGGTTGGGTGACCAAAAAGTCGTAACACATGCACTTTAGATCATAAAGTCTATCATAGAGTCATGTGGTGTGGTTTGTAAGTGTCAAAGTCTGTTTCACAACATATTCCAGAACGTAGTGAGAACTAGTTTGGTGTGATAGGAGCTTGATCACCACAGCTCAAAGTGTTAAACGGGAAGAGTAATTGTAAGAACTCTGAAAGAATGTGACAAGGATGAGTTCAACTTCTCGGAACTTTGTGGTCGGGTTACAAACTAGTTAGGCCTAGTTAGAAACAATTGCGGACATATTGGGGACGGGGTACAGCTGAGACAGACATATTGGGGACTGTTTATGAACGCACTAGGATCGTATTATAGACATTATTTACAGATTGTACTCCAACCACAACCTGTTTTACAATTTTCTAGGTCCTTTTCCAGAATATAGTGAAAACTAGTTTGGTGTGACAGGGGCTTTAAGGCGCATAGGGTTTCTCTGTGTTCTAAAGTCCCCCCCCCTCCCCTATTACTAAAGACCCATTGTTGAAATTAAAGTGTACCATATGTTAGTTCCGGAATGATCTTGTGTTGTCTAGACTTCAAACCTCATTTCTCTCTCTCCCTCCGTTTTGGCCGAGTAAGTTCCTCAATGATAATTATAGTTTATTCTACTATTTACAGGTGGAAAACCAATAATAAACACAGAAAAGTTATTACATGATATCTCAGAAGCAGAATACGGATCATTTCTTAATTTTAAACCCGAATTAAATGATTATAAACCATTAGATCTACAGAATTTATCCAAACGACTTTTGAAAAGGTAAGTTTTTGTTGCATTTATTAAAACTGTGAAACATACCAGCTATTGTCGCTGTCTTGTGATTCCTTCACAGATCTAGAGTTGGGTGGCTGAATGGTTAACACCTGCGCGTTGGATCAGACGGTCTGCCATTGAGTCAAGTGGTGTGGTTTTGATTCCCTGCTTGTACGTGACAAGGAGTAGGGTCACTTGTCCAACTTCGCAGGTTTTCTCCAGGCCCTCAGGTTTCCTCCCACTGCTAAAGACCCCTAAGAGCAAACGAATTATTGAAATAAAATTGAACCATATGTTAGTCCCGAAATGACCTAGTTTTGTGTCGAGTGGATGTTAAACCCCATTTCTCTCTCTCTCTCTCGCTCTCTCTGTTCTCTTGCAATATATGGTGTATATTGCCTTGCAACTGCTGGTTTTTGATGTTTCAAGTTTTGTTTAAAGTATGTGGTGATATTTGTAGAGACTTGGTGGGATTATTTATTGGGGCCTAAGGGGAAGCCCATCAGTTATTATTCTTCAGAACAATTTTGATCATAGATTTCCATTTATTTCAAATTTATAAAATGTGGTTAACAAAATACAGAACAGAAGTCTTGATAGAATATTTTAAAATATGGAAAGATAGAATTTGGAAATTTGGATTGTAAATATTGATTGTGTTTGGTAGAGTTATCTTTCCGTTCACACTTGGACTTTTATAAATCCAATTTTCACAATATTGTAGTGTTCAGGTGATTGAACTTCCCTAAAATGACGAACAGAGATTTTACAGGGATAAGTTACTCTTCAGTTGTTACATTAAATCTGTATTTTTCTTATATTTTTTAGTGAATTTGGTAAAATGGATCAAACTGTTTCCGCTCAAGAAACGAAGGATTTTTTTCTGGCATTGGATGTAATAATGGACACTGTTAAAGGTTTTAAAACATTCTGTCATCGTCTTAGATCTGACCAAGAAAAGACGAACAACGAAAATTTCGAAAAAACTATGCAAGATATTTCTGAACGAGAAGTAGTCGTAATGTCGAATGAAAGCAAACATTCTACCCCTAAAAACAGTAAATCTTCTGACAGCATTTTAGCGTCTTCCCCTAATCCTTCTGTCTCTAAAAACTTTAACTTTTCTGGCAGCATTTTAGCATCTACCCCTAATATCACCAATCCTTCCGTCAACTCTGAAAATCAACTAAATAATCTGGTTTCATTGAATGATTTATCACGAAAAGAAAATGAATCAGGTGAGCAAGAGACGAGGCTGTTTGAAAAAAAAGATTTGAAATCACGAGAAACTAGACAGCTTGAGGTTGGTCTAAAAGAATTATTGTTTAAAAATAGACGCTCAGAATCCCCAGCATCTAACAAAGATATAAATCCATCATTTGAAAATCCAGAACCGGTACAGTATTACGATCGTGGGAGTTCCATTCACCGTCTGCAGCATTTAACTAGGCACCAGACATCAAATGCTGATTCAAGAAACTATAGTTTGGACGACAGTTCCGATTCTGACGAGGCGATAGATACTCGTAACTCACAATTGTTGGCTGAAGAAAAAGAAAAATCAAAAATCAAAGCGATGAAAGCAGCTGCAGAATTTGGTGCATCTTCAAACTTAACGTCTATCTTAGATTTGAATAATATATCGAGTGACAACAAATCCAGTGACAATAAATCGAATGACGGTAAATCAATATTAAGGAAAGGACAGCAGAAATACAGTATTAGTGAGAAAGGTATTTTAGGTCCACCTCCGTCAAATATGTCCCCATGGTTGAAACCAGGTCTTCTTGGACCTGCTCCTGATCTGAACAGACGACCACAAAAAGTATTGCATAATAGCCCCTCTAATAGTGTTACAGCTCCTATTTATAACAGTGGTGATGGTCTGTTAGGGCATGCCCCAGGTGTGGGTGACGGAATATTAGGGGGCATTTCCAAAGGAAAACAAAAGGGTTTGAAGTCTCAACATAACCAATCTTCTTTAAAGATTACTTCTTTAAATGGTATTTTAGGTCCTGCCCCAAAACAACATGGCCCTGAATCTGGTATATTGGGTCGTTCCCCTAATCAAAACGACCCTGAATCTGGTATATTAGGCCCTGCTGCAACCAGTGTGACATCATTAAGAAATTTGTCATCAAATAAATCTGTCAACGAAAAATTCACAAAATCAAAAACGAAAGTCATTGGTAATTCAGGTCAGGAAAAAAAGTCAAACACATCTGTGCCTTCGGTTGGAGGTGATGTCAGATCACTAAATGATCTTCAACAAATGGGGAGTAACATTGTGGATATGCCAAAAGCAAAAAATAACAGTGAAAGTGGCTGGTTAACAAAGACTCCAGGAAGTAACAAATCAAACAAATCTGTGCCTTCAATGGAAAGTAATGTCAAATCACAAAAACACATTGGCAATGATGATACTGGAGACTCGGCAACAGCAAAAAATAACAGGGGAAGAGGCTTGTCGACCAAGACTCCAGGAAGTAACAGTTCATCACCTAATGGCTCAGTAGTCTCATTATCCAGTCTGAAATCTCTTAAAGACATAAAAAGTTCAACAAATCCACCAACAAATCCTCCTCAGACATCAAGTAAGCTGAATTTTAAAATTGATTCTTAAACAGGCATTATGTAAGAGCTAAATTGGCCTGTTGCAGGTCTTTCTTTGGGTCTTAAATATTATATAAATTATTAATTAGACATTTATTAGTATGACAAGACCATAATCAATTCTCGATGCCATCAGATTGCTCCGATTTTAAGTAGATTAGAACAGTTCGGCCATTTAATAATTTAATTTAAAAATGGAGAATCAGGGCTTAAGACTTGAATGACCTGTACAGATGGCTCCGATATTAAGTAGATTAGAACAGTTCGGCTATTTAATGATTTAATTTAAAAATGGAGAAGTGAGGCTAAATCTCGAATATACTAGATTTTGTTCAAACTACATACGGTGATAACTTGACCCAGAATAATGTACTTTGAATGAAAGTTTCAATATATTCATTTTACTTTATCTATTTTTTTTAACTAATTTAGCAAGAACGCCTCGGCCATTTTACGTCTTTCGCAGTGTAACTGCCCCCCGTCACTGAAATCTTGTTGAGATTAATGAGTTAGTCCTAATAAGGGAACACTATAGAAATGGCCATCAATTCTACCATAGTTACTGCTCGTGATCCGAAAATTGGAAAAGAATCCTGGGGAAGGGGTGAGGATTCCGTATATTCATTGTGTAGCTACGCTATATGATATTCTATATTTCATTATTCAGGTATTGGAAGAGGAAGGGGATTCATCTTCAGGTGAAGTTGCCAAATGGTAAATATCATTACTCAAATGTCAAGTTAGAAACAGTACAATGATATAGACGATGGCCATATTAACAAACAAAATTGGAAAAGTTCATAGAATCCGAATTCAAAATAATTTGAACAGACACTATATACATGTATGTTACCAGTGAAAACGTAGGCAGGTTCAGGATAAAGAGCCTATAGTAGTTCAATGAAATAATTTGTCTCAAAATGATCATAGTTTTATATGAACATTTCTGTCTTAAAGAGCTCTTTATTAACTAGTAATAAAACTAAAATTAAAGAATCCCTGCACAACAGACTTCTACAAGTCTGTTGTGCGGGGATTCTTTAATTTTATTTTACTACTCCGCCTCGCCGGTATCGTTTTTTGATCCAGTCTCCACGCAGATGTACCAGCCTGTCCAGCTTTAATTACTCTATAAGGGAATGTTGCCGTACCCTATACCTGTTTATAGTAATAAAACTGTAGTAAAATAGCGTATCTAAAGTCAAATTTTTCCTGTATGTTTTTCATTTTTATTATATTGACATAATAATATTACTATATTAAAATTGTTATGTTATTGCTTATATTTGTTTTACTTTATGTTACATGCTTGGTTAAACCAAATAACTGTAGAAATATTTTACAAATAAAGAATATTGTCACCTCTGAGTCAAAAGGTTGTATCTAGGTTTTCTAAATTGTTCAGGAGATACCTTACTTAAAAAAAGCATAGCTATTTAGAATAGCATAGCAGTACAAATGTGTGACATCAAAATATATGTAAAATGTTGTACGGTTAGGCTACATAAAATGTATTTCTAAAGATTTTCTAAACTATGTAAGTGTGGCTGCTTAAACAACATGGAGCTGTAATTTATAGTTCTATAATGTAAAGGCATATTTAACCATATGAATATCGTTCAGTTAAGTTCAATTGAACAGATGTGTAGCTCACCAATGAACAATACTGGCTACCTTTGATTTACGGTACTTGGTGATATGTCACAAAATTGATCTTTTCATTGAAATCTGACATTTGGCTGTTAATAATTGTTGGGAACAACCCTTGTTCAACATTTTGAAACAGTACCAATGAAACACCTTTTTATTGGTTTAGAAATACAACCATATGAAAAGATGCACAAGAAAATTCTAATTATGGAGAAGGAAATAAATCATGTAAAATATGGTAGATATGACCTTAAAATGTAGTCTAATTTACATAAAATCAAGTTAAAACAAATTTGGAGCAGATAAACAAACCTCTGTAATAATGGTATCAGATACAAAAAGATGGTGGCATGAAATCAATAACCAGTGCTGCTCAATTGCATATTATTAAGCAATCAATATATATATATGACTTACATACTGAAAATGTATTTATAGAAACTACAGTAGTTGATTGGGTAATGATAAAAATATGTAGTCATGATCAATCCGGTCTAAATAATCTGTTCTTTAAATACAACAAAAACAATTCTGGACAATATAGCACAAATTTTGTATATTGTAAAGAACCTTTTCTCAGTCATCCAGTTGACAATGTATCCCAGATATTTTTTATCACAAGAGGCTCTATAGTATTATTATGAAATATCAGGTTAAAAATTTGTTAATGTTTTGTTATATAGAAAATACTAAACATTATTGTATATAATTATTTTTTTTTATATAAGATATCTAGTATTATTTCCAGCCCCCAGGCATTCTCAGACTTAAATTACAAATTTAATCAACTTTCAATACTGTTTATGAGATATATCTTCAATCCAGAAACACAATTAAAACGTTGCACATAATTTCTTATTGATGTATTTCATACATTAAAACAACATGAGGTTATAAAAGGCTATATTTTAGTCAAAATTTAGAGTACATTTGTAACTTAAGTCTGAGAATGTTTCAGGTGGAGAAAAGTATCATATAATTAGGCCATACAAAAAAATGGTCTGGTTCTCTGACAATCCTTCTAGAAAATATGTTAACTATACTTGGCACTAACATTTATTTCATCATGCTGTTTTATGGGAATGTAATTATGATAATCCTGTAACATTTAAGATTGTCAATAACATTTATCAGGGTTGTATACTTGATAGTTGAGCCCAGGGATGCTATTTCAAAATTTTTCTTATCAGACATTTCTAGTTGGGTTTAGTAGAGGCCAGAATTAGGTCACAAGACGGTCATTCCATGTCAAGTGGACCAAATTCTCAAAAAGTTGTAAAGTGACCCCTTCAGAAAATTATGAAAAACAAAATAATGTTACAGTACAGACTTCTGTAAACTCAAGGGTTATATGACTCTAGTATTACCATTGACTGAGATATGACTATTTGAATCAGGCTACCCTTTATTGAGAGAGAGAGAGAAATGGGGTTTAATGTCCACTCACACAAACTAGGTCATTCCGGGACTAACACATGGTCAATTTTATTTCAATAATTTGCTTGCGTGTAGGGGTCTTTAGCAGTGGGAGGAAACTGGAGGACCTGGAGAAAACCCACGACGTTGGACAGACAACCCTACTCCTTTTCATGTACAACTAGGGAATCGAAACCACACCAGTTGACTCAATGACAGACCTTATGATACAGCGCGGACTTGCTAACCATTCGATCTTCCAACCCTCCATACCCTTTAGCAGGCTTTCAAACTACTATTCTATGACTCGATTGTGGTGTACTGATTTTGTATCTTCCTGTTAGACAATATTCTTGAAATTATGGGATTTCTAAGAAAACGTTATATAGATTAGGAATTCACCATCAAATTTTACAGATCAAGTACGTCAACGCCTAAAGTGACAAAAATTGGTATTTCAATACAGTGTAGAAATTTTATTACACTAAAATACAGGTAATAGAAGCTATGTGTAGTCACAGGCCTGATCTTAAAAGGTGTGATTTTATCATATTTGAAGTGATATCCTGTCATATCGGCAAAAAATGTAAATATTTTAACAGGATAAAAACTTGAATTTTCCATGTTTTTAATATTGAATCATAAATTAATGGTACCCCCAGTCTGATGCATAATTGTTAAGTAAGTGCAAAACATTTTTAGAAGGTTTCGTTTCATGATGATCAGGCAATTAGAAGTATTATAATCAATCCATTCAAATTGGCAAAAAATGAAAAAAGTCGTAATTTACTGTTCAAATTTAATGAACATAAAAAAAATGAAAGGCATAAAATATCAAAGATGGGGCTTTCATCATTGATAGATAAGTGTAAATGCAACATTTACCCAAAGTTTCATATTTCATCGTGTAGGGCTCCTATACATGGTTAACATTTGAAAAAAAGTGAATTTAGCTATATCCTGTTTGAGTCAATTTTCAAAGCTAATTTTACAAGAAATCAACAAAGATATGGCTTTTAATAATGTTTGTTCAAACAATACCCATTGATACATTATACATATGATAAGTAACAACTTCTAATATAGTGTAGTAAAATTTCTACACTGTATTGAAATATTGTTGGGTATTTTTTGGCACAAGCACTTAGGGCACTCCACACACAGTTGACGTTACTTGTTCTGCAAAATTGGATAGTGAATTCTTAATCTATATAATATTCTCTTACAAACCCCATAATTTCAAGAATATTGTCTTTACTAGAAGATATAAAATCAGTACACCAAAATTGATTCATAGAATAGTAGTTTCAAAACTTGCAAAGGTATACCCCTATTCAAAAGGCCATATTTCAGTCTATATTAATACTACTGGAGTCATATAACTGGCTGGTTTACATAAATTTGCATGTACTATAACATGTATTTTATCATAATATTCTGAGGGGGTGAGTTTACAAGCACTGGTCTACTTGACATGGAATTACCCAGAAGTTGTTTGTCAGCTTGAGCCTATAAAGTTACTTCTTGTGACCAGAATGATAGTGCAGTAATTACTGAGATCATTGTTAATTATTTAATGAAACGGCATCATGCAGGGGAGTGCATCATGCATCTCTCTTTTTAAGTAATGCAGGGGAGTGTCTGAGAAACAAGATATTTTTTTGATTTGCCTTATTTTGTATATATTTATCATTGGTTCAATTAAAGAGGAAATATAATTCCTTTTATATAGATTTTAATAAGGCATTATCATTGTCAGCAAGAAAATGTAACTTAAATTATAAACAATACTATGCCACTTTTTTCATTATCATTTTTCAAGGGAGGGACATTGAAATGGGCTGTTCTTATGTCCAAGTTTTGTTTCCAGAACATACCTCTGCTTAGCCTTTGTGGAAAATGTGCATAATCAAACTCTGTCAAGGCATTCACATAATCAACATAGGTGTACAGTGTACACCAAGTTTGAACATTCTTCCTCAGTTAGGAGAGTTATTGTGTTCCAAAGTCTCGACCACTCAGATTGAAGATTATACTTTGCTTAAGCAGAAAATGCTCAGCATCAAACTTTGTTAAGGTATTGGTGTAATGAAACTATACACAAAGTTTAAACACTATGAATCAATTAGAATCAAAGTTGTCAAGCTCCAAAATCTTGACTAATCAAATCGCTTATCGCACTGCTTACAATACCCTTAGCCGAAAATGCTCATTATCGAACTTAGTCAGTGTATTGATGTGATGAAACTATACACCAAGTTTCATCACTATCACTTTATTATTAAAGTTATTGTGTTCCAAAGCATCAACCAATCAAATTGCCTATCTCTGCTTACCCTAAGCAGAAAATGCTCATCTTTGAACTCTGTCAAGACATTCACCCATTGAACGCCCAAACGAAATTTAGACATTCTACATCAATTAGAAAGAGGTTATTGTGTTCTGAAGTCTCAACCAATCAAATTGCTTATCGCGCTGCTTGGTCTTACCCGGAGCATAAAATGCTCATTATCGAACTTAGTCAAGGTATTGATGTACGAAGCCATACATAGACCAAGTTCTATCACTCTCACATAATTAGAACTAAAGTTATCGTGCCCCAAAGCATCAACCAATCAAATTGTTTATCTCTGCTTAACCTAAGCAGAAAATGCTCATTCATCCAAAAAAAAACCAACACCAAGTCTGAACATTCTAGCTCAATTAGAAGGTGAATGTAGTCCTCTGCATTTTTCGAAAGGCGGGGGATGTCATTAATATAAAAAGTTGAATAATGTTGGGTTTTTTTTTTAAATTTATTTTAAATTTTACTACCGGTACTAACAAATTTTTATATCTACACGTATGTTCGGATCATTTCCGTCTTACTTTTATAGATATCTAATTTCAAAAATCTACATGTACAGAATTTCTGTATATTTGTTAACAAGCTAGCATGGCTTCTTGGATCATACAAATAGCTAATCAAAACTTTATAGGCTATACAAGACACAATTCTATGAAATCCAATGACTTTCAACTAATTTTCTCTAATCTTTATCAAGCAATATCATCTATTACCTTTACTTCATTGCTTTCATGCTGTACAAATCCTGATGACTAGAATTCTAATATCGTAAGACATTAAAAAAAAAAAAAAATCAACAAAAATTTAAATAACATTTAGTTTATAATTCTGGAAGAGATAAATAACTTTAGTACCAACCAGCATGATTGTGTTTTTTGAAACAGTGCCAATTTAATTCAAATATTTACTTCACATTATCAAGGCATTCACATGTACTTTTACCTATATATGTATATTATACACATAACTTGGTTACTAGGAAAACAAAATATGTTCAACATAAATTGTATTATTATCACTAAATATATCCTGACCTAAAATTAAGTGTACCGTCAACTAAAAATATCCCTTGTGGAAATATTAATAATTGATAGATTTTACAAAACTGTTTAGCCACAAATGCATTTTTGTGGGTACTGCAGTTTATGACAAGACATTTAGAAGGTTGAAATCTTATCACAATTCTTAATACTATTAACATCTTCTATAACAATATCTTGAAATTAACAGGCTGCAGGCCACCATATGTTTTTTTGAGCAAAGTCTCTTTTTGATGTCTACAAATGACAAAATGTAACTAATGAATGCTTGCACCAATTGTCCTTAAGTGATTTGGGCTTTCTCAATCTTAACATTTTCAACCTCTTGCTCGACAGCTTTATACCTTGAATTTTCCGTTTCTACTTTCGTATACCCTACACTCCTAGGGACATTAATATTTCTGGGGTTGTTTAAAATGACTAATGATGGCCTCACACCAAATTTCAGCCAACCAGCTATGTCAATACCTATCTATTTTACAGACTTTTCAGTTTTTTCTTTGTGCAAAATTTAACATCAACTTTAAGAATACTCTTGACAAGAGCAAGATTCTTGATAGAAAAATAATATGATGGACCTGACCTAACAATAACAATGTACATTTATGATTGTACTCACTCCATCCATATCGCATGCTCTAAGCGCAATCTTGTATATTCACATGTAAATGCTTTAGCAAATTTATACAAATTTCTCAAATTACTATACATAAATGATTGATTTTGTTCTTAAGACATTTAATACAATAATATATATATATATATATACATACAATTAACATACATAGATACACTTTTATGCTAAGATTTATATTACGAAAGTTATAGACATTGGCTAAACCTACCAACACACAAGAATACATATTATATAAATTACCACTACCAGACCGGTACATAATATAATTACTAGCACTGTCAACAATTTTTAAAATTTACCATTCTATCTCAAATGCACTCTATTTGACTGGGACTTAATAATAATAAGTAAAACTAGAATAATGTTATATATTTAGATTTTGATACTGCATTTTCCATATCATGGAATGTACAATCACTAGCTATTGTGCGATAGATCTTAATCAGTAAATCGTCGATTTGGATTTCGACCAAAAAGTGTTTCTCTCATTTTAGGCAGCATTTGTTGGCTCATCAGTGATAGTCGACTGTCAAGTGTATTTTCTACAAGAAATTTTCCACCTTGTGCCACAACTTCGACTCCACCAGAACAATTAGAACTGAGGTAATTATCTGTATCGATTGTCACTTTGACTTCTTTTCCCTTCATGGCTTCCTTGTATTTCTGGGCTGCCCTGGGAGTACATTCACGTACTAATTCCAAGTCCTGTTCGCGGCAACGTACGATAACATTGGGTTCCATCAACTGATATAGGCCTTGTGCGATCAGACCTTCCAAGACACCTCTATATTTATTGGTATCTTTTGTGACTTGGCCTAATCTTCGTCTGGCTTCTTCAAGCACATCACGGATGTGATCTTCTCTCGCCTTCAACACTCGCAGTCTTGCCTGATTCAATAAATTACTGCTCTGAATTTTCTTTTGTAGCTCGACTTGTTTTTCTTTTCTCTCAAAAAGCTCCATAATTTTAACTCTCTGCTGCTGAACAAGTCGACCCTTTTCAATATTAAATTCTTCTTCGGCTTTGGCATCAATCTCTTCGGCTTTTTCATTGGCTTCTTGTTCAATGAAAGCCATCATGTGCTTGATTTGTTTTTGTACGTCGGCATCGCTGAGCGCCATTTTGTCGGTTTTAACACTTTTTGGGTTTCTAAGTGTTCTGAAGTAGTAAAAGACTGTTTCTGTTTCCACAATAAACTAACCTTTACAAGGTTAATCCGTTATCTTCTCTGCAGTGTCGGTGAAATGACAAGTCACAAGACCATTATAGTTACAGCGACATCTATCGTGTGTTTACACAAATCACGTGACAAACCCTTTATCGTTCAAGATTTGGACGTGGATCTGAGCAAGGTTTAGTCTCGGTAACCCAAAAATATTCTAATCTACACAAGACAATTATTAGTCTACTTTGATTAAAGGAACACTAGTAGTATCATACTAATCCGGCCAAAAATAATAAGGAAAATATAGATTTTAATTGTTAAAAATTCCTTCCTGTGTGCAAACTGTGTGATTTGATGATATATTTTGACAGAAAATATATTCAAACTACCGGGTACCGTACTGTATCTATCAAAAGTTTGTTTAAATCCAAAACTATAGGCCCTATAATACACAAGATTCTATTTAAAGAAGCCGGGTTTGTGAAGTGACTTGAGGAAAAATTCATATTCAGCTTGTATTTGAAATTAGTCAACTGTCCATTTATAATAAATATCAAAGCCTAATAATGTAAACGCTGTGATCATGGTTGTCAACTTCTTTTTACACCATTTAAAAGCATTGAGTACTAGAAGTTTAAGTTGTTCTCACAACTGTTAGCCAATTAGATCAACACTTAAGAAGCATCCTATCACGCTACTCAAGGAGATATTTGCTGCCATGCCATGGGTGTTTTTCAGTGCATCCTAGCTGTATTTTTCTAATAAGACTGAGCATACAAAAAATGCCAACATCAGTTGATGACTATTATTCTTGATAAATGAAACAATATGAAAAAGATATATTTTTATTCAACTATTATTCTCTATAAACAATAAGATTCATAATATATCTTAAAATTGTAAAACTCAACACATTGAGATGTCCCTTGGCTTAAAATAGAAGATGCTTATCATTAAAGGTTTTAAATTCTGAGATCAACCAGTATTGTGATTCTATAATGAACATTAGCTCTGCAGTTGTGAGATTCATCTCATTATCATTTCCTGTTCCAAAACCTTTTATCACAAAATGCTTATTTAAATGGTCTAAAGCAGTCTGAGGTCCATAGAAATATATTTTTTAGTCAACATTCCTGTATTTTGTGTACAACACAATACAGAGGGCCAATACAATAATTCATAAACAGTTGACAAATAAGTGATAAAAAGTATTATTTATATATTTATATACTGCAATTATACTAAAGATCATAACCAAAAATGTAGATGCCACAATCATTTTTCGTTGATGTGTAAATAGATATAAACTCAAAATATTTCAAATCCAGTATCCTCTTCTCAGACCACAGACATAATATAATATAAAACAATGCCTGTCTTCATTAGCCTGGTTTACATTAAACCTTATTTCATTCATACATTTATTTTATTGTATTTCAATAAATCACTTGTGCGAAGGGGTATTTGGTAGTCGGAGGACCCAGAAAAAAACTCAAAAGGTTGGACAGTTGACCCTACTCCTTGTCATGTTCAAGTGAGGAATCGAAACATGACTCAATATCCGACCTTGTGATTTCACACCCACACATTAAACCACTAAACCACCCAACCCCTCATTTTATTACATGTCCAATGGCCAATCAAGCCTTTCAAATCACTTTAGCTTTGTCTTTAGAAGATCGTTTATGTATAACTTTTTTCAAAGTGTATGTTTTCAGCTTTAGCACTTGGTACATGTAAACATTGTCTACCCCAGTCCCCTATAAAAATTAGAGAAACACAATCTTTGGATATTGAGATTCTTAGTTCATTTTTGAAACTGCTTGAAACCTCCCTGGACTGCCTGATACAACTGGAATGATTGAACTACTGTTAAATATGATCACAGCTATTCACATAACTCAGGCAGTTTGAGGTACTAGTGAGAGCAGTAGTCTCAAGCAGTCCAGATGCTAAAAGGTTAAGATGTTGTCATCGAATTGGATACAGTTTTAAAATTTTTTAAATACTATTATGAATCCTTTCAGTTGAATTTTGTTTTGTCTTGAGAAGATCAATATGAACATTGTTTGGATATGTTTTAAGTTTTGGTCCTTGAGGTGATATAATTTTGTCTGGAGAAGATCAATTTGAATTTTTTTTGGGGGGATAAGATTATGTTTTAAGCCGTAGTCTTCAGGTTGGTTATAGGTTTGTTATACGAAGATCAATACGAACATTGTTTTAATAGGATTATGTTTTAAATTGAATTCTTCCAGTTTGAATTAATACTGTCTTTTTTCCTGTCTCCCTTGTTGTCCTTTAACATTCTCTCACAAACGCCATGTAAAGGGTCATAAAATAATACTGTTTATAAAAACAATCAGCAGTAAACCACTCAAATTGCTATACTATTACCCGGTGTATATTGGGTAATCTGCCTTAGAACTAGGGAACTCTCCTAACTCCTTGTTCAATGAGTATTGTATTTACAAGACTATGTTATTTTTTTAAAGCTAGACTTTTATATTATATACAATCTAAACCTAATCACACATCATCCAAATATTCCATCATAAAAACCAGATAAATATTTCTTTGTTGTTTCGTAAGCCAAGAAAAGAGCCCCAGTAGCAGGGAAAGTTCGTACTAAAGTTGGTCCAAGTCCTTTATATAAAGCACCGATTCCTGAAATTAAAAAGATAACAAGTTTATAGTAAATTATTCACATACTAAAAACAAACTCGAGGGTCCATAAGATTTTTCTAATTGATCAAGGGTCATAACTATCAGTAATCATAATTATCAGAAATCATGAACAATTGTACTGGAAATAATCTCCTGGCTTGGATTCAGTCGAATTAAAAAGGAGCCATATTGTCTACAGAAGATGCAATATGTTGAGATATTTCTAATTCCTTATATCTTTTTAAATGCTAAGTGGAATAGAACCATTCTTGGACCAAATTCCTTTTAGAGATTCAACTTTTACAAGGCTGTAGTTTGCAAGGGATTCAAAATTAGTATTTTTATTACAGCATATTTATAGTGCGCCCTTTCACATCACATTCAGGGGGCACTTAATATTTACAAAGTGACAATATCATCATAATTTAAAACCAAAATTAAGGATATATTATTGAAAGTTGTATATACAGTTAAAAGCTTGTTTAAATAAATGTGTTTTAAACTAAAAGGTAGATTATTCCATTTAAGTAATTTGAATGAAATTTAAAATATATTCATTTGTCATTATCTATTATTGAATGACATGTATTATAGCAAAACAATCCAGTTATTTATCTAAATCTTATATAATTATGCATCTTTAATATAAGGTAAGGAAACTTTAATAATTATTCAAGTAAATATTGAGATTGTAAACTTTGAATGAAGCTTACCTTCAGTCCGGAATATTTTGAGTATTGTAGACGTGAAGGACGGTGCCACACTACTAGTAGATTGAACTTGAATCCTTGATTTAACCACATCAGCAGGAAAAATAGCCACCCATAATGCCATGCCACCAACACCTCCACAAACTATAGTTCTTATAACACCTAAATGTAATAATAACAAAAGTAAAGTTTTATATAGTTGATAGTAATAACAATATTTGTCAGATTCATACAGGTTGGAATCAAGGATCTAAATCCACGATTATATCAGACGTAGATGTTTCTTGAAAAACCCCGATTGAGAGAGAGAACACAAACCAGGTCATTTCGGGACTAACATATGGTTCTATTTTATTTCAATAGGGGGTCTTTAGCAGTGGGAGGAAACCAGAGTAACCCAGAGAAAACCCATGAGGTTGAATAGATGACCCTACTCCTTGTCACGTACACCGGGGAATCAAAACCACACCAGTTGACTAAATGATAGACCTTATGACACAACACATACACGCTAGCCAATCGGTCATCCAACCCCCCCCCCCCCACATAATGGCAGGCGATCCTACTCCTTGTCATGTACACTGGGGAATTGTAATTACGCCACTTGACTCAATGACAGACTATGGGTCACTAGCTCTTTTTGGGACTAACATGTGGTTAAAAAAATATTATTTCAATAAATCGCTCACACCAGCAGTGGGAGGAAACCTGAGGACCCAGAGAGAAAACACACGAGGTTGGACAGGTGACCCTATTCCTTGTCACGTACAACCAGGGAATCGACACCACCCAACCCATCCTAATCCTAATTGATAAACCAATGAACTAGCCACTATGATATTATAAATCAATCTAATGGTATTTTCAGCTTAATTACAAAGCTCTGATTATAAGAGGTTGACGAAGTCAATCTACTTGTTGGCTAATTCTTAAAATACCCTGTAAACATACATGCTCGCTAATACATGTAATTCCTGACACATCCGGTAAAGTTCTAATTCACTTTAATCTTAGGTTCTGTTTGATTCTCATCATCAACTTACCAATATCATCTTTGTTACCTCCCTTTGGGGTAAGAAGCTGTTTTGTAATTTCATATCCACCAAAAAAGAAAAAATAACCGGGCATTTCTCTAACGAAGGTACTGGTTAACCCTTTATACATTCCCTGTATACCTTCATTTACTAATATCTCTTTAGTTAACCCCCATGGTCCTCTGTAAAAAAAGGAAAATCTGATTACACATAAGATTAGAGTGCATAGTGGGATGCTAGATTGTTAGTCTGGGAAATTTCAGATTGACTGAATTAAGTCTACAACATTTCTGCCAATCCCGAAAATATGTGTGAGCATAATAGTGAAATAATCAGACATTTCTGCCATGGCCTCTTTTGAGGGATTGTGTGGTAAGAACACTGGCCTGGGTTCAGCTGGGATGAAATGAATCTTTTCAGTTAATCTGGCCCCAGTTTTTACAAAGCATTCACAGACATAATTTAAGAATTTACTCAACATTCAATCACAGTTGATGAGAAACATCTTTGATCCAGAGACACAAAACTTTGCACATGTCTCTTTTTGAAGTATTTGATACATTAAAACAACAAAAGTTTTATAAAGGGCTATATTTTAGTTAAAATAAGACAACCAATTTTGAATCAACTCAACTTATGTCAGAGAATGTTTTGTAAAATTGGGGCCTGGTTCTCACTTAAGTTATCATCGGCCTGCATGGATGACAAGGAATGTTAGTTGTTTGGATGGGATTAAAAACTATTGTCCTCTGTAAGAGAATAGAATGTCTCATCAACTCAATACTTTTGCAAACACATGGTATTTGTTTCATTTCTATCTGGTAAAGGCTGAAACTTTGTTCATGCGTACCATCTGTTAGTCCGTGGAGAGGCCAACATTTTGGAATACCCCAGACGGTAAAACGATTGTCTATTGCGTCTTCTAGTTTTCAGCTACAATAATATCTGGTAAAAGGCTGAAACTTTGTTCATGTGTACCATCTGTTAGTCCGTGGAGAGGCCAACATTTTGGAATACCCCAGACGGTAAAACGATTGTCTATTGCGTCTTCTAGTTTTCAGCTACAATAATTTTTTTTTGTAAATACATGTATCTTGATTTTAGATATGGCAATTGCAAAACGATAATCTGCTTCAACTTCTTCTTCTACATTTATCTACATACTTGTACATCCGTGGTATAAAAACAGATGACTTACATTTTTAATCTGTTTAATCCTCCTTCTAACTCCCCCTGTGTCGCCATTTCTCTCATCGCTTGTAATCTACATTTAATCAACTCTGTTGGACACAATGCAAAACTAGAAAAAAAGGCTGCTCCACCACCAGCCAATGCATTTTCTAATGGATTTAGTGTTTTTATGTCTGATTTATTTCGTATCGAACCTACGACCTTTTGACACATTCCGTAAAAACAAAATAAGACAGCATTTTCTGCGATGTTGGCAGCAAGTGATGGAACTGTTCCAGCATAAAGTCCTCGACGTATACCATCCTGTTTATAAGTTTCTTTGAAACAATAAAAAGCGTTTCTATATAATTCGGGAAATGTTTGCATCTTGACCTTAACGGTGTCTAATGGTTGACCAACGAATACAGTAGCGGCACCACCTGTTAATTAAAAGAAAGAAATATTTGACAAATTTGATTTAAATTCGTATACAAAGTAGACATAGGTATTTAAAAATGGAAATGGACGAAGGTTTATAAAGTTTTACTTTCTAAACTAATCCATGTTCCTGAAGCAATGACCACCAGTATTACAACATCTAGCCGTTGTCAGATTAATCAGAGATTCCCTTTACCACAGACACGTGAACAACAGTGTTGTCGAATCAGAGGCTGTGACACAAACACACTCAAATCAAACATGGTGACCTTCACCGAAACCCTGACATCGAACTAACCTTGAACTTTGTAACTTTATTATCAGAAGTAGACATTTTAGCTGAGAAGTGCAAGACTCGGTATTTACGATGATATTTTCTTTTAAGGAATCTGAGAGCTCCCCAGCTGGGTCAGTAGCCAATCGAAATTAGTGACGAAATATGCTAGGTATTACAGCAGGATCAAGCCTTCTATTGAAGATGAAACTAACATACCATTTGCATCTACTCTAAAACAAATACCAACTGTCAATTTGTAAAAGGTTTTTTTGGGGTTTTTTTAAATCTGGGATGAAAAGTGTTAATTGGGTAGTAATTTAGATTATTAAAACCAGGTTAGATTCAATCTTTTAAGAATTAGGAATGAAAAATGTTAACTAGGTAGTAATTTAGATAATTAAAACAAGGTTAGATAAAATCTTTTAAAGTTTGATGGTTAATTAGGATAGGAACTATATAGCCATAACTAATACTTAGAATAGCTGATCTTAATAATTAATGGTAAGACTACTTTTTACAATGTATGATCTAAAAGTCGATATTTGCTCTTTATTCTGGAATACAAATGTGCCTTCAAAACATGTTAAAAAAAAACCCCAAGTGCCTACATGACGATATAATGACTATTCTGTTAAGTATGTATACAATAATTTCAATATTAGCACTAACCTGCAGTTCCCCCTGTTAAATCTATTAGAGCATCAACAATAGTCGGTCTATTTGATTTAACAGCCACTGCCCTGGCTTCTACTAACTCTAGATTCTGTTCCATTTTTATATCTGTTTATAAAAAAAACACACATATATCAGTTACAATGAAATGAAATGGGGTTTATTGTCCTACTTTCCGGGAGAGTGTGCAGGAATTTGAACAAGATATAAGTCTGTGTAGTGTAGTCTACTGATTGGCTACGATATGATCACCTTAGGTGAAGTGGACGTGAAACTCTAGAAACGAACGAACGAAGTTTACTGATTGATTTGGGATACAGCCTGGGTCATCATACATGTATACTGTATATTCACGATATCTAACGCATTTACCATGGACCTTAGTTATAGGCCTATAAGGTCCATGATCTAACTTAGTAGCTATAATAAATATTGGGGAACTGGGGGGGGGGGGGCAACACTGAATATGTCCATTCATGAATCTAGGGCATTATTACATCAGCACCTATCCTTTACCGCAATATGATGATGTAATAATCATGAGTGATTATTAATGATGCCAAACATGTCTTGGCGCTATATATATAGGACTCGCCGAGATTCTGATGATAACTGTCTGAAAGTTTACCTCTCTGATTATGCGTTAGTCTTTGTATAATTCATAATAATTGGGCCAATAAGTACCGTTTTACCATGAGGTCAATGTCATGTTGACTTGAACAACATTTTCAAATACCGGGTGAATGTTTTATTAATCAACTAAAATATCAACACATCAAAATTAATATCTTCTTCATTTTACGTTTTTCTACAAATTACATGTCATTTTAAATAAATAAACTTCATATATCATAAAATATATTATATTAAATGTTCATGTCTTACCAAACTTATGAATGAATGTTTTCGCTGTTTTTACGTTGTTGCCTTCTTCGAACTTGTAAACCTGATCTGGGAAATCTCGTTCACCTTAACCTTATTTACAAAAGTAGAAACCCGGAAGTGCATACCTCCAGAATCCTGCAATATCATTGGCTGGTTAACTGGGGTTAAGGGTGGAAGGTCATGTAAATAAATCGAAAGTTGCCACGTGGCCGCCGCAGGCAATATTTATTGCATCCTAATATTGGAAAGAAATGTTATTTTTTTGTTTTATGTCAAATCCCATTTGCTTATGTGACTCTATTCTCATTTGTGTCATTCGTTAATGGAATAGTCTCCATTCTGTGAAAATCTCACGATCGAGCTAGCATGATTTATGTTTTAACCGGGTAAAACAGGTCTAAATAGCCTAATACCCTAGACTTTTTTATTGGTTCAAAATCAGTGCAAGTTAACAATTAAATAACGTTCGACACAAAACATACCAACTTTTATTATATAGAATGGTAACTGCTGGGATGACATTGGATCTGCAAAATTATATTGCCGATCGGATATAAATTCGAATTAAGGTCATGCGTGTGCAGGCCTGCGTATTGACGTGTCTAACTGTGTTCTGAGAGAGAAGGAGATTAAACATACATTATGCAAGTGCTAAATCTGTCTATTGCAGGTCTTTCTTTAGGCCTGAAATGTTATCTAAATTATTAATTAGACATTAATTAACTTATCCAGACCATAATCAACTCTCGTTGTCAATGCTAGCTTGCGGTATTTACTGGATTAAAATTAGGACCCCATTTAACCGCTTAACTTTCATTCCAGATTTAATCATGAAATGGATAATAGAAATTATGTTTTTTTTTTATATTGTATCGACTTTAGTAATGATGATTGAGGCTAGGCCGAAAATTCAATCGCTATTTTCTCAGTTTAGAGTGGATCAATTTGACTGAAATTTTCAGCAAATTCCCTTTACATTATCTAGTTTTTAACTATTATAGTGAGAACTGCCAACTCTTTATCTAATCCCCCATAATTTATCTTTAACATTAAAAAATGTCAAGTAACCAATGTGAGTACAATTTAACATAAGTCAACACAAACAAGGTTATTTCTGGACTTATGGTTTATCGTGATTTCAATACCTCGCTTGTGCATGGGGATCTTTTGTCAGGGGTGTGGGGTGGGAAAGGATAAAACTCGGAGAAAAACAGCGGGGTTATACTCCAAATCTGTAATGCTAGGTTCCCACGGTCGTGCGATACGTTACGAGTTGCTACGTGCGGATGCGTTTCGATACGATCAACACGATTGCTACGACTGACCAAAATATATGATAAGACCTGAATTTAAAGAATCGCCACACTCATCCCACGATTAAAACCAATATTTCAATCGTAGCCCGAATCGTGATAGTGGGAACCTAGCATTACACACAAGCCTGGTATCGAAACCACAACACCTGAAGTAATGACAGGTGTTATGGCCTAAAGCGCACGCGTTAGACCACCGGTCACCCCCTGAGAAAGAGAATAAAAATTCCAGACTCTTTTAATATTTGAAAAACCTCCCTTGTATGCTTAGGCGTCTCGTATTGGTACGCTACCCAGGCCTATCAAAACGAGAAGGCGACGAAGATGTTGTGTGCGGAGTTTTCGGTTTGAGGATATTGGCATCAGCTCTATAAAATGTGAAACAGGAACTATATTAGAATATTTAACAGTTTTAAAAACTTTATCTATGAATTACAATGTATTCATTATCACATTATCAGTTAATACAGACACGGTTATTTTTTATGATTTTGATTTAACAAGAAATAGAGATCAAAACACATGATTATTGGGCTTTAATATAAATATAAACTGATTTTATATATAAATATGTATAACTTGACACACATCATATAAACCATACAACTTTCATATCTAACTATTTACAGTTATTATTTACAGTTATTTATCACATTTCTTACATTCATATTAAAATAAATAAATTATAGTAGATTCAATTTCCTCATCACAGAACAATAACCTAAGTATAGATTTATGCCCTTTAACTTTAAAAGAATATCCAGTGATTTCGCGTCGAAGAGAAATATATGCCCATTGTTTTAGAAATTGCCTTTGAAGGGTTATAAAATTGTATTTAAATGCAATCGACTTCTTATCGTAACGTGACTGTCAATTAGATCGGATATATGTCATGTTCATATTATTGGAACCATTTGCTAGTAAAGTTATTTGGATACCAAATAATTTAAGATTTACAGTTTCCAAACTACGAAAACAAGAAATATGATGTCATGGAAAATAGAACAGTTTGGTATGGCTATTACATATTACATGCATCGCATGTTTCAACTCCATGTAAAGACTCGTGAATGCTGTTTTTTTCTTCATAAATTGGTAACAATATTGTCACTTTGATTAATGCCCATATATATAGCATGCAATTGGTAGGTTTTTATATAAGTTAATTATTATTTCAGTGATTTGATTTTTTAGCACAATTTATGAATTTACGCTATTATAGACTGTTTATGATCTTGATTCATCTTGTGTGACTCGAGCTTGTAGCAGCTGAAGCGTGGTTGTGAAGTCTGGGATTCTGGAAGAACTAGATCGGGAACCTGTACCATTACCGCTTCCAGTACTCGAACTTCTACTTCCACGTGATGCACCGGATCGGCTATCGTCTCTAGAAGGTGCATGTGGTGCCAGTAGGCCTTGAGGCAGAGCTGTTTCTCTTGCTGGACGTCTGCTCCGCCTGTTACGAGATCTTAGCTCGCTAGGGGCATCTCGGGACAAGAAATTGGCATACGATTCGCTTCGTCTTCCACGGCGTTCCTGCGAATCTGTCGGACTTTCTTCAGAAGAATCTCCTTCATTGAAATGGGGATACTCTGATTCTATTAAGCGTGTCAGTCGGGTAGCGTCTAAATAGGGGTGATAAGTAAATCCTTCCTCATCCTCCGGCTGATTTAGACTCTCGTCCTCCACACTTAGATCTGTTAAACCGGATGGGAGTCCGCTATATGTACAATCAAGCGGCATATCCCTAGCGGTTCTTCTTTCCTGTTCTTGCTGTTCTTCCATGTCGAAAAGTATCAACTGGTGGTGAGGAACAGGTTCAGACAGACCAGGGTCCTCATACGGAGTTACTTCCCCTAATCCACTCATCTCCGCTAAAAAGACTCCTTCACTCTCAACGTCGAATTTGTAGGAAACGAAAAGTGCATTATCTTTTGCATCTGCTTCTGATTTGAAAGATTCTTCCTTTTGTTTTACCTTTTCATTTATTGTGAAGAGTTGTCGAACGTCGTTTGTAGTTCGCGCTTGTTTAAAAGAGTCGTACAGTTTTTGGAGTTCCGTACCTTTATCATTCAAATCATCGAATGTTTTTGTCATTTTGTCTTTCTGTGCTTTGATCATTTCCTTTAGACAGTTTATCTGAGAATCTTGGCGACGTTCCAGAAGAAGTCTGTATTCTATGAACGTGTCTTTTATTTCATTTTTTATTTGTCTTTCAAGCATATCCAGTCTTTTTAAACCATTCCCTAAACCGTCCGCCCTTTGTTTCATCTTATCTAACAGTTGTCTGCTTTTATTTTCCACCGTATTGAATTCCTCGGAACTTTCGGTCAATGCGTCTGTAACGTCGACGATAACGTGACCTTGTTGTTCTTTGTGATCTAAAACAGTACAGTCCCGACAAACTGGCACTAAGCAAGTCTTACAGAAGAAATTTATCGGTTGTCGTTCGTGTTTGGAGCATGAATTCTGCGATTTTGAGACCGCCTGTGATAGGAAATCAATCATTTGTATAACGCGGTGATCACTAGGTAATTTTTTGATTTCACTTCTGCTGAGATAGATTTCTACGCGGCAAGTCGGACATTTAAGCGTTCCGTCACGATTTTCGTCTCCCCACGTCGATCTCTCCCGACGGGAAGATGGCTGACTGTGATCAAACACCTGTTTTAGACAGGGTTGACAAAATGTGTGATTACAGGGAAGTGATTTGGGTGTTCTTTCCTCGCGGTCGAATTTTTCCCGGCAAACTTGACACCGTAAGAACTGTTCCTCAAAAGATGCTTCGTCGACGATGAGATTTCTACTTGCTGAATCTGTTGCTATGTCATTGGAATCGGTTGCCATGGCTTTCTCAACAATCTGAAATAGAGTCAAAAAGTTTTTTAATCATTTTAAAATTAATCAAGCATAATTAGTAGATCAGTTCAACGACAATGTACAATGTGTGAAGTTCGAATGGGGGAGGATAATGGACGCAAGGCGTTGGCACTCGGTAAACCTCGGCAGACTCATGTAGGGTACTGAAATCTGCTGAGGTTTGGCCGATAAAGTTCCTCGGGGTCTTCCATGGTTTCCCCTTGTCAGCTGTGCAGGATGAAGGCCTGGCATGGACCAGGTTCTGGTCGTTTGAATGTGACGATAAGATGAGATCCCGTATCGATGGAGAATGTAAACATGCCTCCAAGCAAACTGTATGACATATGCCCATTTTCAGAAGCCCGGGCATTAACCCATACTTTATTTCGTTTTTCCCATATATGTCAACCGTTAGTTGAATTTTTTGTTTTTTTTAATAAATAACAGCAAACTAGTTTCATAAGTGTCCAAGGGCTTGGGAACTAGAACGCAATATCAGGAAAAGGAGAAAAATCTTTCTGTAACTGACGCCGTAGAAGAAATGATATCTATATAGGGTGTCTAGACATTATGGGGGAAAGTACACGAATTATTTTTTTTTTCTTATTGTGATATCTATTCGCGCAGACAACAGGATAAGAACCCAAAGAGACCACCAATGACTAACAATTGGCAAAATGCCATTAAGGAGAGATATAAACCCGTGACATAAGAGTGGGGTTTAACGTCCACACAACACGAACTATGTTATTTCAGGACCAATATATATGGTACACTTTTATTTCAAAAATTAGGGTAAACCGGAGAATGCAGAGGAAACTGACGAGAGTCTGGAGACTCTTTATCACTTTCCACACTATGTGTAGTGTAAAGAACGACACTGGGGAAAGAAAGACTGAAGAAAATAACCTCAGAAAAAGAAAGAACCACGCCGCGAGGTTTTTCTTTCGAGGGTTTTTCTTTTCTTCCCCAGCATAACCGAAGTAGAGGACTTTATCTTGCTTATGTTTACATGTACGTAAAATGAGAATATCCCAGAATTCCTGTAAGAAAAATATTGTATCATGTTTTCTTATGGAAAAAAAGCCCCTGCCCTGGAAGAATAACCCGTTACAGGTTTAAAGTAAAACTTTCAGAAGAATAACCCTAAATTCCCCTGTATATATCCAAAGCCGTGCCGACTTTCTGACCGCAAGTTATTCCGGGCATATACCCCAAAGATCAAAGAGATTTACCGTTATAGGTTTATACGATCTCTCAAAAATGCAACATAAGCGGGAAAACAAAGTTTAAAAAGTTATATATATGATTAAGAAATGTGGCTAAGATTGATGAATCTTATCGTAGATTCAGAGACTCTGTATAAAAGTATAAAAGCTATTCAATCATAAATTTCTTGAAATACTTCAGTTACAATTCTGTGTTATTATATCATTTTATTTCACCGAATATACCAATATTTGATTATACTCATCTAGTTAGAAATTCCAGAAACTAATTTACTTTAAAAAAAAAAAAAAGAAAAAAAGTAAAGAGCGACGAAAGTAAAAATCAGTTATTTAAAGAGTGATTTAAAGTATATATTATATTTTAACAATGATTTGTAAAAGATACAACAATATTGTACAATGTGTATTTTTTTTATGGATTGTATGGTTTATCCTAAAGCCTTATCAGAATTCAATTAAATGTACGTTATTTTCATCATTTCTGTGTTTGCCATGAATCATTACTGTATAATAAACTTATTTTACTAAATGTTATATTGATCAATTTGAAATTAATAAATATTTAGTGTATAAAATCCTTACTCAAAACATATAATCAAAATAACCTTTGATTTCCTTTTATGAGGGCTTTACCACGAAATAAAACAGATCAATCTATTCTGTTGGGCCCCTTTTTAAGCAGTATATTTATTTACCTATTTGACTATATTGCCCAGTATTGTATTTTATCAATTTGAAATGAATATTTAGTGAGGTTAAATGCTTACCCGAAACGTATAATCCAAATCCCTAAAGATTTAAGGGTTTCGTCTAATCAACGTGGAATTTAAATGACTGATAGTCCTACCCACGTGTTTATATTTATATTTACTTATGCATAGTGACGTCAGATATAAACAAACCCGATATTGACCAGTTGACATGGTATATATCACAGTTAATTGTTCTAATAATAGATCTTTCTTATATACCCCTTTATACAGTAATATAATAGATATACGACGACCTACCTTTACCTTTACGATGATATCATTTACGCTTACCCCACCTGGAGATTAGCCAATTGTCATAACAAATAAGAATTCAGTCATCAAAGCGCATCGGAGACAAATCGATTGATCGAATTCAGTACTTACCGTATTTTTGTTTTTATATTCAACGATTTCTGTAATCTTAATAATATGATATATTAGTCTATATTCCCTGTTTGGATGTAGTATATGTTTATAATGCCCAGTAGAGAATTCAATATGGAGTCGCGCACAGGGCAGGTTTAAGCATGTCTCTGTTACTAAGCGGGTTCTAACAAGTTCCATAACCTACCTGTAACGGTCATTATTATTTATTGATATATACCGTGAATATAGCTGTATTGACGCGACAGCTTTATACGTATCAATTTGCACGTATAATAACCACTGTACAGCATTGTCATAGTATTTAAGGGGAAGCCCTTTTAGTATAATTTTAAAAGGATTTATTCATCCCTAACTGTAAAAGAGATGTTCGGTGTTACAATACTATATATTTTTGCACGTGTGAAAGTGCGAAAACTTTTTATTTCTTTATTCGCTTTTTATTTCAGAGAAATGAGGGAGAAATAGTGTAAACATTATGTTAAAAAATTAGTGTTTAATGAAAAAAAGATGAACAGCGTAGCTGTATATACAACTATATGGAATGAAATGAAATTAATGGGGTTTAACGTCCTAATGTTCTGCATCGAATGCACTAATGAAGACGGGCATGCGTCATAGGGAAATTTTGCCAGATCAGCGGCACTACGGTCTACTCCTAAATTCCAACGGTCAAGGGTTATTTTACGTGCACGCCAATGTGCATACGGACCTCGGGTTTTCTTCCCATCCGAACGACTATACGTTGTCCCTTGGCTCGCCTCCATCCAGCACTACTGATATACCGATGAACTTTTCACGGCCAACACCGGGAGCGAACGGGACTTCAAGGTTACCGAACCCACGCCTTAGTCACTGAGCTAACGCGGCTCCCCTATACAACTAGGATCAAATACAGCTATGGTCTTAATCGTATTTATTCTCTAGTACGAACATAAAATAAAATGGATTTAACCACGTCTTACATGACTACTACATATCAGGGGATCTTTAACGTACTACCAATGTAGACGGGAATTCGATTGATCGTCCCACCCGAATGACTAGGCCCTCCGTCTTATACCACTGACAATTCTAAGGGCAGACTTATAAATCCCGAGAAATTTTCTAGGCAAACGGGAACTCCTGGTTAATGACCCATCGCCTCACCCACCCTAGGTCTTTAATACAGTCGCCATACCCACCCTAGGTCTTTAATACCGTCGCCATACTCACCCTGTCTTTAATACAGTCGCCATACCCACCCTAGATCTCTAATAGTCACCATACCCACCACAGATCTCTAATACAGTCGCCCTCCATACCCACTCCAGATCTCTAATACAGTCGCCCTCCATATCCATACCCATCCCAGATCTCTAATACAGTCGCCCTCCATACCCACCCTAGATCTCTAATAGTCGCCATACCCACCACAGATCCCTAATACAGTCGCCCTCCATACCCATCCTAGATCCACCTAGCATTTTAAATGAAACTAATTTTGATATTTAAATAATAAACTGATCAATTTTATCATAATCTGCAAACGTAGTTTATCTTGAAACATTCAACGACGTGTTGTAAAAACCACGGCTGGATTTAATATTAAGTATATTAAGCACGTGCTTAGGTATCAAATGAGGAGGGGCACCTCACAAATTTGCCATTGTCGGATTTACCATGAATCACCACCATACGCTGAAAAATTTAAAATGGCCTGGGTCACGAAAAGCCACCCTGTTAAAGTATATTAAAGAGTCCTAACAAAAGGATTGGATATGTTACCGGTACGTAAAATTAGTTTGGAGGATCTGATCAAAGATTTTGCAATTTAAAAAAAGTAGGAGAAACATTATTTTCAATCTTAATGTAAATTTGTTTAATTATAGTTTATTATTGAATTGCATATATTATGGGGCCATTAAAATCTTTTAAGTGCTTAGGCTCTCTATAGGTCTTTCCGGCCCTGGCAAACCCAAGGAAATAAAATAAAATTGGGGTGAACGGGCTAATGAAGACGGGCAAAAAGAAGGACCAGCGTACATGGATGTGGGGACAGGGGCATAAATATATGCAAATAAACGCAGAGATCTGAATTTAGTCGGCACTGAGGAATCCCACCGAGTTTTAGAAAACAAAATATGTCGGTAACTCATTCACAAGATTTTAATTAATTTGAGAGTAAACGGGGAATATGTCACTGTCGCTGAAAGACAGATCTAAACATTGAATAAAGTATTGCAAACATATTTCAGTGCACAAGCTTAAATAGGTGTTGCCATGACAAAAAATTTGAAAATTGAAATAGTTCTTTGGTTACGCATTTTATATGTTTATTCAGTTCTTATATATTATGTTGAGTAATGTTGACCCCCAGTTTATGACTAATTTCTAATGCATATAAAGAACATCTAATATGTGAACTATTTTAATATCGCGTTTCAAACATTAAGTAATAAGTAAGTCTATTTTCGGAAGTGAGTTTTGAGACATTCTCCATATTATCTCGTTACAGGCCCAGGGCTGTACAACGTAGTAGACACTAAAGTGCCCCCTCCTCCATTCACATAATTTGTTTCGGTAATACTTTACTTGAAAGATTCACGTCTACCAGACATGTGATGATAGCCAGGAAGATATCTTGTGATCTAGATTGAACAAATTGGTGCTAGCAAGTGGTATTATCCTGTAGCAAAAGGCCACTCGATTAATGTGGGCATTTTTTAACAACCATCAAAAATTCTACCTCTGTGAATACATTTTAATTAATGACATCTGATAAGGATGATATCTAAACCCCTTTCTATTTGCATGTAAGAACAATAATATATATATACATCTAAGATTGGTTCTGGGAGAGACAGGGAGTTCAGTTTCTGGATTCACTAATAGCAGTATGGTATATATATATGCCTGATAATAATCCTATTAAAGTGTTTCATGCTTTCCTGTGAATTAAAGTTCCAGTTCACTACCCAGATGTTACTGACAAAATAAGAACTCCACCATGTAACACTATTTCAGATAAACAAAATAATCAATTAATAATATGATAAATAATGATATTTATTTCTACATTTTTTCATTGAAAATACAAACAAACACTTAAAGGGAAATGAATGATATTGGGGTTGTCTGGGGCAATAACATTTTTATTTCAATAATAGAAATGGCTCAGTTGTCTACCAGTTGATATCAATTCCTTTAATAACAGAGATAAACAACTGAGACATTTTAAAACACAAATGAAAACGTTTTTACAATAGTCCATATCTATTTTTAATTAAAACAATAAATTTTTGAATGATTTGGTTGATTAATACACAAATACCAGCAATAAAGTTATATGTTATAGACAAGGGTTCACTATAACACTACCAGGGGAGGCTATTAACATTTGTCTGCGATATCACGTCTGTGGAAGCGGACCTTAAATAAAGCTATTTCACACACACACTTTTCACACTATCAGAGGAGGCTTCTTCTGACTCCCATCATATATTAAACATGTCCAACCTAGAGTCCACAGACCTATTAGCACACTTTTAAAAAATTTGCGGTTGATCCAAGGAGAAAGTGGGCCCGTGAAAAATTCAGTATTCAGTCACACATTTGTTACATGCCACCTAGCTGCTTCCACATTCAGTTCTGTTCTTCAGATAAAAATAAAGAGTAGGAACAGATGATTTTATTGTATGGTAATAATTTAAGGCATGCATGAAATCAGACAGAACAGAAAAAATGCAGATACATGTAAAGTCCTCAGAGATTTGCATAATGTTCTGAGGGGTCCATTTATTGAACAAATTTGACTATATCTAGAACAACCTCCAGTGTGCTTTGACAAGTTGTGGGCATGCAAAGTAGATTCTGGTGACAAATAAACTGGCCACAAAATGAGAAGAAGAATAGAAGAAGATGAGAAGCATATAGTGCTAGCACCTCAGGGTAAAAAGGTTTAAAACCCCTGTTATAGCAGTGACCAAGTGTATAACATATCTTTATCTGATTATGATGATGTCAAGCAGCAGTATTGGTATAATATTCATATGGCAATTAAATTCAACTATCTTAACTACAGAATCTGTTTAAATAGAATTATTCCCCTTTTTAACTGAAACATAGGTCTTAATTATCAGACACTCGGCAAACCTCAGCAGATTCCAGTACCCTACATCTAGCCTTGGCTGTATGACGAAGTCAGCCATTGGAACTACTTTAAAGTTCCTGGATTACCAACGGCGTTGCCCATGACAGCGCCTTTAAAGAATGTTTTATCATACAAATATTTCAAAGTCTGAAGTTTATCCGATTTTCTTCAAACAAGGACAACTTTGCACTGAAAATTCAAATTCTACACACGCTTCGAACGCCGCAATTTTGATAACTTCTTTCTAAAAGATTTTCCCTAATAAGTAAACCGGTGCCGCATCGCAATTGTATAGGCGTAGGTACATATCACTTACCGTCATACAGCCGAGGCTAGATGTAGAGTAACGGAATCTGCCGAGGTTTGCCGAGTGAATTATCAGATTCTTTACATATCCATGCAGAATCAAGATGGTGGAACTGTTTAAATAGAATTATTCCCCTTTTTATCTGAAACACAGGTCTTAGGGAAATAACTCTATTGCCACAGTTGATACAATTTGAATAATAAACAATCCAATTAATAAACTTTTACTCGGTCTGATCAATCTGGTGTAATAAACGTTAATAAATTCTGGATGCACCAACAATTCTCACAAACTCATTGCGTCTTTTGTCACATTTTTATGATTAAAACTTTTTTCTCAATTTCTATTTGTTTCTTCACCATTTTCTATATTCCATACCATCAGGCGGTTTGACTTCAGTTTTTTTATTGCCGATTTCTGACCAGTTTGTGCTGAGAACAGTTCCGCCAGATTCACTCTGGAATATTAAGAAATATATTAGAAAATAGGAATATCTGGGCTGAAATTATCTCAAAGAAGTTCAGGTGGACTGTAAATCGTTCACTGAGTGTCGTTCTCAATTCATGGGAGGAGGGCAGGTGTGTGTGTGCAGTCACCAAGTGGTAGGGCACTGGCCTTCGACAAGCATGCCCCTGGATTTTTTAAACCTGGTTCTCACTTGTCTGGCATTATTCCCATGGGACATCTAGAATGCCAGGACCCTCATCCTGCACCACTGACAAGAAGAAACCAGACTGGAAAATCATGAGGAACTTTCTACACCAAAATTAGCATCCAGCACAGGACCTTCACGAATATACCATGAACACCATTATGGGCAATAATTTCTGTCTGACATCAGTATATGTAATAAATAGGGCTGTTAAGTATTCACTGTGATAAGGGTTTGATCTTTGTTTAAAAACTAAACAAAATAAGTAACCCTTATGAATTAGCAACATAATAGATATTTGTACTTACAAAAGATTTCATCATGGCTTTTTTAACTTCATCAGTTCCATCAGCATAAATTTGTTGGAAAAGGGAATTTAATGCTGCATCTCCTTCTGGTTTTTCATTTTTCTCTTCTTCTGCTACCTCTTTAGATATCTTGTCCCAATCTTTTTTCTTACCAGATGTTGGATAAGTTGCTGTTATATACAAATGGAGTTTATTTAATATGTGCCTATCTTAATTACAATGAATAACTGTTTACTAGAGGTTGGGAATGAACTGAAATGAGATTTACTGGTATTACGAATAAGTCTGGTCTGCATGTGAAGTCCTTTGTCAGTGGTGCAAGTGCACCTAAAGTATACCATTTTGAGATTAACACATGGTTCTATTGTGCACAGATGGAAAATTAACATTTTCGGTCTCCTGCAGACATAATTTAACTAGAGGAGACTGGATTTTGAGAACTAAGGACATTAATGCTGAAAGAAATATCTTACGTGGCGTAAATTGTTTAATATTATCATCTTCCTTTCCATCACCCTCTAATTTAGTCCACTGTAAACCTTCTCCTTTCTTTAATTTAATTTCAATCTTTAAATAAATCATAAGTAATAATTAATACAGTTATAACTTCAACAATTGTTATTTTCAAATTGTCACTGTTATAACTTCAACAATTGTTATTTTCAAATTATCCCTGTTTGGACCAATGAAAACAACTACTCCTGTACCGCCTCAAACCATGAATAGCTGCGTGACCTAAGCGGCTTGGAGTGGTCTAGAGAGTGTTATTTTCGCTACTAAAGTCAATGTAAACAATACCTCTATTCTCATAGGCGTACAGGGAAATTTTTGACTGGGGGGGGGGGCGGTGGTGGTTGGTGCCCAAAAAATGTAGTTAGGTTCTTAGTATGTTACATGATAATAATAAATTCGCTGTTAAATTGGACACATTCAAGAACACAATATTTTTTTATACAACTGTGTGCCCAAATTTTCCCAGCATTTGGTGCCCAAAATGGGGGGGGCGGCAACCTAAAACAGAATTTTATGTTAAATTTTAAGTGAAAGAGTTGATTCCATCCTTTTTCTGGCGATTACAAGTTGTTAAAAGGTTCATATAACCCCAGAATTTTCTTATTTAAATAATAAAAAACATATTAAAATATAGACTTAAATGAACCTTTGTAGACATAATTTTATAGCTGCTTTGTTCTGGTGCGATGACATGGGCCAGATCCAAGTCTAAATTATAGTCACTCCCAGTTGGTAATTTTATCGTTACACTTAACTGTAATAAACAAATAGTAATTATCAGTACTGATATAAACAAATCATTTAAAGGAAAATATTGGTGTCAGTCATTATTACATATGTGATAGAACTGGTTAAATACATTCCAAATATAATTTTAACACAGAGATCATTGCTACGGGAGACGTGTATCAAGTACGTGAAGAAACGGGAAGTGACGCCAAACATGACAAACACGAGTTGTCCTTCTATATAACAGACTGAAGTAACGAGAGACAAACGATCGAATTTCATTTCACTGATAATTCCGTTGAAGTTAAAAAGTTATTATATGGGACGGTGAGAGGGAATCTCACAATTCAAAAATAGAATTGGCTGTCACTAGATAAGGGACACGAGAAAAAGTAGAAAAATCCTGTGCATTCCCCCGTTTTTATTCATTCTGTTCTTAATAAAAACATGGTAATGTACGGACTTTTTCTAATTTGTTCGTTATCTTTTATCTACTGACAGCCAATTCTTTTTTAGAATTGTCAGATATCCTCTCATCGTCTCATATAACAACTTTTCATCTTCAACGGAATTATCAGTGAAATGAAATTCGATCGTTTGTCTGTTACCGCTCGTTAATTTAGTCTGTTATATAGAAGGACAACTCATGTTTGTCATGTTTGACGTCACTTCCCGTTTCTTCACGTGCTTGTTACACAACTCCCGTAATCATGATCTCTGTGTTAAAATTATATTTGGGATGTATTTAACGAGCTCTTATCACATATTTTATAATGACTGACACCAATATTGTCCTTTAATTAAAAGTGTTGCAATGGCCATCATTGTCATTTATACTAACTTTGTGTCATGCAGAGAGATTTCTTCTCCTTTAGACATGGCTCAGTGAGTAAGATGCTGGCTTGCTCCTGGAGGTCCTAATCTCGATCCTAATTTGAGAGTTCATCGGGATATTCCGACATGGTTGCCCTGTGTCAGTGGTGCAGGAATGGGGAAAAAACAGAGGCCCTGGGTACGCATTGATGTGTACGTAAAAGAAACCTTGGCAGTTGGAATTAGATATAAGTATAAGAGTAGGCCGTAGTACCATTGTCCAAACAAAATTTCCCTCATAGCACACTGTATGGAATAAGCCCGTATTCATTAGCCCAGTTGGAGCAGAACAGTACGACGTTAAACCCAATTTCATTTGTATAGATATCTTTTTGGTACACTAATAAACAAGTCAAAATTTCAATTCACAGACATTTTTTAAATAACAATGATTATGGATATATGATTATTGAGCGGGGAATACTACCAGTTATGACAAAAAGTCTTTCTAAATCAGGCCGGTTTTACAAAGCATTCTCACACTCAAGTTAGAATAACTAAACTTTCAATTACTATATGAGAAATATTTTTGATCCAGAAATGCAAAAAATTGCACATACACTGTAGTTTCTTATTGATAAACTTGATACATTAAAACAACAAAAGTTTTATAAAGGGCTATATTTTAGTTAAAGATTCTTAATGTAAGCCTAAGAATGTTTTGTGAAACCAGGGCCAGGTAGAGGTTTTAGGCACCTTGTTATCACAAATACTTACATTTCTCTCAGAAATATTAATCTGTGCATCTTCTTGTTGAACATTCTTGATTAAAATAGTAACAACAACATGAGTATGGGTCTGATACCAGTCATATCTAAATAATATCAAATAATAGGACAATATATCAAACAAATAAAAATATTATCACAAAATAATATATTAATTACTAATGGAAAGATAGATCTATCAAAACAATATAATTGAAATAGACTAACTTGATGTAGGGCCTACCAACAAGATGCAAAGAAACCTCTTCCATTATTGTACACAATAAAACACTTTTTTATCTCACATTTTTGTTTAAAATAAGAAAATGTACTTAATAGGGAAGATATTAGTAACTGCCACCTGTCCAGTACTGCTACCAATCTGTTTCACAGAGATCTTTTAATATCTCTGTTACAGATGACTGTTTCGAAACGTGACGTCACATCACGCGGAGTCAATCATTGGCTCAACAGCGCGTGCATTGTTTACATAAGACGTTACTGATTTGGGCTAAATGGTGAATTTTACTTATATTTTAAAGTAGCTAAGTCTCTAACTCAATATCATCCAAAATCTTCAACATTGAAAACACGATTTATTTGTCAAATTAAATCAACATTGATGTTGTGATCTTACCGGAATAAGATGGGCTTTTGATATCCAATATTTAAGACAAAATAAACATTTTACCATTGGTACACGAATCGTGTACCATAATGCGCTTCAGCCCCAGTAGTAAAAAGAGACTCGGAGGATGAGGCTAGACACATTGCACCAAATCGAACGGCGTATGTAGACTGGAATAACCAGACGCTAGAAATTTGCACTCGATTGAGACTGCAGGCTTATTTCGCCGAACATAACTGATTTGAAATTGGAGTAAAAATGGAAACGATTGAATGTACATCAGTTTATATACATTCATATTACAGTATTATATGCGTTGCGACCCACTTTTGTCAATTTCTAGGTCCCAAATGTTAGCGATTTAGCTCCTTTAATACCCATTTACACTAAATAGGAAATGAGTTTTACCTACAAACAATTCAAACGTCTTTATTTATTTTTCTAATAAATGAAAAAAAGTTTTTAAAATTTAATTTGATGGAAGAAAAAAGTTAATATTTGGGTCGCATCGATATCATCCTTATCAGTGATTGTAGCGGCCTAGCGAAAATTCACTGCTGATCAGTGTGTACTGCTACATGTACTGGCCTCAAGTCTATGGAAATTCTATACATTTCATGATGTTTAAATAATTTTATTGGTTTATATAGGCTGAAGCAAGGGATTAGGAATCTTAATTTTTCATAATGATTGACGGTTGCATTACTTCATGACCTGGCAAGTAAAGAGATCAACTTCCTTAGCAATACAGCCCTGATCCCCTGATTAAAGACTGTATACTCTAGCAGGTACCCCAATACATCTTGCTGTACAGCTAGGTATTAACAGAATTAAAGTGAAGCCCTTGTTTGTGAAATGATGTAACAGTATGTCCTGTGTAGACTATGGAGTGAAGATCAATAAAGGTTAAACTCTGTTCAACTATTTTAAAGACTTTCTTAAATGTCAGCACCACACTGGTTATAAATAATACAGTTAAGATTGATGGACTTTTACAGACAAATTTATGAGTTTGTCAATTTAAATCATCAGTAAGCAATCAAAAAAATAGAGAGTATACTGCATCATGAACCAAATGAGAACCGGAAGATAAATATATTTTGCAAACCTTGTCTTTGGTCCTGCTGGCATTGGAACAGGATCAGGATTACTTTCAGCAGCTGCCATTTTTAAATTTCACCTATGTCAGACTTGTCTGCTTCTGTAAACTAATCAATTAAAAAAAATTGGTTACTTTGTAAACCAGCAGCTGCCAGGCAGGATACGCCCACATTTTTTGAGAGATGGACAGAGAACAAGCTAAAAAGAAAGTGATTTTTCCTACAATCAAGGACCATAATTCAGGAAATTACAATTTGATATGCGCAAATATCGAAAGAAACCAAGATCTTTGGGTTATAAACATGCATTTCAAGTTTCATCAAAATTGGATCAAAATTGTGACCTCTAGAGTGTCCACAAGCTAAAATCGTGATTTTTCGTACAAGTTATGGTCCGGTAAATGCCAATATCGAAAGGAACCGAGATCTTAGGGAGATAAAGCTATATTTCAAGTTTTGTTGAAATCGGATAAAAATTGTGACCTGTAGAGTATCCACAAACAAATTGTGGACGGACGGACAAACAGGGGCGACGACAATATACGTCCACATGAAACTAACTCATCATGTAATGTTTTGATGATTCATATGATATAACCTGTCCTGCCATTACTGATACGTGTACCATACTATAAATAGACGTTCAAGTTAACAGTGATGTTCAAGTTCCAGGAAATATCTCATTAAAGGAGAAAAACTGCTATATTTGGGACCTGTAGAAATTGACACAAATGGATCGCAACACATATGTAATATGAATGTATATAAACTGATTTACATTCAATTGTTTCCGTTTTTACTTTAATTTCAAATCAGTTATGTTTGGCGAAATACACCAGAAGTCTAGCATCTGGTTATTCCAGTCTACATACTGATAGTATAGAGCCAAGCTCTAAAGCATCGTGCAAAGCGCGGTGCTTGAGCAAAGCTCTTTTCCGGTAACACAGGAGCGTAACTGAAATTGTCACCCACAGACTGTTGAAAAAAAAAAATTCAGACCGGAACCGGATACACTGGGCAAAACAGGAAACGCGCATGTCAACTTAGCAAATCTCACCCAAGCGAGATTACGTGCCTCATAGAACTATTTAGATCTAAATTAAAATCAATTTGGAAAAACTAAATTATTTAACATTTTTTGTATCACTTGAGAAAATTAATTATGAAGGTTTTATATTTGACAATAATCAGCTTTGCTCTACTCAGGCAATGCCTGTTACATATTATCTATTTAATTGCGCATGCTCTTCAGATAAGAATATGACGTCACCGATTAAAATGACTTGTGGAATATGTCTAGCCTCGTCCTTCAAGTCCCTTGTTACAAATATTGTTGAAACACAATTATATTATGGTAAATGATTCGTGTACCAATGGTAAAATGTTTATTTTGTCTTAAACTTAAATATCGGATATCAGATGCCCATCTTTTCCCAGTAAGAACAAAACATCAACCGTGATTTGAATTGACAAATAATTCGTGTTTGCAATGTCAAAGACTTTGGATGATACTGATCGAGTTAGAGACTTTATATTGAAATATTTGAAGTATTCCGTCAGTTTTTGATGGTGTAGTTGGGATATTTGGAAGTACATGTAGGCCTATTGGGTGGATAGCACGATCTACCCAAATTTGCTCCCTTATTTCAACTCACAGACAAATATTAAGTAGTCAGGCTGTATTCAGCCCTGCCGAATTTATTCTCACTCTGACTCACTAGGCCTATACTATACTCACTAATCAGGTGCAGACTGCAGGTCCAGGCGAAGCAGTATATTATTAACAACAAGTTGAATCAAGACATTTTATAATTTGTGATTACAAAAACAAATACAATCTTTCACTTACCTATAACTTCAGATTAGATCTATCACTGTTTGGTGAATTGAACTGAAAGTCGAGCCAATGCACTACGTGTTGTCTGCAGTTTCAATTTTGTTTGTTTGTTTGTTGTGGTTTTCGAGTCTTCTGCGTTTTCAGATTTGTTTCATTTAGAGTTACTCCCCCTTGAATTTACACGAACGGTGTATTATCCATTTGACCCGCAAAAATAATTGGTCAGCTGTCTGCGGAAACTTGGTATACGTAGTTGACACTCACTGCCATCAATATTAGCGAAAGTCATTATAACTATAGCAATCAGTAAACCAACCCCGCATGGATAAAAGGGCAAGAAAATGTATATATTACGGTTTATGCCCTGTGTTATCTTTGACTAATGAAAATATACTGTTCGCGGTAAAAGTTTGTGTTTGAAACGGTGTTTACCATTTTCACCGTATTCATATATTTCAGGGTGTATTATATTCCAAACCCTTAGAAAGAGAGAGAGAGAGAGAGATGGGGTTTAACGTCCAATCGACACAAACCTGGTCATTTCGCGACTAACATATAATTCAGTTTTATTTCAATAATTCACTTGCACATAGGGGTCTTTAGCAGTGGGAGGAAACCACAGGACCTGGAGCAAACCCATGGTTAGGCAGGCAGCACTACTGATCCTTGTCACATACAACCAGGGAAATCAATACCATGCCAGCTGACTCAATGACAGACCTTATGATGCAATGCGCATGTATTGCAGACCTACCCTTTCCATCACCTGCAATGGTGTGGTAAAGTTGATAGATTGAACCTGCTTAGTTCGGGAAAATAGATTTCTTGATTGACAACACGATAAGGTTTAAATAAGTTTATATAATCCACAAACGACACATGATACAGTTTAAAACAATTAAATGAAACGCGTAAGCGCGTAGTCGATGTTGGTCGATCTAGATGTATTTCAATTCACCATAACCATTAAACACCATTTCTGTTGGTACTACACATAACTATAACACAAAATACATTTATGCTCGACAAGTTGGCCCTGAAAATACAATAGTTGCCATTATCCATATATTCGTAACCAACAGTTCTATTGGCTACACATCCTACAATTTTTACCTTACAGTATTTGAATTACATATATAATTATATATCAAACACTCATGAAACTCACAGTCCACTTGCAGTCATCTATTACAAGGAAGTTAAATTAAATAGCTTACCCATTTGTGGAAAAGAGCCGGTATTGACCTTCACTAAATCTGTAACATGTGGTACTGATGCATGCGTGTAATTTAGTTTTATCCCAGCTAAACTTCTGAATAACCAACCAAGACAAAGAATTACTAATCACCTGATAAACAATATTTCAGAAAGAGACCACCTTCAGAACTATAAAGAGTCCAACGAGTTATCCTTTCAACTATACCAAAAAATATTAAAAGTAAACCCATATAAGAACTAAGACATTTCAACCACTAAAATAAAACACCATAATCCGGACAATACAATTCCAGACCCATACAACTGAAAATCCATCCCCCAAAACATTTTAATGAATTTACATTATCTCACAACCAAAACTATAAACTCACTTATTAAAAACTTCCAACAATCAAGACACTGATCAGGACATTCTTCACCAACATTAATTGACAGAGTCCCAAAATATGACCCTGTTACATACTTCCCCCCACCGTAAAAATGACGTCCCGTCATTTACTTACCAGTAATTAACGACAACAATGCCGTACTAACCTCTGGAGCCATTTTGCTTAAAGAACCTGAAAGATGTAATGAATGAATATAGTTAGCTTTCTCATACCAATCTGACGGATTATTAATTTGAGCCATAACAAAATCACCACTCTGCATCCATTGAGGTTGGTTACATGTTCGGCGAGGTCTTGTTTCAATAGATACATCTGCCGGTAGAGGACTTGGATTATTATCTACGGCGTCACCTGAAACATTAACTTCAATTGATTTTACCTCAGTATTTTCATTACTTACAGATGCGTCATTAGATGCCCCATGAAATATCTCGGTATTGTGATCCCCCTCAACAATATCCTCGATAATTTCATGATCACCTTCCCCTCCTCCCGTAAGAATAACCTCCGGGTAATTCTCATTTACAGGATCATTGGCTTCCACATAACTAAATTCTTCATCAGAACTTGAATCTAATTCAACACATTTTTCCGCAGCTACTTTAGACTCAATTACTATTTTTCGCTTTCTCGGTTTTGGAGTCGGAAAATACACGGGTTCAACGCTATTGATTGATAACAAATTATTTCGATGTAAAGTACGCGATCGTCCACGCCCAGACTCTGGTCTGACCACAAAAACAGGAATTTCCAAATTAGGTTGATCCTCAACAATGTAAACGCCAGGTTCCCATCGATCAGCTAATTTGTGTTTTCCCTGAAACGCTAAAGTACGTACTAAAACACGATCACCAATATCAAGACGAATACCTTTAACTTTCCGATCATATTTTGTCTTCTGTTTTTCTTTACAATTCTCTGATGATTTAATCGCTAATTCATAAGAACGTTGTAACCGTTCCTTTAACGCTTTTACATACGAATGTAATGACACATTAGACACTTCTCGACTCACTCCAAACGCTAAATCTATTGGAAGACGAGGGTGGCGTCCAAACATTAAATAGAAAGGTGAAAATCCAGTGGTTTCATGTCGTGTGCAATTATATGCATGTACAAGAGGTGCTACTTGTATTTTCCAATCATTTTTCTTCTCCGGCGTAAGTGTACCCAGCATATTCAAAAGTGTCCGATTAAATCTTTCACACTGCCCATTACCCATCGGGTGATAAGCTGTGGTGCGGGATTTATCCATACCTACTAAACTACATAATTCTTTAATAATTTTACTCTCAAAATTAGCTCCTTGATCAGAATGTATCCGACTTGGTAAACCATAATGAACTATAAAATTATTGAAAAATACTTCAGCCGTTGTGCGAGCTGTCATATTCCGTGTAGGTATTGCTTGAGCATATTTTGTGAACAGATCTGTAATAACTAGAATATACTGATAATTACCTTTAGATGGTTCTAGTGTTAGAAAATCCATCGCAACAACTTCAAGGGGGTGAGTAGTTTCTATATTCACCAAAGGGGCTCGGATATTTGTAGGAGATTTTCGTCTCAAACAACGTTCACAATTCTTGATCCAAAGTTCAACATTACTTGCCATACCAGGCCAATAAAATCGTTCCCTCATTAATACCATAGTTCTATCTCTACCCATGTGACCAAGATCATCGTGAAGAGCCTGAAATGCTAATTTCCTATAATGACCTGGAAGTACGAGTTGTTCAATTATCTCCCCTTCATGTTCCACAGATCGATATAAAACTCCCTGTTTCAGCTTTAAGTGTTCTAAACGACGACATAATACTTGGACCTCTTTGTTGAACTCCTTGTCAAATGGCTTTATTCCCGACCTTAAATATTTAAGAATAGACAATATAGAGGCATCTTTTGCTTGTTCCTTTCTCCAATCACGTGGTGTCATACCATTTAGACCTAAATTTACCTCCGGCACTAATTCTGGTGATATACTTAAACATTCGGCATAATTACTCGGCTGAATAGAATTACAAATTACATGTACCTGTTCATGTGAAATATATTCCGATTCTTTATGTAATCTTGACAATAAATCGGCGTCCAAATTATTTTTCCCGGGTCTGTATTTTATTTCAAAATCATACGCAGAAAGAGCGGCGAGCCATCTATGACCTGTTGCATCTAATTTAGCGGAAGTCAAAATATAGGTTAATGGATTATTGTCGGTATACACCACAAACTTGTTCCCATACAAATAATCATGAAACTTTTCTGTAACGGCCCATTTTAACCCTAAAAATTCCAATTTATGAGCAGAATAATTTTGTTCCGATTTATTCACACTTCTGCTCGCGTAAGCCACAACTTTCAATAAATTATCTCGTTTCTGATAAAGAACTGCACCCAGACCAGTTTGACAAGCGTCAATATGTAAAACGAATGGTAACGTATAGTCACAGCTTGTAAGAATTGGAGAACTACACAAATGATCCTTTAATTCACAGAATGCATTTTCCTGCTCAATATCCCACTTCCACTTGACGGAAACATTACTTTTATTTTTCTTACCCGTTGTGGGCATCAAAATAGATAAAGGTTTTGATATTTTCGAAAAATCTTTCACAAAACGACGATAATAACCAGCAAATCCAAGAAATTTTCTTACCTCGACAGAATTCAATGGGCGTGGCCATTTTTGGATCACCTCAATTTTCTCTGGATCTGGTTCAATACCCGCTTCGGAGATAACATGTCCAACATAGTTTACACGTCTTTTAAAGAAACTACATTTATCAGGTGCTAATTTTAAATTACACTGACGTAAACGCTCTAAAACCTTATTTAAGCGCTGTAGATGCTCCTCGAATGAATCTGCAAAAATAATCAAATCATCAATATACACTACACATATCGTCAAATGAAGATCTCCTAAGCAATCTTCTAAAAGCCTCTGAAACGTCGCGGGAGAATTACAAAGACCAAAAGGAAGTCTGTTATACTCATAAAAACCAAGCGGACCAATTGTGAAAGCGGTACGCTCCTTATGTTCTTCGGCAACTTCGACCTGGTAATATCCGGACTTCATATCTAACTTTGAATAAAATTTGTTACCTGCTAAATGATCCAATAACTCATCAATTCTGGGAAGAGCGTACGAATCCTTGATCGTTCTATTATTCAATTGTCTGAAATCAGTGCACATGCGTAATTTACCGTTCTTTCTACGACAAAGTACCACGTTTGATGCCCATGGACTATGTGAATTTCTTATAACACCACATGCTAACAACTGCTTTAAATGATCTTTTACTTCAGTAAACATCGATGGAGGTATACGGCGGTGCCGTTGCTTAAACGGTTGTTCATCTATAAGTTCAATTCTGTGTTGTACTCTGGATGTATGTCCCAAGTCCAGATCATTATGTGCGAAAATATCGTCAAAACTTAACAACAGGTTCTTACCTTGAATTATCTCTTCCTCTGATAAATCGCTTTCGTCAATTTCTACTTTATTTAAGACCGAGGCATTGGATCCATCTGAAGTAACTTCGTTATCTTCAATATTTACCGGCTGTAGTTCACACACAATAGCTTTGGGTGAAATAACAATAGTATTTGTAGACACATTTGAAACGTTAACTGAAATATAATCTGTATTATTGTAATCATACATCATTATGGATGGAGAAACATCTAAATCAGATGAAATACTGGAACGTTGACATGGGTGTACCATCACCGACACCTTCGGGTATCGTAACTTTTTATCAACATAACATGGTAACGTTATACGAGAATTTGGACGAACTAGTATCCTATTGACTGAGGCACTTTTCACTATTCCTAAACTGAAATCTCGTTTGACTAATTCTTTTTCTGATAAATCCATACTACGAAAAGATAAATACCAAGAAGTGGTTAATTTCGCTTTTTGGAGAAAAGATTTCCCATGTTCATCTTTACATTGTTTCATCAGAAGAGTCAATACATTTGTTCCAAGTAAAACCGGAACCAATGAATTATATCTACTCACCGGAACTACTAATAAAATACAAGTTATTGTTTCATCTGTCAATTCTGAAAACTGTAAATCTGCTTCAATATATCCTTTATACGGCAATGGTTTACCATCAGCACATTCTATATCCAACATAGTTTTAAGCGGTTGTAAAGGTAAATGTTTTAATTTAGAATTATATAACTCTTCACTTACAGTAGACACAGTTGATCCAGTATCTAAAAGTGCAGTACAACAATTTCCCTCAACTTTAACATTGGCTTCATTAGGTTCACCAACTACAAAATTCGATTTCAACGTCGCTCTGGGAAGTCTCTGCGTGGAGTACCCCAGGGCGCTTCCCTTGGCCTGAGGTTGTGAACGTTTAAAGAACGATTCTGGTTAAATGCTGCTCTGCAACCCAACCTAATATGACCGTACTGACCACAAGCCCAACACTTGGGTCCCGGTCCTTGACTACTACGCCGATTATCCCGGTTATTACTACTAAAATTATTTGACATCTCACCTCTTGAATCATTTCCTTGTGACTGCCATCGTGGAACCTTAGGTCTGTCAACTTTATAAGCTAATTGCGAAACTTGATCCTTCAATCCACTAACTTGTGAAGAAATACTGTGAACTATCCCTTTAAGTTCCTGAAATTCAGAATTAGAAGACTTTGTATGTATCATGTTAAAAGGATTTGGCTTCGAAGTAGCGGTACTCGCTGATAAGTTTCGTTGGTTAACATCATGCTCTATACGGCGAAGTTGAACACGTAGTGTGTCGAAACTTGTTGATTTATCATATTTGTGAGCAGACAAATCACGTAAGTGTGGCAACAATCCACGCCAAAATACATTCCTTAATGTCTCATCGGATTCTTTAGGATCTGGACTACCCTCTCGAGTTACTCTTGCGAATATATCTTCTAACCGGCATGCCCAATCTGTAACCGTTTCAGATGGATATTGTTTAGCACTGTAAAAGAGTCCGATTAAAGATTCTGCTTCTTCACATGTACCGTAAACACTATGCAATTTGGCTAAGACAGTTTTAACATCAACATGCGGACCTAACCGCATTATAACCTTACCGGCCTCCCCTTTAAGTGATCGGCGAATAGCCAACAGTATTACATTGTTATCATATACACCTTCTGAAATTAAACAATCTACTTCGTATCTCCAAAGGTCGTAACTAACTTCACCTTTTCCTGGTTCACCATAAAACATTGACAACTTCGGCATCGGATTAACTGGTGGTCTTGATTTAGTAGACGACTCTGTTTCATCATCCGATTTAACCGGCCACTTACCTTTAGATTTCAAAACATCTTCCATCCACTCAGCAACGTCATCTTCAGTCTTACCTATACGCTTTGGAAAAAGACCCAACTTTCTTAGTGTGTTACCCAAGACCACAACTTCTTCCTCCGACATATTCAAACCAATCAACTGACCAAACTACTCTAAACTCTACATAAAAAAAACTCCACTGTTGATAAAATAAAGACAATACAAGTTATAGTGTTACTGGGATAACTGTTATATATTTTAGTATAATGCAATGTGTATTGAATGATGTTCTAAGATTATCAATAGTTACGGAATTTTATGCCCTAACTTATTTAAACTTGACCTATTTATTTATTAGTGCTGTCAACATCCATACTTACAACCATACATACCAGGTTTACCGACACTAAAAATAAATGAAAACAAACAAATTAACACTAAATTAATCAAATTAACACTAAATTAATCAATAGTTCATAATATTAATGTTCAATATTCACTGTTACACAGTTCCAATCTTCATCCAGAATCTGTTATAATTTCAGTTCCAGTGGTTAAACACTGTCACAAAGTCACGAGAATTCAAGCTTGATGATAATGTGCATATAAATTTGAATGTCAGTAATTAAACGCCATCGGATTCACTTTAAAGTCTAACGATAAGTTAATTGAAAACTAAACAGTTCAACTTGTTACTGGTACAACCAAGAAAATCTACTCCTCCCTGGGGGCTCCATTATTGCAGACCTACCCTTTCCATCACCTGCAATGGTGTGGTAAAGTTGATAGATTGAACCTGCTTAGTTCGGGAAAATAGATTTCTTGATTGACAACACGATAAGGTTTAAATAAGTTTATATAATCCACAAACGACACATGATACAGTTTAAAACAATTAAATGAAACGCGTAAGCGCGTAGTCGATGTTGGTCGATCTAGATGTATTTCAATTCACCATAACCATTAAACACCATTTCTGTTGGTACTACACATAACTATAACACAAAATACATTTATGCTCGACAAGTTGGCCCTGAAAATACAATAGTTGCCATTATCCATATATTCGTAACCAACAGTTCTATTGGCTACACATCCTACAATTTTTACCTTACAGTATTTGAATTACATATATAATTATATATCAAACACTCATGAAACTCACAGTCCACTTGCAGTCATCTATTACAAGGAAGTTAAATTAAATAGCTTACCCATTTGTGGAAAAGAGCCGGTATTGACCTTCACTAAATCTGTAACATGTGGTACTGATGCATGCGTGTAATTTAGTTTTATCCCAGCTAAACTTCTGAATAACCAACCAAGACAAAGAATTACTAATCACCTGATAAACAATATTTCAGAAAGAGACCACCTTCAGAACTATAAAGAGTCCAACGAGTTATCCTTTCAACTATACCAAAAAATATTAAAAGTAAACCCATATAAGAACTAAGACATTTCAACCACTAAAATAAAACACCATAATCCGGACAATACAATTCCAGACCCATACAACTGAAAATCCATCCCCCAAAACATTTTAATGAATTTACATTATCTCACAACCAAAACTATAAACTCACTTATTAAAAACTTCCAACAATCAAGACACTGATCAGGACATTCTTCACCAACATTAATTGACAGAGTCCCAAAATATGACCCTGTTACACATGCACTAACTATCGCCCCCCCCCTCCTTAAAAAAAGATATAATATTTGATTTTAAAAATTTGAGCAAAGTATAATTTGATGATATGGTTCAGTCCTAGAAATAACGGTTTTAGTGGTAATTGAACTTTTGTACCAATAAAAATACTAAAATAATTTGAAAGATGTGAAAGACAAAATGACATGCACAAGGCCGGTTATGTTGTGCTGTGCCTGACAAAGTCTGGTGAAGAGTTAATTTGTAATTCTTTGTACGTACCGTTACATGATATGGTGAACACTTTATTTGGTGGCAGGTATTCCCGATAACAAAAATGATATAAATTAAATAGCAAATTAAAATTTTAGATGAAGGATAAGTTTATTAAATTTGTGCAATTAAAATGTTAATAGAAGTCCAGAGAAAAGTAATTTTATTTTTTAAGTAGTGCTTTATATATTTCAGAATGTGACTTAGTAGGTCAAACAACTGTATGACAACAACTATATTTTATTTGTTTGAAAGATTTGAAAGATTTTGGTTATGACCACAGAAAAGCTATAGTCTACGAATTAACAACAACATCTTTGATTGTTCAGAAAAGTGTCAATCATGATTTCTTGTGAAAAGGTGAACAAATGAAATGCTGCTATTATTGAATTAAGATTTTGCTTCCAAATCTAATACATCTGATTGAAAAGTGACTGACAGTTGTTCTCATTTTGTGACCAGCTGTCATGTTAAGTTGTAAATAAATGTGTGGACTTTAAACCCCATTTCTCTGTCTCTTTCCTTTAAACCATTTTATTATATTATTTGTATAAGGAGTTTCAGATATTTTAGTACAAGAACAGTTTATTAAAAAGACAGAAATTTTATTGTTTATTTTATAAATTTTCTAAAATAAATTCCCAGTTATTGGGTTTGGCATAAATATCCCCTTAAAAAGGTTTAATGAATTATTGATGTAATGATGTTTCAAATTTCAGGTTGATAATATATTAAACTCTCTTTTTCATCAAGTCTATTTGTTGGAAGACTGGATCACTAGGGTTAGTGACGTTGTATTATCTGACCTAGTGAAACCTAAAGACCCTTCAAGGTATATGTATAGCTATTTTGTATAGTTATTTCATAACATGTTTTTTTTTTAATGAAGACATCCATGTTATACATTAGGGCTTTATTTCGATTTTGAGAACTAAAGTCTACTGCATGCTAACCAGTCGATTAACCATTAAACAAATTAAGCAAAGCGAAGATTGGGAGAGGACATATATTTACCATGGTGCAGATGATAATAAGTGATAAAACATATATGCACATACAATAATAAAATCTAGAACCAATACATATTTTGATTTCAGCATAATATAAAGTTTGTTTCATTAAGAAGGATCGTTATTATTTTGAACTAGATACCGGTTTTGGGACTTTAAAGGTCTTAAAAATTGGGCTGTTCTTATGCTTGTCCTATAGCTAAATATCATATGTTATATATATGCATGGGTATATTGAACTGTACTACATTATGTGACTTAAAAAGTATATTTTTACCTTCTGCAAGTTCTTTATGGAGGAAATACTCTCAAGGTTTTCTAAAAATAACATAACTTCAATGAGATTGTAAGAAATTTATAATTAATTCTGTTTTGTATAATTTACAGCTATATCCAACTGTTAAAGACAACTAAAGTATGTATTAAAAAGTCTAGTTCTCAACGTCAACTCGATAACTGCTTCTCTCCAACTCAGAACTCATTTCAAAGGGAGATAATTATGCGAGTAATTGAGGTAAATATCAGAAAAATGTATTATGAGGATATATGTGTGTACACTAAGGGTTATAAGTTGAAAGGAGGGAAGACATTGTCTGAAGTGATAATACTTGGAAACGGAAGTTTAAAATTTGACAAAACCCTCGGAACGTGTGTGTGTGTGTGAGAATTAAAAAGTCGTTGATACATGTATCTTAACATGGTGAATATGGTTTTGGAAGAATTACAAACCTCTCAATTAGAATCGTGGGAAGTTTTCAGAACTTTTACAATTAATTCTAACATAATGGTTTTTATTTTTATTTTGTAGAGAATATTGAGAAAAGATGAGAAGAGTAACAATGTACTGGTATTAGGATTCTCATTGGTAGGTTTATCTTATTATTGTGTGATACATGGAAGGAAAAGAATGTAATTTAACATCACATCAACATTTTGAGACTAACATATGGTTATTTTGTTGCACTGTGCCATTCTAGGTTGAGAATATTATCTGGGCAGCTGTACTTCTGCCTACTCTTCAATAGATTCCAACTTTCAAGAGTCCTTTTACATGCACATCGATGTGTACACAGGTGGACCTTTTTTTAGTGTCCCATCCAAATGACTAGGCAACACTTTAATGGGGATTCCCCTGACAAATGAAAATCTGACTTAGAAAAACTAGTTGAGAGCTCAGTGCTGTTACTGCCCGAGTATTGGGTTATGTTGTGTATGGGAAATAGCTTTATCTGCTGTTAAAGTTAATTGATGTTGCAGAAATGGCTGGGAAAATTCAAGTTCACTCTTTCAGTGAATGTATGTTTCAGGTTGTGTGGACCTTCTGCATTATTTTCATCAATAACACAGTTCTATATTTTTTTTTTTATTTCTAGCAATCTGAGAATCCTAATACATGTATCAGTAAAACCAGTAATATAGAGTTACGATATCCTAATTCAGCTTCTAATAGATTACAATATAGTTCCTGGGAACTTCTTCTTTCTAGGTTGGTATGTCTCTTCAGGGGCGTGTCCAGGGAGGGGGGGGGGGGGCTGTTCTTATGGCTTCCTTATATTATATAGTTATATATTATATTTTAGTTCAGTAGCTATCATATGTGCCTGAATACATTAAGAGAACAGTTTTTGAAACATGGGGAAGTGAAAGTGTTTTGGTAAATTGTGCATTATAAGACTTCTGTAGTTAAAGGATGGGAGCCATGGTGGTTCAGTGTGTAAGACGTTGGCTTGCTAAACTGATGTCCCATGTTCGATCCCTGTGTGACAGAAAAAGATCATCAGAATTTTCCAGAGTGGTTCTCCTTTTTCCTCATAGCCCCCTACATTTTGCATGTAGTTCACAAAAAATCATTTGTGTCTGAATATGATAAGAGAACATATTGGTAAAGTGTGTGACTCCTGTAGTTAATATTGTATATTATATTCTGTAGGATAGGAGATTGTTTAATGGAGTATTTATTAGAGATGACGTCCATATTTCTACAAGTTCCTGATAGTTCTTGTTATATACAAGTTACAGGTAAACCAGTCCATGCTGATTTCACAATTACAATTTTGCAAGTATTCTTCTTTATTTTGAACATTTTTGTATTTAGTAAAGAAAGTGATTGGGAATAGGCATCACATACATATGGGGAGGCCAACTTTTTATATTTCATGTTTCAAATATTATCCGTACAACTTTGGGTGAAATTAAAGAAAACATTTTAACAGAAACAGAAATATTAATTACCTTCATTAGACTTTTGATTCTGTTTTGATTTCAGCAAGATGTTGATATTTGGATTCAAATCAGTTATATGTTTATATTTTCATGAGGTGCAATATGCCATTTGAAATGATCCAGTATGCCAATTGTGCCATAGCTTGGTCACCCCTAGGCTACACGATGACTCGTAATATGATACTGAAGTATTTTTACATTTACTTTTTAGGAGAAGGTGCTAATGACATGACATGGAAATTAAAATCAAAGTCTTTACTAAAATCATCCACAATAGTTCACAGAAAAAGAAAATGGAAGGGTAAAGGAGCAGGTTTCAGACCACGATACCTTCAGAAGAAATTCACCAATGTTAGAGAGAAAGACAAACAACTGATAGAGATAGAAAAGTTTGCAATGCATGATAGACCAATTCAGTCATCCAGCTGTGTAACCCAGGATACATCACCTCCAGACTCATTTAGTCAAACAATTATTGGTAGTAATTCAGTGAATGAGGTGTCGTTACGTCCTACAAAAACTTGTGATAAAAACATAAAACAGTCTTTTATCTCACTGAAAACAAAACGGAAAGCTGAGGCGTCAGAATTCAGAAACAGCAAACGTAGAAAACTACATCAAAATGGCGAATCTGCAGATCAAAATGAAAAACAGATAGCCTTTGATAAGAGGAATGAGAACCCGAGAAGGAAGTCTAGATGTGAAATAACACCAGAGTCTAATTCTAGAATTGCTGATATAAATACCAACACTGTGGGTAGCAGAAAGAGAAAGATGTGTCATGATGATTTAATAAAAGGTGGACAGGCAACTTTCCCAAGTTCTGAACAGAATGATTTCAGACTTGATAAAAGAGTAAAAATAGATGAAAGTTCTTCCAGTCATACTGATCATGATGCTATTAATCCCGAGCCAGGTCTGGGTAAAATCCAAGCGATATGTGTTTCAACTGTTAATGATAAGGTCCAAGTATTGGATACAAAACAGGTTGGTTTAAAGTGTAATAATATGGTTGATGATCATGATGCGAATAATGTGGAGAGTAAAGATTGTAAACCATACAAGTAAGTATATGTTAAAATTTATATTGGAAATAATCGCTAGTTTGTAGACATAACATGACAAATGTTTTCTTATCATTCATGGGAGCCACGGTGGCTAGGTGGTTAAGACGCTGGCTCGCTAGCCTGGAGGTCAATGTTCGATCCCTGCATTGGCCGAGAAAGTTCGTCCAGATTTTCCGGCATGGTTTCCCCTTGTCAGTGATGCAGGACGGAGGGCCTGGCAAGGACAGCTGTCTAGTCATTCGGATGAGACGAAAAACCGAGGTCCCGTGTATACATTGGAATGCACGTAAAAGATCCCTTGGCAGTTGGAATTCGATATAAGAGTAGGCGATAGTGCCACTGCCCGTCTTCATTAGCCCAGGTTAGGAGCAGAACAGTAGGATGTTAAACTCCATTTCATTTTTTTCTCATCTTATCATTCATTTGTTGTGCCATTTGTGTATAAGCCTGTGATTTTTTTCCAAATAAATTGTGTTTGTTTTTTTATATTGTGCTCAAGAAGTATATGTTGAAATCGAATGAGAGACGGAGAATCAGGAGACCAGTGAGTAAGGTGCTGGCTCACTATCTATCATGAGGTCCTGGGTTCAATCCTGGTGTTGACCGGGAGAGTTTCTACTGATTTTGACGTCTGGTTTCCCTCTTGTTAGTATACATAGTACAGGACTGATGGCTTTGCAAGGAAAAGTCTCCAGTTGTTCAGATGGGAAGGCAAAATTAGTTTGAAATTGAAATAAGAGTAGGCTGTAGCACCACTGCCAGGGCAAAATTTCCCTAATAAGACATTGCATGGTGTATACTCGTCTTCATTATTCTGGTTAAGGGGAGAAAAATAAAATGTTAAATTCTGTATTTCATTTCATTTCTAAGATGATATGCAAACTAAAGTAATTTTTATTCCGATTATAAACATTTTTAATAATTTTAATCCCAGCATCCCTGTGATTTGAAGCTATATATTTAATGTAAATGTCTTAAGTGATAAATTTAGTTTGTCTTTCAGTTTTCATCAGCCATTGAGAAGAACCAGTTTATTTTATTGCAAAAATCTATGTGAAAAAATACCAAAGTTTGGTAGGTACAGCCCTCAAACTATCGTGTTGCTTCCTGTATAACTTTCCCCCACTATCTACCACCATCATTGTTTCAGAAGTTTAATGCCGTAAATCCATCACGATGAATAAAATGGCCACAATATTATAATGGTTGACCTTATATTTATATTTTTCGTGGTTTGTCAATAAAGAAAACCCAAAAGGAAAACAGATTTGTCTATCCACCCAGTTTAAAACTAAATCTTTTGTAGAAAGAATAAAAGCATTTCAAGGTATTAAGAACTTTTATTTGTCAGATCTCTAAGTATTCATATTGTTGCCTTTTAAGATTTTGACCAGAAATTATATTTAATATGGCGGTAAACTGTATTTTTTTGTTGTAGGAGATCTGGAGGAAGTTGTATCTCAAGTAACAAATATATCTGTTGGTGTTGAACGACATAAAGTAATCAACTTTCCACCAGAAGTTGGAGATATGTTTCAAGTTCTTCTGTCTAGATACAAGTAAGCTCCCATCCTATACCAGTAAACATTATGTGTGTTGTGCTTTATGCAGAGTATGCTTATATTTTCTGTAACACTTGATTCCATTTTTCATTTATTTGGGTAGCTTGATAAGGCAAATGTCACATTCAAGAATTGTCAGGCATAGAGAATAATTGGTTATTGTGAACACTGAGAAACACCTTGGGTTTTTGACATTAAAAATTTCAAACGGGAGCCACAGTGGCTAAGTGAGTAATACACTGGCTCGCTAGCCTGGAGGTTGCAGGTTCACTCCTGGTGTTGACTGAGAAAGATTGTCAGGATTTTCCCACATGGTTTCCCCTTGTCAGTGGTGCAGGACAAAGGGCCTGACAAGTTCAGCTGTAGTCATTCAGATGGTACGAAAAACCGAGGTCCTGTCTACACATTGGCGTGCACGTAAAAGATCCCTTGGCAGTTGGAATTTGATCTAAGTGTAGGCTGTAGCACCGCTCTCCATGCAAAATTTCCATCATACCACACTGCATGGCATATGCCCGTCTTCATTAGCACAGTCAGGGCAGAACAGTAGGACGTTAAACTTCATTTCATTTTACATTCAAAATGTGAAGAAAAAAGCATGATAGTAATCTGAAAACAGAATGAAATTGGTGATCATATTTATGCAATGTTCTTTTGTTTCAGAAAGTTTCCATGGTATTCAATGTTAAACTATCATTGTCCAATCAACATTCACTGTAAATTACTCAATGGTTAGTTTATATCACATTTGACCATTTCTTCATTAATCCTCTAGGACATACTGAAATACATTATTTAACGTTTAATTAAAGGGACACTGTGTAAGATTTAGATGAAGAGCTGGCCGTTCTCTCTATAATTTTTAAAAGATAGATAATGGAAAATGAAGATATTGAAAATTTCATTCAAATGAGGGTTTTTTGAGAGAAGTTATCAATGGTCTTGTTTTGACAAGATGTGTGCATTGATTGTAACCACTGTACTCGTCATTCGAGTCTTAGCCTCATTTCTCAATTTGTAAATTAAATCATTAAATGATCTAATGTATTTAAAACTGAAGCCATCCGATGCCATTGAGAGTCAATTATGTTCTTGTTATGTTATAATAAATGTCTAATTAATAGTTTATATAACATTTAAGGCCCAAAGAAAGACCTGCAATAGACAGATTTAGCTCTTGCATAGTGTATGTTTAAGAAAAAATAATCAATATATCGATAGTAGATAAACCCCCTCTTGGATTTTACGAAGATTACACGTCTGTAGAGGATGCTGAATGTTGACATATTTTCTATTCATCATATCATAAATATAGATAGAATTGAACCATTGTTGGACTGATATTCCCTTTAGAATCCTAGTTTACAAGGGATTTCTCTGTCCCCCAAATCAGGTTTGTCATTGAGTCAAGTGGCGTGGTTTTGATTCCCCGGTTGCACATGACAAGGAGTAGGGTGGCCTATCCAATCTCGTGGGTTTTCTCCGGGTCTTCTGGTTGCCTCCCACTGCTAAAACCCTCTTCATGCAAGTGAATTATTGTAATAAATAAATTGAACCATGTGTTGGTCCTGAAATGACTGGGTTTGTGTCGAGTGGACATTAAACCCTCTCTCTCTCCCTCTCTCTCTCTCTCTCCCCCCCTCTCTCTCTCTCTCTCTCTCTCTCTCTCTAAAGAGACATTAATATAACATATATAATGTAATTTATGTAAATATTACAGGAAGAGAAAGATATAAAAGAAGAAAGAAAATGAGAAATGTAACAACAGCTAAATTATTAGAGAGTTATACTACATATCAACAGGTAGATTTTTAAACAGATTAAATATAAAACATGGGGGGCACTGTGGCTCAGTCAGAAAGTTCCTCAACATTTTCCAGCCATGTTTCCCCATGTCAGTGGTGTGGGATGGATGACCTGACAAGTAACAGAGTCTAGTCATTCAGATGGGATGGAAAACTAACAGTTGGAAATTATAATATGTTCTCTTGTAGCACACTGTGTGGTGTAAACCCATCTTCATTTGCCCGGTACAGCAAATGAGGACACTAAAACGCAATTTAATTTCATTTCATTTGATAACTAATTGATTTAAGAAATTGAGTTTTCAACACTGTATTTGAGAAATGTGGAAATAAGTAGAAGAATACCATAAGGGAGGGAGCTAATTGATATAAGAAATTGGGGGGGGGGGATGGCCAAATGGTTAGCACGTGCACGCTGTATCGTAAGGTCTGTCATTGAGTCAACTGGCGTGGTTTCGAATCCCCGGTTGGGTTGGGGATGGCCAAATGGTTAGCACGTGCACGCTGTATCGTAAGGTCTGTCATTGAGTCAACTGGCGTGGTTTCGAATCCCCGGTTGGGTTGGGGATGGCCAAATGGTTAGCACGTGCACGCTGTATCGAAAGGTCTGTCATTGAGTCAACTGGCGTGGTTTAGAATCCCCAGTTGTACGTGACAAGGAGTAGGGTCACCTGTCCAACATCGTGGGTTTTCTCCGGGTCCTCCGGTTTCCTCCCACTGTTAAAGACCCCTACGTGCAAGCGAAATATTAAAATAAAATTGAACCATATATTAGTCCCGAAATGACCTAGTTTGTGTTGAATGGACATTAAACCCCATTTCTCTCTCTGTATATATATTTACTTCAGGCAATGATTGGACATCGTTTTAGAGACTGATGACAACATGGCTACTTTAACTGACATGTATGTAGAATTGATTACTATCTCCCATTTTTCCAGGTATATTTATTTTTGAAAGTTATTATAAAAAGGATTATTCCACTAGAGATGTTTGGTTGTCAAGAAAATAGAAATGTATTTTTAAAAAGTATCCTTTTTTTTGAAGAATTATTTTGTTTTCAAAAATGTATTTCTGAGTGATATTTTCGAATTATTACACGTCAAGATATCTGTTGACTTATTTCTTGTCAGTACCAACTATACTTATCATGAATGTTCCATATAGCTGTCAAGGTTATTGCTGTCAAGTGGCATGGTTCCAATTTCCTGCTTGTACGTGACAAGGCGTAGGGTCGCCTGTCCAACCTCATAGTTTTTCTCTGAATCCTCCTCCTCCGGTTTCCTCCAACTGCTAAAGACCCCTAGGAAGTAGCGAATTATTGAAATAAAATTAAACAATGTGTTAGTCCGGAAATGACCCAGTTTCTCTATCTCTCTGATTTAAGCATGAGTTGTTTATACAATGCTAAGTATAGTGACTTCAACACATTATCTATGCTAACACAGCCATGTGTTGAAATGCTGTGATGGTTGCCTTATTTGCTGACTTGTTTATTAGCCTTAAAGAATATATTAGATATTTTAAAGTTTATTATTTTAGGTAAATTTGATCGACTTTGTCTTGGTGAGATCATGAATGGTATCAAGGTAACCCAACTTTTCTGTGCATTAGTACAATAAAAATTGATTTATCTTGAACTCTCTCTGATTGCTAGGAGGCCCTGGGTTCTATTCTGATGTTGGCTGAGAAAGTTCCAGTCTGACTTTCCCTTGTCAGTGGTGCAGGATATAGGGTCTGGTAGGGAAGAAGTGTCTACTCAAATGAAACAAAACACTGAGGTGATGTTTAAGCATTGGCATGCATGTAAAACAACAAGAGTATGCGGAAACGCCTGGCTTATGTGCATGTTTATTAACTCGGTTGGTGAAGAAAAGTAGGAGATTAACCCCATTTCATTTCGGTTATAAAGTAATTTTTCACTAAATAGCTTAATCAACCTAAATATGAATGTATTATTTTAATATTACATTATATTTTGTATATATGTAGATAAAGAAGTGTAAATGGTTAAAGAAGATATCAAATCCTACTCAACAATCACATTTATTATCTAAACTACAACTCTGGTTATTCAACTATTTTATTATTCCTATAAAACAGGTATAGTACCTCATCATTGAAGATCAAACTTAGTTTTACATCCCATCCGAAACACAAGACTATTGTTCCTTGCCATGTCCTTTATCCTTGACATAGTCAGTATATCACAAGGAACATCCTTGTCCAACACTGGGATCAAACCCAGGACTCTGTGGTTAATGATAAGCCATCGCCATACTCACTGAGGCTTAAGAAATTGAGAAAAAGATTATTTAAATCTACAAATGTATTTTAAACTGATGGACTCATTTAGTGATTTCCAGTTTTGAATATTATATTTTGTGTTTTCTAGGCATTCTTCTATGTAACAGACAGCAGTAACTATAGAAACAGAGTATTTTATTATCGTAAATCATTGTGGCAGAAAATATTTTACAAAGCTTTCAAAGGTAATTAGAAATACTTTCTAATTAATTAAGTTCCTCTGAATGAGCTATATAGTCTAATTGGTACTAATTCCATTTCTTTTGTTTATGCATTTATACTTTTAAATCTTAAAGTAGCAATGCATCATTGGCATTTGTTGATAAAATATCAAATTTCATAATATCCCAGCTTGTATTCAATCGGATTTAAAACAGGCCTATCAATAAATTTTCATGGACAACAAAATGGCGATTGGTTTATTGCATAGTGAGTAGCATAGATCGATGAAATTCAAGTTCAACTTATCTTTCTCAATTCTGAATGGAATTAAACCATTATTGGACTGATATTTCAATTAGAGATTCATCTTTCACAATATTTTAGTTTGTAATGGTGCATAGGGAGTTTTATTGTTGCATGTACACTAGAGAGGTGAATCTATATATGATAGACCGCTGTTTGTCTGTTTATTCGTCTGTTTGGGGTTTGTAGTTACACTATGTCTGCCCTGGGGCAGAAATTTGTAGTATAAAGACAACTCGAACTGGAGAGTGATATCAATCGAGTGGCATTGCACTACTGCTTCTGCTCTTGGAGGGCTCCACCCATACAACACCGGGTAAATAGCTAATAGGTTATAAACTGGGTTTTTTTCTTTCTTTTTTCAGCTTTTAAAGAAAAAAGTTCATTGAAGCTTATTCCTGAAGTAAGTACATAAAATATTTTTTTTATTTTCCAAATATGCCAATAATTGCACCATACCCCCTTTTGGCTGTTAGGGTCACACATTATATTGGGATTTTCGTATAATGCTGTTAAGGGGTCACACATTATATTGGGACTTTAGTATAATGCTGTTTGGGGGTGGGGGAGGGGGTGCATATTATACTGATATAATACTGATCCAGGTTATGATTATTGCAATCCTAAACTGAACAGATTACAGACACAATGTCATGAATAGAACAGACTTATTATTTTAATGAACACCTATTATTTGGTCTTATTGATAATTCTTGCATTTTAAATTGTTTTTCAGTCTGAAGTAAAATTACTTTTAAAATATGAGAAAAGTCTAGGAATAGCTCATCTACGATTTCTACCTAAAACAAGTTCCTGTAGACCTATAGTTAACATGGGTAAAAATCTCCTCTTTCCTGGTATAACAAAGGTAATTAAAACTAAGTTATCTCTCTATCTTTCCTGGTATAATCAAGGTGATTAAAACAGTGTTGTCTTTTATCTTTCCTGGAATAACAAAGGTAATAAAAACAAAGTTATCTCTCTATCTTTCCTGGTATAACCTAGGTAATTAAAACTGGTTATAATCAATACTGCTTGAGGTTTTAAATAGAGAGATAACCGTTTTAATTACCTTGGTTATATCATTGATATTGATTTTTATATTCTTAATTAAATGTTAAATAACCAATATAAGAGAGAAAGAGAGAAATGCACTTGACACAAACTAGATCATTTTGAGACTAACACATGGTTCAATTTTATTTCAATAATTCGCTTGGGCGTATGGGTCTTTAACAGTTGGAGGAAACTGGAGGACCTGGAGAAAACCGTAGAGGTTGGACAGGCTACCCTGGCTACCCTACTCCTTGTCACGTACAACTGGGGAATCGAAACCACGGCAGTTGACTCAATGACACACCGTATGATACAGCACGCACGTGCTAACCATTCGTCCATCCACCCCCCACCCCCCAAATAACCAATTTGAGTACATTTTATTAGTAATGGCTCAGTGAGTAAGACATTGGCTCACTTGGATGTCACAATCCCTGTGTTGGCCAAGAAAGTACATCAGGATGTTCGGGCGTGGTTCCCCCTGTCAGTGGTGCAGGACAGAGGGCCTGGCAAGGGACAGTGTTTAGTCGTTTGGATGATACGAAAAACCTGGAGTCCTATGTACACATTAGTGTGTACGTAAAAGATCCCTTGGCTGTTGAAATTTGATATAAGAGAAGGTCATAGTGCCGCTGTCTGGGCAAAATTTCCCGCATAGCATTTTGTATGGCGTATGCCCATCTTCATTAGCCCAGTAGAAGAAGAACAGTAGGACGTTAAACCTCATTTCATTTTGTATGTCATCAGGATTTTACTGCTACTTCATCTATGTTCGTTTATTATCATAATATACACTAACCTTTATACAAGGATCTCTAATGTAATAAAGGACTTCTAAGATTGTTATTTTGTTTTTCAGAAAATACCTATCAATAAACAGTTATTAAATCTACTGAATGTTTTATCACCTGATAAGGTAAATATATGTTTACCATGGTTATATTCAATTTGGAAACATTTTGTTGACATCGGATTAGCATGATATTTTTTAAAGAATTTGCACTTTTAAACAATATCCCATTTTTTATAATATATTTTCAAGTCAATTTATTCATAACTATTATAAATTTAGTTTTATTTATTGTCATTGTGCTCCCATATACTAAAATAGACATTTTGGGGATACTCTATTGAACGTTCCAGAATTAAATTCTCTCAATTCCAAAAAATAGTGTCAATCGAGTGAACAGGAGAGTTTTGGAATACAATGCATGTGCCGACTGCATAAAAAATATCTCAACCAATCATGACAGCTGAAACATATTTGTTTCTTAAAATATGTCACGATTCTACTCGCACCACCTCAACTGTTGGGACTGGCAGAACTGTGACATGGTTGAATTCTGTATTACTTGATTGCAATTCTGTCAATTTGAGACGTTCCGGATTGACAATCGAGCGACGCCCTACTGTTCTAGTGAAGACTAAAGGGAGATAATTCACAGTTGTGTAACAGAGTATGGCTATTGTACATATGTTTAAATTTATTAAATGAACGAATATTCATACAAGTTCTTTTGAGTCTGATGATTGAACATAAAACTATCGTTCAATGACTTGCCTTTTATGTTTGTATTGTTTTAGTTGAAGAATAGTGATAATTTAGGATCTACTGTATTTGGTACTGATGATGTATATTTGAAATTAAAACATTTTATTCAACAGAGAAAAGATAATCAAGATAACAGGTTAGATTAAACTAATCTGATTAAACTAATCTCCTGGGAAATAGAATATACGTTCATAATATTATTCTTTTCTACAAATTTCAACCATGAATATTGATTCAAACCTTTATCTTCATGATATGTCTTTAAAAGAAAATGTTTTAACAATATTTTTTTTTATTCATGATATCTAAATAGGATTGAGGAACAGACTGAGTCTATGTAAAACCCCTCTCCCTATATGCTTTTAAATGAATATACCATGTTTTTTTTTTAGAGAATTGTATTTTGTGAAGACTGATATCAGTAATTGTTATGATACAATTAAACCTGAAAAACTCCATGACATCATCAAAGATATACTGCAACAGGTAGGATCTGGATAATCCAGACAACTTTTCTATCTCTTTTGCGTTTTATGTATAAAGTTGGTGTGTATGACATCTATATAGATAACTTAATAACAAAAATGACTGGTTACACTACACGAAGATCTGGCTGGTTGTAGTGAGAGGTTACGTCTGGGGTCATACAAGCTGCTTTTGTTCATATGATGTTAGCCATTCGATTAACCAATCAGCATCAGTTTTTCGAGTGGCTGTTTGGAAATACAACATTTTTTTGTTTTATTTTCTGTCGCTGCAAATGTCTACCCACAGTTCTGCATAACAGCCCATAAGAACTTGCCACAACAGACACTTTGATTGGCTAATCCCTCAAATCAACCAAAACGTTGTTGTTTTTTTTAATCAGATTGCAATTTATTTATCATGCACGTGAAGAATAAAAATGCAGTTGATGGTGAGATGCAAAAAACTTTTTAATGTCCCAATTCTGGCCTCTGTTAATTGTGACTAAATAAATCTGACCGACAAAACTTTGGAACAGCAAATTTTAAATTGTTTCAATGGCATTTAGTAATTGAACTGGAATAAACAGCTCACAATTCTATAGAATACAATTGCTGCTTATTACTGAGCAACATTTCGACTAATAATGACTAGAGAAGCCAAGTCGAAACGTCGCTCAGTAATAAGCAGTAATTGTATTGCATAGAATTGTGACCTATTTGGAACAGCAACACTGACACAAAGACCATCTATATTAATGAAGACTATTGTTTGAACATTTCAGAATCCTGATGAATATATAACTAGGAGATATTTTACTGTCATGTCTGTTGGAGGTAAATTACGCGGAACTATAAATCGTGATTCAAGATCGTTGATGGATTATAATCCAGATTTCTTCTCCTTTATAAAAGATAAAATACAAGATGGCGACCTTAGAGATCTTCTTCTTGTTGATAAGGTAATTGTTTATCTGCATGTTTTGTTACACTTTATTTAATTGGTTAGTATTCTTATGACTTAAAGGTGTGGATCATCATTTGTGGGATTCTAATTCATTTGCAAACTATTATATTGGAAAATCGGTCCAAAAATGGTTCAATCCCATCCAGATATGATGAACTAAAAATTTTCATCATTCAATATCTTCTGCAGATAATATAAAAAAGCCAGGTCCGCCCATAAGTGCTGGGATTGAATCAAAGCTAGGATATTTTGCATTGGTTCACTAAACTGTCCTCAAATTGATTATTTATACATTATGTAAGAGCTAAATCTGCATATTGCAGTTCTTTCTTTAGGCCTGAAATGTTATCTAAATTAGACATTAATTAACTTATCCAGACCATAATCAACTCTCAATGTCATTGCTAGCCTACGATATTTACTGGATTAGAATCTGATCTGCTGCTCAACGCTCATTTATGATTAAATCAAAAAATGGATAATCGAGACTATGTTTTTTTTATCGTACTGACTTTAGTAATGATGATCGAGAATAGGCCTAAAATTCAATCGCTAAATTATCAGTTTAGAGTGGATCAATTTGACTGAAATTATCTGTACATTATCTAGTTTTTAACTATTATAGTGGGAACTGCCAGCTCTTTATCTAATCTCCCATAATGTATCTTTAACATCAAAATAATGTCAAGTAACCAATGTGAGTACAATTTAACATAGATTAAGCCATGATTTATTAGTAATTGTCTGAAAAATGCAAATCAGCAACTTTTAACATGTCTGTATTTCGTCTTTTCTGTATTTGTTTTTTTTTTTTTTGGTTGTGTGGTGCGGTCCTCCTTCACTTTTTAGAAATAGAAACATGGTTGTTGTATTAGGACACACAGAATTATGTGCAACTTTAAATCTCAACAATGTCTAGTTATTCGTATTGAATGAAAAATGTATTTTCTATTTAATTTCAGGTAATCAGTGAACATGATTCAACAGATAACTTATTAGAGCTTCTTCGTGCATTGCTTTATAATAACATTATTAAGGTAAGATTGAAACAAAAATGTCTGTTTATTATTAATGGTTTTCTGAAATATTCGAAATGAAAATAAAATTTGGTATAGCGGCCTACTTTTCTGCACCAACCAGACAGGCATAAGCCTTGCTTAGCTGCAATTTTTAGCTGAGATAATTCTTATCTAAGGCTGCAATTGATACACTATTCGACTCTTTACCTTAGTAAAATTAGGTTCAGTTGCAAATTTTTCAACACATACCATCATAGTTTACATGGAAATAAGTGATTATGTTCCAAAAAAAGAAGAGTGGAACACAGAAATCTTAATTTTATCATACCAAACAGTTTTTCTGTATTTTCGAGTGATATAATATCACACGATTCTGGTACGGCGGCCATTTTAACTGAACAAAAATTTCGCATACCAGTTGGGTTAAATCAAATCATATAATTATGCGGTAAGGTTTCACCTTTATTTCAATGAGAATTGTTTTATTATATACTATTCAAAAAAAGTAGGGGATATTTGATTTTTAAGTGTTATTAAAGTCACCTAATGAAACTGACGAAGAAACAAATGACAAAATGAAATGAAGTTCACATTCATCGATTTATTCCAAATGATCGTTAGACTAAGTAAGGCACAGACTGACCATTATAAGGGTAAAATGATACCCGGGGTCAAACAGCAAAGTTACCACAGCATCACAACCAAGTCAGTAACGGGTAAATCCTCCTCTGTTTGCCAAACAAGCATTGATCCGACGTGGCATACTCCTAATGAGACGTCTAAGGTCATTTTGGTCCAGATTGTCCCATTCCTGTTGTCCCATTCCTGTTGCAACGCAGCAGCAAGTTCTTGGACATTGGCAGGACGTTGTTGACGTTGACGTAACCTCTGTCCAAGCATGTCCCAGACATGCTCAATGGGGGAGAGGTCGGGACTCAGTGCTGGCCAAGGTAATGTGGTGATGTTCTGTTGTTGGAGGTAACCTGTAACGATCCTGGCCCTGTGACATCTTGCGTTGTCATCCTGGAAGATGAAACGGCGGCCATGACGTCGTGCGAACGGCACAACATGGACTGCCAAGATGTTGTCCCGGTAGTACTGGCCTGTAACACGCCCGGCAACAACATGTAAAGCCGTTTTCCAGCAACAGTGATGCCTCCCCACACCATAACAGAACCACCCCCAAATCGATCATGTCTGATGACGTTAACGTCTTGGAAGCGCTCGTTTCGACGACGCCACACCCTCCTACGTCTGTCCAAAAAATCAACAGTGAACCTTGACTCATCTGAAAACATCACATTGCTCCAGCGTCGATTATCCCAGTGTTGACGATCCCTACACCAACGACGTCTTGCCTGAATGTGATGATCTCTCAAACAAGGGATCACGCGAGGACGTCGGGCGCGAAGGTGACCCTATGCAGTCGATTCCGAATCGTCTGGCCACTCACTCTCACACCAGTGTCTGTTTGAAGACGAGCGCTGATCTGATTTGCTGTGATGACACGATTTCTCAAGGCCAAGGTACGGATAAATCGATCCTGGGCTTGAGTTGTCGCCCTTGGTCGACCTGAGCGTGGTCTGTCCTGTACAGATTGTGTATCACGGTATCTGGACCATAGCCTGCTTATGACAGACTGAGAAACATTCATCGTCCGCGCCACAACCGCCTGTGTTGTGCCGATCTGTAGCATGCCAAGGGCACGTAACCTTTCATTTTGGGTAAGCCGACGCATATCAAAATTTGTTTTCTGGTCACTAAAACAATTAAACTGATGTTTCCACCCTGGAATTCAATGCCACAATGACTGTAACATTCAAAGTCAGAGTCGTGCAAATCTTGGGTTGGACCCCCATGATGATCCCAAGCATCACCTGCATTCCATGCGGTAGCTATTGGTGCGTTTGGGCGTCACATGTAACTGGAAATGTTTCTTCTGTTAGGTTCTATAGTGACTTTTTTTGTAGTCATTTGCATATTTTAGTATTATGCCCCCAAAATCAAATATCCCCTACTTTTTTTGAATAGTATATGTTAAGCTATGTACAGTACAGTTTCTGGTCAGTGTAATTGGAAATTAAGGGAGTTATAGGCCAGTAACTTTTTTGTAGTCAAATGACTTGCGCAAAGGACGGTTCACTGCTGTGGCTGGATTAAGACGTAAGACATCAGTAGTGGAACCATTTCTAAAGCCTTGCTGTGTTGCGGAAGAGAAGTGGTGTTTTCACCGTCTCTTCATTCAAGGGTTCTTTTGAGTGCACGCCAACATGTACAAAGGGCCTTAATTTTTTGATCCATTGCAACAGCTTTACGCTGTTCCCTACCAGACTCTCACTGATAAATCTTTAGAAACTTTTTCAGCCAACACCGGGATCGAACACCAGACCTCCTGATTTGTGAGCCAACACCTTACTCACTGAGCCGGCGTGACTCCCTGGTAATATCTGGAAAACCATGAAGACTGTTGGGTGGTCGAATGGTTAATGCGAGGGCACTGGATCTTAAGGTCTGTCGTTGAGTCAAGTAGCGTGGTTTCGATTCCCACGAGTAGGGTCGTCTGTCCAACCAGGTGGGTTTTCTCCAGGTCCTCCAGTTTCCTCCCACTGCTAAACACCCTATACGTGCAAGCAAATTATTGATTTAAACTTGAACCATATGTTAGTCCCGAAATTACATAGTTTGTGTCAAGTGGACGTTAAAACCCATTTCTCTATCTCTGTATAAAGATATTTTATTATAATTATTCAGGTTGGTCGATTATATTATAAACAAGAATTAGGTATAAGTCAAGGTTCGGTTCTATCTACGTTACTATGTAATTATTATTATGGTCGTATGGAAGGAGAGTCAATGACCGTGTTACAAGATGAGTTGATGATGAGGATGGTAGATGATTTTATATTTATATCACCATATAAACACAGAGCTGTAGAATTCCTTACAAACATGTGGTCAGGTTTGTACTCATTTATTATTGAGTTAAAGGTTTTTCATACAACATGTTGAACCCCTTGATATTTTTATACGCCCAAATCCAGGATTATGGCCCCTGATTGTACAAAATGTGGGTGTATATTGCATGGTAACCGCTTGTAATAGCTACATGTATATCACCACCACAGATTGTCTGCGATATTACCCTTGGTGGAAGTGGATGTTAAACCTCATGAACAAACTAACTTACCACAGACGTATTGAATGTCTGTTTCAACCACTGTGGTTCTTATATTAACCCAAATTGGAAATCTTTATTGCTGTGGGTAGCCGTCTCAAATTTCTCTCATAAAGCTACTACTTTCATTTTTAAACTTTAGTATATGAATCAAAATGGATTCACACTTTGAGAACTTTCTCCACCTTCTATATGTATACCCAGAGTAAGTTGCACCAGTTAGCACTATCTTCTGTGGTCTTTAAGTCAAACATTAGTCTACTTACTTGCAAGCCAACAGGCCGTAAAAGTACCCATGCTATATTGTCGTGCATGCAACACAGTCAAAGCTGAGTGTTATATTGAATTTCCATATTTCTGATAAAAAATTATGAAAATAGGCAGAGAAGAGTAGAAACGTGCATATATTTTTTTTTGAGAAATGAATATTATATTTTGAACTTTTATTTGAAATAATTTACACATATACTGCTATTTGTTTACTACAATACACGTAGAAGAAATGTTTTATTATATATTTAAACAGGAAATGTGGAGTATAATTGTAGTGTTAATGCTGAGAAGATTGTTACTAATTTTACCTGTCAACTTGAAAACAGAGATATACAACATCACATAAATCAAGGTATATATTTTATGGTAAAATCCAATGTTCTTTAGGTTTAATTCAGGTAGTTATATAAATCTTGCACCTTTTCGTGCAGAATTCTTTTTAACATCTTTGTCTATCTGTATATTTCAGTGTTTTATTATAACATGAATATTGATGTATATTTCAGGTTTTGATTATAACATGACTATTGATGTATATTTCAGAGTTTTATTATAACATGACTATTGATGTATATTTCAGGTTTTGATTATAACATGACTGTTGATGTATATTTCAGGTTTTGATTATAACATGACTGTTGATGTATATTTCAGAGTTTGATTATAACATGACTGTTGATGTACATTTCAGAGTTTGATTATAACTTGACTGTTGATGTATATTTCAGAGTTTGTTTATAACATTACTGTTGATGTATATTTCAGAGTTTGATTATAACATGACTGTTGATGTATATTTCAGAGTTTGTTTATAACATGACCGTTGATGTATATTTCAGAGTTTGTTTATAACATGACTGTTGATGTATATTTCAGAGTTTGCATGGTGTGGTTATATAATAAATACCTCAACATTAAATATATCTGTTGATTATGATCGCTATATTGGTTTAGGTAAGATGTTTAACAATAAATTTATAATTTATCATCTCATATCGATTAAAAATTAAATTATTTAAATCCACTGGTTTACCCAATAAATTGTTCCATATACGCAATTATATGACAGTTTTTTTTATTATTATTCAAATTCATTTAACTGTTATTATTATTCAAATTCATTTAACTGTTATCTCAAAGAAAATAAGAAAAAAAAAAAAGGAATGAGATTATAAACAGATAGAACTTATACGTGTACAATTTTTTCTTTTTTTCAGCCATTTCTGATACTATGACTTTTGAAACTGGACAGAATCCTGGACAAGCCATGAAAAATAAACTTATGCTGTATGTAAATATTATTACATATTTTCTGATTTTGTTCAGATTTAATTGGTATTGAATCATATAATAATCAACAACTTCATTTGTTAGTCAAAAACTTAACAATGAATAGCCTAGGTAACACAGTGCTTTCACTCAGGTGTATCTCTTCAAAGGTAATTTGAAATGAAATTGTTTACATTTACAGATCAATCAGACCCAAGTGTAACTGTTTATTTCTAGATCCAAAGGTAAGTGATTAGTTATTGATTATTGGTTGTTATGATCAATAACCTGAGCTACAATGTATATTACCTTGAAAGGTGAGGTGATGCGTTATTAAGAATAGATGATGATCATCGATAACATCAGTTAAAATATATATTACCTTTAAAGAGACATAAGTTCCCTCAGATGTTCATCAGTTGGTAAAAAATTTATTATCCCTCACTATATGAAGTTAAGAGACAGATTTTGACATGAGCTCTGTCTTTCCTTCCAGGTTTTGTTTCCGGAGCATATCTCATAAACCACTCCAAGATATCTTCATGAAACTTTTTAAACACATCAACCTATTATAGTGATTGTCCTTTCTACTAAGTAGAAATTTCTGGCATTTAATAGTTTTTGTGTTTCCATGGAAATAAATTCGACTTAGTTTATGGTATAAAGGATGTTAACAATGGAGTCTTCTTGTTTTTATTTTAACATGATTTGACTAGACACTATAATAACATTGGGAATATTCAAATTGAAAAATGTGGTGCAACTTTGTCAAGCCCTTGCTGATATATAGATGTTTCACCTTTAAATTTAAGAGCTGTAAAAATATTTAAGTGATTTTCATCTTGCTCATGTCAGAAGGCGATTTTGCACGCTATGCTTTATATAGATAAGTAAACATATATTTTCAGATAAACAGTGAATCAACTATACAAATCAACATTTACCAACTATTTCAAATGATAGCCTTTAAATTTCAATGTTACAACAGTAGATTACCTCATAAACAACGAGCTTCTAATAATGCTATATATTTCCTAGGTAAGACTAGAAAGAATCCTTTGTTTGATAAAGTCTAGAGCATCCTGTTTGATAAAGACTGGATAATCCGATGTTTGATAAAGACTAGATAATCCTATGTTTGATAAAAACTAGATAATCCTAGGTTTGATAAAGACTAGAGCATCCTATGTTTGATAAAGTCTAGAGAATGTTTGATAAAGGCTAGAGAAGTCTAGTAGTGGAAATGTCGTTCAGCAGTAAACAGTAATTGTTTTCAATAGAAATGTGTTCTGTGTATTATTTTATATTATTTAACTCGGTTGATTTTTCTGTTGTAGAAATGATTTTAGGTTTAGCTAGTTACACATACCATCAAGCCAGATCTAAATTAACACGACTTAATTCACACAAGGTAATTAAAGTTTAGACCTCATTTCAGAGCAAACTTTATTCATTATCAGGACATTGTATTACAGTATCTGGTTATAAATAAAATGGATGTGGGGATTTACCCTGTGAAAGTACAGATTTTTAAATTTAGCTACAAATAAATTGAGTACTGAATATAGATTAACAATCTTATGCATGCATAATCACATTACTCCATTTGAACTTTCTCGTCTTCAGTCAGACAAAGAAGAAGAATTTATTCTGACTTTGGTTGAAACAAAATGGTGAGTTTAAAAGTCACATATCTATTATGGCTGGATTTTAATAATCAATGATGCAGGGCCTGGCAAGTAAAAGCGTTTTGTTGTTCGGATGTGGCAAAAAAACGAAGACCCATGTGTACTTTTGACATGAACTGAAAAGAACCCTTGACATTTGTAATTTGATGAAGACTTGACAGAAATAGTGCAGTCTGGGTGAACCTCATGATTACCTCCCTTGAATAGAACTTGATAGATTGCCATAGAAACAAAACTAATTGATTTATTAGTATAGTGTTGACAAGACGTTAAACTGACTGAAGTATACTGTTGACGAGACGTCAAACTTACCGAAGTATAGTGTTAAGAAGACGTCAAACTGACCGAAGTATACTGTTAACAAGACGTCAAACTGCATAAGCATAGTGTTGACGAGATGTTAAACTGACTGAAGTATAGTGTTGATGAGACGTTAAACTGACTCAAGTATAGTGTTGACAAGACGTCAAACTGACAGAAGTAAAGTGTGACGAGATGTTAAACTCCATTTCATTTTTTTACACGCCCACATTTTCATGTGGACGTATATTGTCGTCTTCCCTGTCCGCCCATTTACATTTTATTTGTAGACTCTCTACAGGTCACAATTTTTATCCGATTTTAACGAAACTTAAAATATAGGTGTATCTCCCAAAGATCTTGGTTCCTGTCGAAATTTGCATGTATCGGACCGTCACTTCATGGGTTATGATGAAACTTGAAATGTATGTTTATAACTCAAAGATCTCGGTTCCTTGTACGAAAAATCGTGTTTTTAGCTTGTGGTCCCTCTAGCTCTAGGTCACAATTTGAAAAAAACTGTTTAAATATATCACCGTTACACACTAATGATAGGCAAGTTCAAATCTTGTGAAAAAAACTGTTTAAATATATCACCGTTACACACTAACTATGGTCGAGCTCAAATTGCGTGAAGATTGGACCGAAACTGCTTGACAGAATTGCTGCTACTTGTACGCAAATAGTGTAAAAGTATGTAATACTAAGGTTGTGGACCCTCTAGAAGTCACAGTTTTTATCCGATCTTGATGAAACTTAAATTATATGTTTATATAATATCCAAAAGATCTTGGTTTCTTTCCATATTCGTAACTTGATTATGGCCCGGGGTCACAGTGGGTAAGATGCTGGCTCGCTAGCCTGTAGGTCGAGTGTTTGATCCTTGCATTGGCCGAGAAAGTTCATCCAGATTTTCTAGCATGGTTCCCCCTTGTCAGTGATGCAGGACGAAGGGCCTGACAAAGACAATTAACTGTCTAGTTGTTCGGATTGGATGAAAAACCAAAGTCCCATGTTCACCTCGGCGTACATGTAAAAGATCCCTTGACAGCTGTCTGGGCAAAATTTCCCTTCAAGCACATTGTGTGGCGTATGCCCGTCTTCATTAGCCCAGTTCGGAGCAGAATAGTTTATTCCACTAAAATTCACTTCTCACACGAGCATATTGGATTTCCAAATTTTATCAATCAGTTTGGCTAAACTAGTATTTTAATATTATGATCATCCGATGGAAACTATAATTTCAGGATTTGTCTGTTTGGTTTTATGAAGATATTATCCAAGTTCCATGCACAATTCCATCAACTACTGATTAGTATAAAATCACAGATGAAAAATATAGGAAAACAACTGGTTAGTTTATTTCTTCTGACAAGAATGAAAGAGACCAAATAACAGGGCAAGTTTTCCTATTGGTAGTAGTTTGGATGGTACAAAAAACTGAAGTCCATTAGTGTATACATTGGCATGCACGTAAAGAAATCCTTGAAAGTTGGAAATTGAAGAATAGACTGAAACACTACTGCCTGGACAAATGTTCCCACTTTTCATTAAAAATTGCCATACGGTTGTCTCAAAATGACCAAAGTACTGTGATGACAAGACATTAAACTAAACACCATTTGAATACATGCTTTTCCTTGTCAGTAGTTCATGACGTAGGGCCGAGCAAGGAACGTCGAGTCATTTGGAATAGGCTGTGTTCACATTGCCATACTTGTTGTAAAAGACTGTTGGAATTTGAAATAAGAGTAGGCCATAGTTGGTGCCGAAAATGGCTAAGAATATTGACATTTTGATGACAGTCTATATATGTCTATATATTTCAGGGTAAGAAGAAGGTTGAAGACATCAAGTGTAATATAGATAAACACAACTTATTGGTTTTACAAAATAGTTTCTAGAACAGTCTTGATTCAATGTGCATTCTTTTCATTGTGATTATACTTAGAAAGGAATGGCCGCACAAGTTTCTTCTATATGAGCTTTCATTAGGCTCTCAACTATCTGTTTGCTTCTTGCAGATCACATGATAATACATGTTTATCCAGTGATCTGTACAATCAGTGTTTTTATCAATGTGTAGTCTTGATTAGTGTGGACTGACTGACATCAATCATTTTTTGTTTTTTATACTATATTTTTGTATTTTTATACTGTACATATGACAGGTTTTATTTTTGAGTCATGTCCTTGTTGTGTACTGTAAACAGCCAATGAAAATGTTATCATCCTCTGATCTTTGTATAAACTCACTCAAGTCAGTTCATAATGTAGACAGTCAACAGTCCGAACATAAATACACGCAATGTAGAAAATCATGAATTAACGACAAAATGAAATAAATTTATTAATATGAATTTGATTTACAGAACGCAATTTTTATGGGAAACAATCACTGGTTTTATTCTAAAAGCATGACGTTTCAACAAGTATCCTCTTAATCAGGCACATTGACATTCATCTGATGTAGTCAACTGAGATTGAGCTATGTGGTGTTTGTATTTCTAATTATTAGTGTTATCTATACTATTCAAAAAAAGTAGGGGATATTTGATTTTGGGGGCATAATACTAAAATATGCAAATGACTACGAAAAAAGTCACTATAGAACCTAACAGAAGAAACATTTCCAGTTACATGTGACGCCCAAACGCACCAATAGCTACCGCATGGAATGCAGGTGATGTTTGGGATCATCATGGGGGTCCAACCCAAGATTTGCACGACTCTGACTTTGAATGTTACAGTCATTGTGGCATTGAATTCCAGGGTGGAAACATCAGTTTAATTGTTTTAGTGACCAGAAAACAAATTTTGATATGCGTCGGCTTACCCAAAATGAAAGGTTACGTGCCCTTGGCATGCTACAGATCGGCACAACACAGGCGGTTGTGGCGCGGACGATGAATGTTTCTCAGTCTGTCATAAGCAGGCTATGATCCAGATACCGTGATACACAATCTGTACAGGACAGACCACGCTCAGGTCGACCAAGGGCGACAACTCAAGCCCAGGATCGATTTATCCGTACCTTGGCCTTGAGAAATCGTGTCATCACAGCAAATCAGATCAGCGCTCGTCTTCAAACAGACACTGGTGTGAGAGTGAGTGGCCAGACGATTCGGAATCGACTGCATAGGGGTCACATTCGCGCCCGACGTCCTCGCGTGATCCCTTGTTTGAGAGATCATCACATTCAGGCAAGACGTCGTTGGTGTAGGGATCGTCAACACTGGGATAATCGACGCTGGAGCAATGTGATGTTTTCAGATGAGTCAAGGTTCACTGTTGATTTTTTGGACAGACGTAGGAGGATGTGGCGTCGTCGAAACGAGCGCTTCCAAGACGTTAACGTCATCAGACATGATCGATTTGGGGGTGGTTCTGTTATGGTGTGGGGAGGCATCACTGTTGCTGGAAGAACGGCTTTACATGTTGTTGCAGGGCGTGTTACGGGCCAGTACTACCGGGACAACATCTTGGCAGTCCATGTTGTGCCGTTCGCATGACGTCATGGCCGCCGTTTCATCTTCCAGGATGACAACGCAAGATGTCACAGGGCCAGGATCGTTACAGGTTACCTCCAACAACAGAACATCACCACATTACCTTGGCCAGCACTGAGTCCCGACCTCTCCCCCATCGAGCATGTCTGGGACATGCTTGGACAGAGGTTACGTCAACGTCAACAACGTCCTGCCAATGTCCAAGAACTTGCTGCTGCGTTGCAACAGGAATGGGACAATCTGGACCAAAATGACCTTAGACGTCTCATTAGGAGTATGCCACGTCGGATCAATGCTTGTTTGGCAAACAGAGGAGGATTTAACCGTTACTGACTTGGTTGTGATGCTGTGGTAACTTTGCTGTTTGACCCCGGGTATCATTTTACCCTTATAATGGTCAGTCTGTGCCTTACTTAGTCTAACGATCATTTGGAATAAATCGATGAATGTGAACTTCATTTGATTTTGTCATTTGTTTCTTCGTCAGTTTCATTAGGTGACTTTAATAACACTTAAAAATCAAATATCCCCTACTTTTTTTGAATAGTATATATTTTGGTATATTATCCATTGTCTGGACTGTAAGCCTATTATCTTGTTTTTTGTTAAATCTTTTACTTCTTATTGTAATTGTTATTAAAAATCGTTGTTAATGGCTTTGTCATGAACTCTTATATATTAAACTCAAGTTTACTAAATGTCATTGTCTGCGATATCACCTCGCACACACTAAATGTCATTTTTCTTGATAACGATAAGAGGATACTTGTCGAAATGTTGTGCTTTTAGAACAAAACCAGTGATTGTTTCCCATAAAAATTGCGTTCTGTTAATGTGTCTTTCAATGGCTAAATGACACTTAAAGGTTATGAATTTGATTGGACTGATGACCTATAGTTAGATTGGGTCATACAGGAGAAGTGGACTGTTAGAAAATTTCCCTTTATTCATGCCGTTACATGTGTGAGGTCCACGGTAAACTCTTAACTAGAATCTGCCTGGTTATCACAGTAAATTAGAGACTCATGATTAAAGTCATGAGCAGTTGGCGCTAAAAGAATTGAAATGGGGTTTAACGTCCTACTCTGAGCTAATGAAGACGGGCTTACACCATTCAGTGTGCTTGAAGGGAAATTATGCCTGGGCATCAGCACTACATCCTACTATTATATCAAATTCTAACTGCCGAGGTTCTTTTACGCACATGCCAATATGTACACGGGACCTCGTTTTTTCAGCCCATCGGAATGACTCTACGTCATTGTCCCTTGCCAGGCCTCTGTCCTTCACTACTGACAACGGGGGAAATACATCGGATACACCTGATCAATTTTCTGGGTCAACACCAGGATCAAAAATAGAACCTCCAGGTTGGCTGGTCTACATCTTGCTCACTGAGCCACTGTGGCTTCCTGGCCCTAAAAGCGAGCAGCCATTAAGACTCTGCGCTAGCACCACATGGTAAAAACAAATAAAAAAGGTAGCCTACATTCGTTATCTTTCAGAGAATTTTATTCCCACATTATGCTTTCCTCTTCTATGCATTGACAATTTAATTGTGTTATTCAATGTATAATATATTTATATATGAAAATAAACACATCTAAATTATAAAATTTTATATATACAATCATTGGAACTAATTTTACTAAAACTTATATCTGTCCTCTATTATCTTATATTAGCAATCTTCTATAGGAACTGTTATACATTTCTTTAATAACTTTACGGTAATAAGTTATATCTGTCCTCTATTATCTTATATTAGCAACCTTTTATAGGAACTGTTGTACATTTCTTTAATAACTTTATGGTAATAAGTTTAAGTCTCTAACCTCATTTGAGGGATTTTGAAAGTTGGATATCCAAAAATGATATCAGTCCAAAAATGGTTCAATATTTACAATAATATGATGAATTGAACATTTGTCAACATTCGGCAAATATAAAATACAATCAATACAAGCCAACATTTGTCTACTTCTGATATATTTGTTGGGTTTTTGTTCTTTAATTAAAGATACTTTTCCAGAAAAGTATTTATTGGGTGGTTATTTCCAATAAAAGTATGGCAATTTTGGTATATATGGAAAGTCGAAACATCCAATCTTACTAGAAAAATACTGGATTCCCTGAAAAACACACATGGAGCACATTCAGGACAAAAATGTAAGGGTTTCTCTAACCGGCAACCGGACGATTAGTAACATCATAGGTTGCATGCAAGATTGTATAATCCCCCAGCGTTAGTGAGCGCTTGATGTATATGTTGATAAACTTGATGATACAACAGTTTCTGAGATAAAAAACACGGGAAAAAACTTGGGCAGTAGATAATATGAGAATTTATGGCGCTTCGATATTTATAATAAATAGTCAGCGATTAAAGACAACATCGTCTTGTATATGCAATGAACTCTCCGGCTTCGCATCCGTTACTAGATACCAAGACCGCTTAGTCATGTGACACAAACATGATCTCTTTTGGTCGATTTTTTATAGCAGGGATATTCCCTGACAATTACAATGTTTTGAGAAAGATTTGAAGCAAAATTATGATAAATTAATTAGTTTGAATATGGTTTTAGTTTAAAAATATCATCAAATCACCCAGTTTGCATGTGGGAATGTATCTTTAAATATTAAATAAACAATTTGAGTACATTTTAGCATGGATTAAACCGTGAAAAATTTGAGATTATCTGAAAAAAACAAATGACAGACAGAGACTTTAAGCTGCATGTGTGATGTTGAAAAGACAGCATTTTTTTGTCTGTTGCCTTCTGTAACCTTTCCCATAAGTATCATATAAATTACATTAATTGTTGATGACTGTCATCTGTTTGTTCTCCATATAATAAACTTTCTCAATGATGACTATGTTGCTTTTTGTTCCACTAAAACTCATCGCCTATTTACTGTTTGTATAGCAATTACAAATATACTGTGAAAATATAACATAATTTATATGGAATACAATCACACATGTATAGCATACCTCTTCAAGAAGTGTTATATTATCATTTTCAAGCACACTTGTGGAAACATTGAGCTTTACGTGTATATTTAGCAATCACCATAACAAATATACTGTGAAAACATAACACAATTTATATGGAATACAATCACACATATATATAGCACATCTCTTCAAGAAGTGTTCTATTATCATTTTCAAGCACACTTGTTAAAATGTTGTGCTATATGTATAACAAACCAGTGATTGTATTCCATACTAGGTGATACACCCTGCTTCGTCAAGGGCCTAAATTGAAACGATTCATGGCCTAAAACAGTCACAAGTTCATGCTGGTACATGTGGCGGTGGATCGTGGCGAGGAAGTGTGATTGCCGAACATAAAAACGCTAAATAAAATTCAACTATGGAACAGTTAATCTTGATAATCAATCAAGATAAAATTTATAGATCAATGTTATAAAGGGTATAGCTAAAAATTTAATCTGCTTTCATTAGCCCTGCCGATGCAAAACAGTAGGACGTTAAACCCCATTTCATTTCTAAAAATATAGAGTTTAACAATAGTAACCCATTTCTGAAAATCTTCACCTATTATATCACAGAAGATTCAATGCCATTTTTTTCTACAATTTTCGAAGGACAATTTACATACCATTTATTCACATGGTTAAATATTTGGGCGGTGTATTGATGTGATACAAGCTAGCATATATATTAAGCTGCATATTACAATATATTTTTAGGGAAATATAATGCATTTTAGAATTTTGTTAATCGTATTTTAGAATTCGACTGTCTGATACACCAAATAAATGCTTTAAGACTTAAAAAGTCTCCAATATTTTACACTGATCAATGTTATGTTATTCGTTAATGGTAGAAGATGTGATTTCATATAAATGTACAAAAAAATGAAAATATTGATATGACCATTTGTGTATGTCAATTTTATTTGACAGCGCCTATACCTTGGCAAATATAACAGCTCTAGTAAATAAGACAGGTACAAGGGCTGGCTAAAAAGTTATAATTATAAAAGTCTTGTACAAAGTCGATGGTTTCATTTTTTTCTACATAGTCCCCTTTGAGGTGTACACATTTTTGCCAATGATGTTGCAAGGCCTGGATATCGGTCAGGAAAACATTTTCTTCAGCTGTCCTAAAAACAATCGTTCACAGCTGACATGACTTAATCATAACTAGAAAAATGATCTGCTTCAAGTTTCTGATCTGCAGTCAAGGGCTTTGACATCTTCCTAACTCGTTGGCGATAATGTACTCAACCCTCTCATGAGAGATGCCTACAACACTGGCAATATGTTCAAAGTGTACTATATCAAACACGGTGGAAGTGTAAGAAAAGCTCAGGGAACGAACAAACGAAGTGGTCAATCGTCGTTCAGCCATGTTATGCACCCGGGTAATGTTTCTTGAATGGCTGCTGTCGATGGCCTTCCAGGACGCGGGTCATTCTCAAGGCTTTCTCTGCCACCCTTAAATTCCACAGCCCACTTCTTTATTGTGGAAAAGGTACTTGATGACTGTCCTTTTGCCTGTTCTGGCCATTTCTGGAGATTAAAATGGGTAGGTTCACAAGATGATCTGATACAAAGACAATAATAAAACTACAGTTGCACTTCGTATGATTCATTCAATGATTGATGGCAAATGTTTGTTTCAACCCAATTGATCTATCCTTTTCATAATCAGAACTTTTCAGCCAGCCCTCATATTATATAAATATCATTAAAAACACTGCAAATAGACAAATCGGTGCCAGACAAAATGACAGACATTAAAGGGATTGTGTCTGACAAAATCTGAATCTAAGTTTGAAAATCTCTGTGATAGGTGCCTTATTTGCAGGCTTGTAAATAAATATTGGTATCATAGGATCCCACTACAAGCGGTTTTCACAACAGGCGGCATCAGCATGCTTATAAATGTAATATATTAGGTATATATATTGTAGTTTGTTAAATGTCTCAAAGGTTCAAAGATCACTTTGTATGTCATTTTTAAAAAAATAAAATCTGTAGAAGGATTAGTAAATGTGTAAGTTTAGTAAAGTAAGTTCTCTAATCTAGTATATCTGAGTGAAACAAGTTTTCAATAAGCTACAAAAGATGCTGCTGCTATGCCTGACATCAAATGGTACCGTAGTTCTTTATTCTCAAACATTTGTTGACCTAACTCACGACATCCGAACTGGTTTTTCTAATTTAGCTGAAAATGTTTTCCAATATTCCAGATCTGGAGAGCTACCAGCCAGAGGAACACAACATGTGAGTAGCTCAGGAACAGAACATAAGTGGAATGAGTTACGACTGTTAGTCTGAAAGTAAACATTGATATATAATTATAATATCTGTACATAGAACTAAAAAATAGTGTGACGGCAATAAGAAACTTACACACAATAAGGTTTAACAATTAACACTTGTCCAGTCTGGTTTCCCATTGTCAGTAGTGGTGAAGACAAGGTATCTAGTCATTTGGATGGGTTGAAAAATTGAGTGAGGTCTACCTGTGTACATAATTTTCTTTAAAGCAATTAATTATATAAAATCCCTTGACAGTTGAAATTCCATGAAGAGTACGGAGTTGGCAGAATCGCTGCTATTTGGGACACCTTTCTCTCACAACACACTGCTGCATTGTATGTGCCCTCTTCATCACCTGTGTTGGTGCAACAAAATAAGTCGTTTTAACATTCAGAGATGCCGATTTAAAATTTTTCTCATCGGACATTTTCAATCAGGGTTAATAAGATGCCAGAATTAGGTCACCAGAAGTCGTCAGCTTTTATCCCCTTTAAAAGACTTCAGCTACAATTATGTTTTATGTAATGATGTCTTGGTGACGTAGACTATGAATACCGAATAAAAATTTAAACATTTATATTTACGTACTAATGATTTAATTACTCAACACTCATGTTGTATTACTTCCTGTAAGGGGTCACGGTGGCTAAGTGGATAAGACGCTGGCTCGCTAGCCTGGAGGTCGGGTGTTTGATCCCTGGATTGGCCGAGAAAGTTCGTCCAGATTTTCGGGCATGGTTTCCCCTTGTCAGTGATGCAGGACGGAGGGCCTGACAAGGACAGCTATCTAGTTGTTCGGATGGGATGAAAAACTGAAGTCCCGTGTACACATTGGCGTGCACGTAAAAGATCCCTTGACAGTTGGAATTTGATATAAGAGTAGGCCATAGTGCCGCTGTTTGGGCAAAATTTCCCTCATAGCACACTGTATGGCATATGCCCTACTTCATTAGCCCAGTTTGGAGCAGAACAGTAGGATGTTAAACCCCATTTCATTTAATTACTTCCTGTAAGGACAATAATTCGATGTATCTAAAAATCTTTAAGCATAAAATAGACAAACAAACCTCCTTTGATTGGTTGTTATTTTGTTGGTTTCTAATGGCAACAACCGCACAATGATCTTCTAACATAGTTTCTTCAAATGACCAATCAGTGTCCAGTTTACCTTCTATATGAACGGTAGTGTCTTGAACGATGTGATTGGGTTGTAAATCAGTAGTCTGTATGCGAAAATCTAATTTTCCAAATTCATATCCAATTCCTATACCCAATGTCTTCACAACACTTTCTTTTAAACACTAAATGGAAAGAAAATAAAGAAATAAGAATGTGTGAAACTAAATGAGTTTTACAGTTCCTGCTGTTAGGAAGTATTTTCATGAACAGCGATGTTGTGGCATACTCTCAACAAATGCCAACTATAAATTGCTCTTTGCGTGTACATAAATGAGTACATGGTGTAACTCTGTTTTGAGTCCCAATGCTTTTCCTTGCAAAGAGGTGGAAAAAAATTATTACAGAGGAGCTATGTATTTTTTGACCTTAGAGAGAGAGAGAAATGGGATTTAACCTTCACTCGACACAAACTAGGTCATTTCGGGACTAACACATGGTTCAATTTTATTTCAATAATTCGGTTGCATGTAGGTGTCTTTATCTGTGTGAGACACCAGAGGACCTAGAAAAAACCCACGAGGTTGGACAAGCGACCCTGCTCCTTGTCACGTACAAGTGGGGAATCGAAACCTTGTCAGTTGTCTCAATGACAGACCTTATGATACAGCGCACGCTAACCATTCCCCCCCCCCCCTCCCCCAACTTAGTGATATTCTAGACTCTTTATGTCCTAGTCATACAACCACTATAATAAGTTATTGCACTTGAATATTAGCGATATACCCAATGTCTGTAAAACATTTTCATCTGTTCTCGTTCTGATGGCTGTGATGTCACTGTTGTCCATTCACGATCTGTTAAATGGCGTTTCATTAAACTAAAAAACTTTGGCATAGAATCTCCTCCTGAAATTAAATATAAATATGAAATTTTGATTTCTGTAAATATAAAACTAAATTGGTTCAGGTGTGACTGACTGCAGAGCCTCGAGCAGGGTAAGAGGGGTTCTTCCCCGGAAAATTTTGGGGCCATTTCTGAAAGATTATACGGCTATCTGTACTTTTATTATACGGGTATATATAAGCAATCTCTTTTTTTTTAAAACTTTTATATCATTTATATTTCACTGTATTCTGATTCTCAAAATAACTAAATAATTGTTTGATTCATTCCTTGATATATCACATGGTTTTCATCTTGTAATTATAGATAACAATAAGGGGTTATATTTTCTAAGATTTTTTTTTTTTTCTGTTCTATTACAATTTCCTTGTGTGCCCAAATCTAAAAAATTCTTGAGTACCTAAATCTAAAAAAATGAATACCGTTATGTGAAACTGCTGTAAAGTCATAAAATTATAAGATGCTGTACAAAATTCACTACACAAATAATAAATCAGTTTAAAAGATTTCCATATGAGCATGATACATGTGTTAAAAATAGATGTGATATAACCATTTATCAAGACATATTGACTTGTGAAAACCTTACAATGTGACTGATGCAAAATCAGCCATTTCTCGGCAATGGATAGAGTTAGAAAAACTATTTTGTGATATCTGCCTAATCATATCTATCTACACACTAGTACAGTAGTCAAAGGAAGTTAGTAAACAATATTCTTAAATGGTAACGAATAACATTCTTTAGAAAAATTGTTTGATTTAAAAGGTTAAAATATTGTTTATTTCAAAATCACCATAAATAAATTGAGCAAAAAGTTAGCTGGAGTTCTAAACTATCTTTTGATATCTATATGTTTGACTGATTTAGGCTATTTAATGAACAGAATAAAATATTTAAGATTCAAGTAAGTAAAGAAATAGATCAATTTGAAATAAAAGTTTGTTTAATAAAGGTTCAAAATTTCAGTTTTGTCAAAATGACGTCATATTTGGAGACCAATAGGTCACATATAATGAAAAGTCGTAGTTGGCTTAAAATAGTGCAAATTTTATTCTGTTAGGGGCATAAAAACGTAAAAAGTGACCCAACAAAATTGCTTATTTCTCGGGAAGGGCAAATTCTAAATGATGTATGGATTTTCATTTGATCTTATACATCAGCGCTACATACTTATGAAGTTTAGAGCACAAATTACAAAAAATGTAAAAGTTAAATGCCATTGAAAATGGTTATGGAAGAGATAGTAGTTTATTGTTATGGATATTTAAGGGGCTTTTGTCTGTACAACAAAAATCAGACCTGATGAACTTACTTTGTGATATAGAATTCATAACATCGACTCCAACATCTCTCTCTTTCTCAGCTGCTAAAACGACAAAGTCTTCTTGGTGTGATATATTAAAACTATAATGTTGATAATCTGCAGGTAATGTATTGAGTATCTGAGGTTTGCCTCGTTCTGTACGAGTGAGTTTGATATCTGGGTAGGCTATATTTAACATGTGGGCAGATGCTGCTCGTATCAATAATCTACCAATCTGAAAAAAATAAGATCGCATCAGGTAAAAACACAAGAAATCATTTTGTTTTTTAGAAATGTAGTATCCAAAGGGATATTAACTCAATAACTGAGACAAATGAAATAAAAGGGGGGTTTATTGTCCTACTTTTCTGCATCAACTGGGCTAATTCAGACAGGTATATGACCATCCTCCTTATCCCTAATGGTCTCATTCCGTTCCACTCCACTAACCTCTAGGTTCATCCATGCTGGAGAGATATATTCAAATTATCTGCCCTTGATGACTGTGCTATTTTTATTGACCAATCAAAAAAATTGTTAAATACAAAGGTGTTTGGTGAAGGGAAGTAACTCTCATCTTAAACCAAGGGTATAGTGGAGTAGAAGGGAATGAGACCACAGATGATACCAAGGATGGTATATTGCATACAGTGGGCTATGAGGAAAATTTTGTCCTGAAAGTGTTGCTATGGCCTACTCTTATTTCAATTTCCAACTGTCAGGGGATTTTTAAGGTGCTGCCAATGGTATGCACAGGACCTTGTTTTTGGTATATCATCTGAATGGCGAGATACTTTTCCTTGCCTTGTCATCCATCCTGAAACCTTACAGGGGAAACCATATTCTTTGAATGGCATTTAATAATTGGAACATAATCTAATAAAACACTATCTATGGATAACAATTAGGCCTACTATGGCTGCAATGTTTCAACAAGACTTTGCAAGTTGTTATCAAGCATATATCAACATAAATAAATACCAGCGGCTGCCAGGCAGGTTACGCCCACATTTTCGAGAGATGGATAGAGAACAAGCTACAAAGAAAGTGATTTTTCCTACAATCAAGGGCCATAATTCATGAAGTTACAATTCGATATGCACAAATATCGAAAGGAACCAAGATCTTTGGGTTATAAACATGCATTTCAAGTTTCATCAAAATCGGATTAAAATTGTGACCTCTACATGGTCCACAACCTTGATATACCATATTTTTACACCCTTCGTGTACAAGCGGCGGCCATTTTGTCCGGCAGTTTTGGTTTGATTTATAGGAAATTTGATCTCAACCTTTATTATGGTGTAACAGTGATATATTCTAACGATTTTTAAAATCAGATAATGACTGTGACCTTCAGAGGGACCACAAGCTAAAAAAGGCAATTTTTCATATAATCAGGGGCCATAATTCAGGAAGTTAAGATCCGATATGCGACAATATCGAAAGGAGCCAAGATCTTTAAGTTAAAAACATGCATTTCAAGTTTCATCAAAATTGAACCAGCGGCTGCCAGGCAGGATACGCCCACATTTTCGAGAGATGGATAGAGAACAAGCTAACAAGAAAGTGATTTTTCCTACAATCAAGGGCCATAATTCAGGAAGTTAAGGTCCGGTATGCGCAAATATCGAAAGGAACCGAAATCTTTGGGTTATAAACTTACATTTCAAGTTTCAACAAAATCGGATAAAAATTGTGACCTCTATAGTGTCCACAACCTTGATATACCTTATTTTTACGCTATTTGAGAACGAACGGCGGACATTTTGTCTGTCAATTTTGGGTCGATTTTCACGAAATTCGAACTCAGCCGTCCTTAGGGTGTAACGGTGATATAATAATACGGTTTTTTTAAATCGGATAAAAATTATGACCTCTATAGGGTCCACAAGCTAAAAAAACGCGATTTTTCGTACAATCAGGGGCCATAATTCAGGAAGTTACGGTCCGATATGCGTGAATATCGAAAGGAACCAAGATCTTTGGGTTATAAACTTACATTTCAAGTTTAAAAAAAATCGGATAAAAATTGTGACCTCTATAGGGTCCACAACCTTGATATACCATACTTTTACGCTATTTGAGAACGAACGGCGGCCATTTTGTCTGTCAATTTTGGGCCGATTTTCACGAAATTCGAACTCAGCCATCCTTAGGGTGTAACGGTGATATAATAATACGTTTTTTTAAATCGGACAAAAATTATGACCTCTATAGGGTCCACAAGCTAAAAACGCGATTTTTGGTACAATCAGGGGCCGTAATTCAGGAAGTTACGGTCCGATATGCGCGAATATCGAAAGGAACCAAGATCTTTGGGTTATAAACTTACATTTCAAGTTTCAAAAAAATCGGCTAAAAATTGTGACCTCTATAGGGTCCACAACCTTGATATACCATACTTTTACGCTATTTGAGAACGAACGGCGGCCATTTTGTCTGTCAATTTTGGGCCGATTTTCACGAAATTCGAACTCAGCCATCCTTAGGGTGCAACGGTGATATAATAATACTTTTTTTCAAATCGGATAAAAATTATGACCTCTATAGGGTCCACAAGCTAAAAACGCGATTTTTGGTACAATCAGGGCCATAATTCAGGAAGTTACGGTCCGATATGCGCGAATATCGAAAGGAACCGACATCTTTGGATTATCAACTTAGATTTCAAGTTTCAACAAAATCAGATAAAAATTGTGACCTCTATAGGGTCAACAAGCTAAAAACGTGATTTTTCGTACAAACAGGGGCCATAATCCATGAAGTTTCGATCCGATACATGCCAATATCGAAAGCAGCCGAGATTTTTTGGGGATAAACCTATATTTCAAGTTTCGTCAAAATCGGACAAGAATTGTGACCTGTAGAGAGTCCAGAAACAAATTGTGGACGGACGGACAGGGGCGACGACAATATACTTGATTTAAAACACGACATGTACAGTAATTAAAATAATCAAATTTCCATGTCAACATGGCAGTAATTTCTGAGTTAAATTACGTACAGGAAATTATGATAGTTTTAAAGTGTGAAAAATCCTACCATAGCTGATTTAGAATCTTTTTGAAAAACAAATTTCCCTATTCGAGTTTTTTCTTCTGTCTGGACACATTGAGCAGCTAACATCCATTCTGATTGTGTAGGTTCCCAGGCTTGTGATTTTACTGCTAAACGTAAACTTTTACGTGAAAGTGATCTGAAACATTACATAATAATTAAAATGAGAATGAATGAACAAATTTAAGGCAGTAATTTCACTTCTATTCCATGCATTGTTGAAAAGTTGGTGAATGTGCAGAAATATTTTATAAATTCCATGTGAATGCTATCAGCAATGAGCAACATCTTGAACCTGATGTTTATGGATAGAGAGAGAGAGAGATTTGGGGTTTAATGTCCACTCAACACAAACTAGTTTATTTAGGGACTAACTCACAGTTCAATTTTATTTCAATAATTCGCTTGCACGTAGGGGTCTTTAGCAGTTGGAGGAAACCAGAGAATCCAGAGAAAACCCACAAGATTGGACAGGCGACCGGCGCGACCCTACTCCTTGTCACGTACAACCAGGGAATCTAAACCATGCCAGTTGACTCAGTGACAGATCTCATGATATAAAGCGCACATGCTAACCATTCGGCCATCCAATCCACCTTTATGGGTAGAAATATGTTATGGTTATAAGGATGGTGAGAACTATACGATAGGCCTAGCCCAGGTATACCAGTGTTTCTATGTCTTACTAACATGTTCATATTTTAAAGCATTGTCATATTTTCCTGCCCCATGTAGGCTGTGTTGCGTAATACAGGCAATGTTTATCAGTAGACATGATCCTGGTATTATAGCAATTATATATAGTTGTATATAATAAATATGGTGAGTCTGACATCTTACTGACCTTGTCATTATATCAAACACATAAATTCTAGTGTTTTAGCCTAACTAATAACTTGAGTCTTCTGACCCTTTCACCCATGATTTATATCAACAACAAACAACATGAAATTTATAGAATAAGCTATAGATTGGATGATGGCCAGGAGATTAGAAGTCTATATTAACCACAAGTAGGCCTAGGCTATATAATATTACATGTATATGTGTGGACCTTTTTGTTTATAATAGGCCTATACTATATTTGAAATCATTTATTCAATCTTGAGCTTTTTCGTGTGACTTGCGCAACATAGAACAAAGTTCGACAGCTAGCATAAATTCATATTCCGTCAAATTTTTCTTCAGTTTCTTAAGTATAATTAGATTGAATAGGCAGCTGTCTCGAGATCAAAACCTGCAATAATTAGCCCCTTCATTATCAGGACAGACTGCAACTAGAATATATGACAAAAAATGGCTTGTCTAAATCCATAAACATAGTACATGTTCAATGTTAAGAAGACTATTTTACCTTTTACACTGGGAAACTTTTGAGCACAACTCTGATTCCATATTTACAGTAGACCTGTATTTAAACTTAAAAGTTAGGTTGTGAAGAATGTGTAATTTAGCTGCTGCCTTTGCCAAATCCTATTGAATTCTACCAAAAACAATGCAAACTAAGCTATATATAAACATGTATATATATCCATAAACTAGGATTTATTTGCATATGGCAGAGGATTACAAATCCCAGCACTGTCATAAAGTCAATATTGACACAGCAAAAAAATAACCTGAAAAGGCTAAAAATAGCCGAGTGCCCTGGACTGCTGGGGGTCCACATTATTTAAGTAAATAACAACATTATTTCTTCAAAACGCAGTACCATAATGTAAAGATTTTTATCAATTTTTATAGGAAAGCCTCGTGCAGTACCTGAACATATTACTGTCGTCTGTATTAGCCATTTTGCATTATAAATTCAACACATAACACATTTTTACTCAAATTTCTAACCAGCTGATGTCTGATCTACTTTTACTTTAGACCACATTCTACTTCCGTTACTATATATCCGGATTATAAACCAATCAATGCCCTAGCCTGTTACTGGCAGCTTTCTGTCACCCGGACTATCACTGTGGCCAACCAGATCATGGTCCCATTAATCGCCGATATTAATATAACACATCATTCCTTGTCGGTGACCCTTTGCCATACTCTGGGCGTTATTGACCCCCCCCCCCCCCGACACACACACTGTGCTAATGAAGACGGGCATACGCCATACAATGTGCTATGAGGGAAATTTTGCCCGGACAGCGGCACTATACGGATACTCTTATATCGAATTCCAACTGTCAAGGGATCTTTTACGTGCACGCCAATGTGTACACGGGACCTCGGTTTTTCGTCCCATCCGAACGACTAGACAGCTGTTCTTGTCAGGCCCTCCGTCCTGCATCACTGACAAGTGAGAACCACGCCGGAAAATCTGGATGAACTTTCTCGGCCAATGCAGGGATCGAACACCCGACCTCCAGGCTAGTGAGCCATAGCGTCTTACCCACTTGGCCACGTGATCCCCCAAAGCAAAACAAACTCCCATGTCGGCGATTATTAGGTCCGTTAATTTTTGTCACAATTTCAATCATAATATCCATAATACATAATTTTTTCAATTTTTTTATGAAATCATTTAATATTTGAAAAGGCCCATGCTGTGTACACTATATATATGCTTGTCTATACCTATCTTTCTATGTCGATGACTTTTTGGAATAATACCCCCCTCCACACCCACCCACCCCCACCCCCACCAAAAAAGAAAACGATAAGATCGTGTATATTATCCCTGGTTTTTTTTTTTCTATTTTATTTTACGGATGTAAATTTGTAACCAATACCGTGGACTTGTTGTAATTTAAAAACTAAACGACTCAAAATTGGCGTTATCCAAATCAAAACTCAAAAATTAACTACAATTCAAATTATTTAAAGTGTCCGTGTAAGCACATTATAAGACGGGCATAATTATTCCGAATTTTCAATTGTTTTTTTAAACTATATTCAGTAAATAAAATAATGGCAACCCTTCGTTTTCGGGTATTATACTCGGAAACGAAAAGAACCATGATAGAAGCGAAGCCCCGTTTAAAAATACAGTAACTGCTTTCCATAGAAGTGCTGTGATTAATAAATACATTGTATATATTTATTCATTCATTGTGTTTGCTATAAGTTGCGTAACTTTCAACAATAAAAAAAAAAATACTTACTTACTTACTATTACCATATTACAGTCACGTAAAGTGTCATAGTCTAGGTAACCGCACCATAGATGGTTTGAGACACAAATTAATTTGAAACCAGTTACATTTGACTGGTTCGTTACATAATTTAAATATATTAAATATATTTCATTGTTATCGCAGAGATGTCATTTAATTAGGACTGAGCCGCCTGTAACTTAATCTCAAACGTCTGGACATGTGTGAAATAAGTTGATTTAATGTCTGTCTCCATTTTAGTGATGTCACAAACAGTCATATTAAGGATGCCTTAAATGCATTGTGGAAATTGTTGCCATTTAACTGAGACAGATTAATGAATGTCTTCTTTTATTTCAGTTATTTAGTCGTACGACACGGGGTGGGAGGGCAGAGGGTATATACTATCGCCACATGTAATCTCAACAATATCTAGCAATTCACAAGTAACAACAATATTTGAAGCTCCTTCAAATATTAAGCCCAGTAGACAGTAGCTATAGGCTTATCTGGTACCCCACAAAAATATGCTTCATGCACGACACCATAGATATAAGTTCAAGGAAATGATAATATATAAAACATCACGGCTACAGATTTAAGGGAGACAATTCATACATGACTACCCAGACAGCCACTCAGCTTTGGCCCTACTATGGCCCACATGTGGCAACATCAGGCTGGATGTGGCCCACATCCTGCCAGATGTTGCCACATGTGGGCCATAGTCAGGGTAACACTTGGCAACTATTGGCTCACTACTGATGAATAAAACTTATTTTTGTAACTGTTGTTATCTAAGAATATCTTGTCAGTTTGTTAAAGGGTTTTAAATTTTTTGTTTTAATAAGTTTTATATTCCAAACATTTGAAAAAATAATATTATGCGAGAAGCTTGCCATGTTTGGGCCAGAGATATGGCCCACATCGAACTCAAAATATCAATCCAATAAATTTTGGCTTAGAATATGACTTCTAGTTTCCAGCAGAATTTTCCTGGGTGCTGAGGTCCTGCAGTGTTCTATATTAGTTTTATTAATATTTTTTTTAATGTACTGTATATAATATGAATGGAATCACCTCACCCCGACCTTCAAAATAAAGGCCAGTAAATGTGAATCTTAAAAGCAAAAATAAATTATTTTTAAAAGAATTCAATGAAATAAAGACAAAGTTTATTTGAACACAGTCGGAGTGTTAGGTATCATCCTACAAAGTAGCTAGATTTTAATTACTATAGCAGATTCTGTCAAGTTATACAATTTGTTGAAGCCAGTTATAGGTCAACCGTGCAAACCTTTCAACAAAGCATAATTAACAGCCAATTTACTATCTTGAAATCTGTTTGGTCATTGGCTGAATTTTAAATTCTAAAATTCAGTGTAATATATACAACTTAATAGAAGTTAGCATTAACAAGAAACTGAAGACATTGCAGTGGTATACAACTGTGCATTATTTTCACAGAACCTAGTTAAAGACAAAAAGATAAGTATATTTTATTACTTTCTCTGCAATAATATTAAATTAGATAAGACTTATGTGATTGTATTATTTAGATAACTCCATTTAATTATTCTTTTGCCTTGGCATCATCAACAGAATTCAAATTAATCAACAGAGAGAAAAAATAAGCTTATCAAATTAGAAGAAATCATGTGCCAACTATATTTTTTCCAAAAATAAGAATTATCTGACTTAACGCTTTGGCAGTTGCATTGACAGACCCCTAGAATATAATTTAGAAGTAAAAATGTGTTTTTTTATGTACATTTTTTGCATTTATTGCAGGTGTGATCAAACTCCACCATAAGGATGCGTTGGTGGAAACTAATTTCAAAAATGTTGTAAAAAACTGGTTGAATGGGGGAAAAAAGACAAGGGGAAAAGAGGAGGAGACAGCTGCAGGAGAGGGAACAGGGGAAGGATGATATTGACTTAGATGAATAAATTTTATAATTTGAAGATTTTACTTTTGTGGTTAATGTATGTTGTTTGTGCTGCATGCAAGATACCATTAATTTCTACCATCTAGAGTACCAAATGGAACTTGGAAGAAAGTCTTGGCTGTTTCTGCTGGAAAGACTCTAAGAAGGGGAGAGGAATGGGTTTTAACGTCCATTTGACACAAACTAGGTCATTTCGGGATTAACACGGTTCAACCCTAGTGGGAGGAAAGGAAACCGAGAAAACCGAAGAGGTTGGACAGGCGACCATACTCCTTGCCACATACAACCTGGCATTCGAAACCACGCCACTTAGAACTTCATGCGCACATGTTAAACCACTAGATCATCCAACTTCCCTCTTTAAGAAGGGATAACCGTATGGTTTCAGTTTGCCATCGTTGGCCCACATCTGGCATGGCATGATTTTCATGTGTGGGACATATTTGGGCCAGGGATGGGCCAGTTGTGCCATCTCTGGCCCACATGTGGCATGCCATTTTTTTGCCAGCTGTTAGCCAGATCTGGGCCATACAAGGCGGGCGTGTGCATTAGCGAATGTGGGCCAGATCTGGCTCTGACTGGGCCACACCCGGCCCAGATATGCCAGATCTGGCCCAATTGTGGTATGCCATATCCGGCCCAATCATTTTGCCAGATGTGGCCAGATATGGGCCATGTGTGTGCCAAATATGGTGTGCTGTCTGGGTATATTCTTGACGGTCTAAATGTTAATTTATGATAAACTGTTAGTAGATCACCAATTGTGGCTGTTTTCCTCAGGTTTACATTTTGTTATTTGTTGTTTATTTCTTGAAATGTTTAAGTGGTTTCTCTTACCCGCCTAATTGTCTGAGTATTTTACCCGGTCTGCGATGCCATTACCTTCTCTTAATGTGATTCCCACTGTCCGTGACACTGAACGTGCTACCAACAATTCACGGGACCAAGTTTTTGTGCTCCACCCGATTGATTAGACGCGTTTCAATGCTAGACCACTCGCCCTGCACCATTGGCGGGGTTTCGATTTCCCGGTTGTACGTGACAAGGAGTAGGGTCGCCTGTCCAACCTCGTGGGTTTTCTCCGGGTCCTCCGGTTTCCCCCCACTGCTAAAGACCCCTACGCGCAAGCGAATTATTGAAATAAAATTGAGCCATGTGTTAGTCCCGGAATGACCTACTTTGTGTCGAGTGGACATTCAACCCTATCTTTCTCTCTCTAAAAGCACGTGATAGGAAAGTTACCATTTTCTATTTGGCAAGAGTGGCCAATCACATCATTAATTATATCATAATTAGCCAATAGAATAATTAATGGGTGTGAATCTGAGAATATATAATTTATAGAATGTGCGCTCTAGGGTGGACAGCATTAAACAAACGCGACCGGAGACAATACTAGACGATCATGGGCTGTTCCAGAATATGTAGTAAGAAACGATGCATGGGTCATACGTAGGGTGTGGCGACCGGGTTTAGCGTCGACCGCTCTCCACGTCTGACAAACGACCCATGGAGCCAGAGGATTTGCAATGGGGTAAGATCT